TGCTATACTCTTGCGCGGATGACGATTTTTCGGATTACAAGGTTTGTGGTATTCATATAGCGCGATTTTATACTCGAGTTCGTTTTAAGTTCGGGTCTCGCGCGATTGTCTCATTGGCTACTGATCCGAGAAGACTGTGAGAGAGAACACCGGCATTAAAGGACTAAACCGAAAGTACACAAGCTTGTTTTTACAGAACACACTGTCCGTAATAGTATATTTATACACATAAAAAAAAAATATAATATAAAAAATATATATACTATGTATATAATATAAAAAATATATACAACATATATATTGTATTAATATAATACCACGTAAAATATTTTTTGCAACGAAAATACATTTTTCAATTTCAAAATGTGTGTAACGTTCAAAGTTGACGGACAGTTTTGTGACAAAAAAAAAATTTTTAGACCAAACGAACTATGAAGTATAAAATACACGTGCGAACGCACGGTCAATAAAGTAAACTACTGAATAAACGTCACGTGGTTATACAAGATTTTTTTTCAAAAAAAAAAAAAAAAAATCGTTCCATCTGCGTTGCTTCTCGGTAAAAAATTCCACGTGTATCTCGCACGCGAGATATATTTTACCGTCTTGATATTTATGTTGTAAGCGTTTTATGAACTAGGTACGGCTCGAGATCGAAATCGATAGTTCTGTAAAACCCTAGTGCGTCGTTATCGCCGTTGCATAGTGATTCGCGCGCAATTTGTGATTGTACGGTGCAAGCTCGGGGGGTTATAACCCGGCTACGTTCTCCGTACGTACACGGACGCTGACACACACGTTATGTCAGTTTCGCGCTCGTAAAACGCTATATACGATCGTTTGATTAAAAACTACTCCGGCGTTTATTAACTCGATCGCGAGAAAACCAATCTCTTTTCGCGCGTATCGACGCATAAGTAATCCTCCGAAATTTGTTCTCGGACGTTAAATTATAACTCGCGCGGACTCGCCGAGATCGCAACATTCGCTCGCGGCGCAAGCGGAAGAAAATAACGGTTCGCTCACATCAATAACGGAATTGACTGGAATAAGCTTCAATTTATTTTCCCCGAGTGCTGTTTATCACCAATTGCAATGACGTTTCTGCTTTATTACGGGAAAATAACCGGCGGAATAAAATGACGACGACGACGACGACATATTTTTGAGATTTGAGAAACGAGAATCGTTTTAGAAAGAATCGGGCTTTTGTATTCAACCGACCGAAAGTAAATAATTTATTCTTCTCGCGGGCATGCTGCGTTTTATGTTTTGCATGCTTCAGATTCTTGCTATTTGCATATTTGTTTCGGACAAGACGCTCTTATTCATGCGGACGAATGTATTTCCGCGATGTCACGCTGACTTGGCAACTAATTCGAGATAACGCGAGACGTGGTATAATATAAAGTACTAAGTAATCTTACGTAAAGTACATAATCTTACGTCGCAACTCTCGCTTAATTTCCCATTCCGAAATTTTTAACGAGAAAACTCGTCACAACGACCAATTTCCTTATTTAATCCTCTGAGTCAGGCGAAAACGCGCGCGCGATGATGTCAGTAAGCTCAAGGTTAAAAAGCCGCGCGTCACAAGCGTAACAAGCATCGAATCTTATAAGTTTAAGAATAAACTTCAAACAAGAGCGCCAAGTTCAAGACGGGAACTTTTGCAAAAGCAGTCGATTTAAATTTGGCTACGTCGCACAACAGATGTGAATAAAATCAAGACCGATGATATCTATGTGATGGGAATATTGTTTTCACACAAAAAACTATTTTCAAAAGTTCAGGTATGAAACACTTCACTTTTGAGACATTTTCGCAAATAGATCCGATGTTATTCTTTTTGTGCGCTTTGCACAAAACCATCGAAGGATCTTACGGAGGTATCGTATTTCTTCGGAAAAAAAGCGTCCCAATGACAAATGTATCATTGGCCGGACATTTAAAGAAAAATAATTATATGAATACAAATTATATTAAAAAAACTAATAATTTTGAGTATATCTTAAAAATATTCAAAACATTGTAAAGTGTTTACATATCTAATAATTATAAATAAATGTCCACTGATACCAATCGTCGAAGGATATTGTTTTTATTTGATTTTTTTTTTTTACAAAAGTTGAAGTTTTTTCTTATTTAGTTTTTTCCTTTTTTTTTTTTTATCTCAAACTCTTCCTCGCAATTGTTGTTGTTCACGAATGTCCATAACTCGGACATTTAACAGAGTGCTCTTCTCAATTAGCAGACACGGGACAAAGTTGATTTCGCTAATTAAGCTAGAAGTAGAAATGCAGATCGTTAGGTTTAATTTCATCAAGGCCATTAAAGATAGTGTGTAATCACACTTTCGCGACACGTAGGAATGAGCGATCACACATAAGCTCGCTTAACTCCAGATTAACGCTAATCCAACAAATCCATTGCGACACGAACGCGAGGATCGAACGCATTTCCTTGATTGATCCGGGCGCGACACGGCACGATGCGCGCGTCCAAATGAACCGGGAGTCAATCAGGGGCAATTAGAAGAGAGAGCGAGAGAGTATGTAACATACATACAATATATACGTGTCGCAATAAAACGTTTTATCATTACAACCCGATCTCGCTCGACACACATGTTGTGACTCAACTCGAGGATATTAAAAAAAGACACGTCTAAGTCTCAGGAGGATTGTGTGAGGACAATTTTTCAATTTTTCTTCTCACCGCAACAGGTTCTTTTTGCATCGTAAATATTTTTTACTTGTTGCACCGTGTTTTTTTTTTTTTACGATCATAGTCGTACAGGTGAGTGTCGGTTTTTTGTGTTTTATAAAAAAAAAGTTCCGTTCTCGTGAGAAAGAGAAAGAGAGACTTCGGTTTTATACTTTCCGGGCCGGCTATTTAACTTGAGCGAACTCGATATTGGGGTCTTTGATAAGTTGCCCGAAGTTTTATGAAAAAATTGAATATAATAAAATCGAGAAAAGTGCTCTCGAAATTGGCATCCGCGATATTAATGAAATGTCCTGTATTGTTTAATATACTTTTTACTAGCAAATATTCTCGCGCTTTTATTTTTATAATATTGAATATATAACAATTTAAAAACACTAACGAAGTTAACGTTCGTCCCGAGAGAACGTTCCGAGGAACTGATGTCACGCGCGACGTGAAGTCGCTTTAAATTTGAATAAAAGACCAATTTTTCCCATTGACATTTTCAATTTCTGAACGATCTCGATTGTCGCCGCGCCGCGGTATCGAGAAGAAACGCATTAGCGCGAATGAATAAGCGAATAAAGATTGAAACGACTTGAATGAGCGATGAAGACGGATCGTTAGCGAAGCGCTGAGCCAACAGATTTTTGAAGAAAGCGAGCACGTGTTCGTTCGCCTTCCTCGCGGAAGCTTTGCTGATCAAGATGAATAAAAGATGAAGAACTTCCGAAAAGCCGGAATAGGAATCTCGCAAAAGTGGCTCGTCTGCTGTTTAAAACAGTGTCGACGGCGGTGACTCTAAAATCATCAGCGTGCGGTTGTCTCTCGCGACGAACGATCCAAATGGCTTCGGGGGATGGAAAGCGAGCGAAAAAAATTATGGGTCACGGGGGATAAGCCGCGGAACGTAACTTTTCATACGCGAGCGAGGATCTTCACAAGTTCTCAAAAGAAAGATTATGCTAATTTCTTCTCGGAATCTTTCTTAAAACGCGTTTCCCTCGAGTTGAGACATCGTCGCGTGAAATATGCGTGTCTTGACCGCACAAAAAATTGTTTTATATATTCGCCTTCGATTTATGTACAAATAAACGAGTTTTTCTTTCCTTCGAGAGCAGGTGTAACTTCCCGCGGTTGCGAAGACGCGCAACCCCGCTTTTCGAAAATAATGAGATCATTTTTATTCTCACTGGGGAGACCTTTACGGGGGAGACGTCGATACAAGGGTGAAGAAGCACGCGAACATTCGAACCGGATAAATCGATAAGGGATGATTTTTGTATTTTTACGCGGCCGCAATCAATATCTGTTCATTTTGGCTGGCAAAAAAATAACTAAAAAAACAAACAAACCAATAAATGACGAGGTGTTTGGAAGTTTCATCAGATCGAATTCCCCCGTCTCCTTTCATCGATTCGCATCTATCCAGCGAGAAAACCGCAGCACACGACCGATGTAATATTTACCGCGACGTCAAAATAACAGTCAACAAACGCAGCGCGCGCGTGCATCTCCGTCGAGCGATTTGTGCGGTCTTTTGTGTTTTAATATCGCATCTTGTCAACCAGGCGCTCGTGTTTCGTACGCGAACTATGTTTACTCGCTACAGTAAATGTCCTTCGCGCAGCGCACGCGTTGTGCACAACGATTGCACGAAACCAGATAAGGAAAAACGGTGTGCGCCTCAATTCTCTCACGAATATCGTGACGAGAGAGAGAGAGAGAGACAGAGAGAGAGCAATTCGATTCTGTAAAAACAAAATGCAATTTTGCACGGAGCATTAATTTTAATTACACACGCGGAATTATATCGGATCGCCGTTAATTATCGGGTTTTTACCGAGCGCCAGCAAAACCTTGAATAATTTATTTCGTATATATATATATATTTTTCCGTATATTACATACAATTAATACACGGATAAATGTTTTTATAAATATTTCGTTTCTTTCTTTTCTAAAATACACAAGACGTGGTGTTTGTTTCCTTAATGAATTATTTGCGCTTACGTACCGTGTAACTTTGCGCAAAAATCCGGTATAAATAAAGATTCACACTCTAATGCGAACGATAAACATCGCCGATGAAACACAGACAGTTGATTTCGATTAAAAGTATCCGAAAACGTTTGTAGTGATATTTCCACAGGGGTTACAAGAGAAATGTCAAATATCTCGAAATAGTTACACACACACACACACACATACACACACACAGGCACACACGCCTCGCTCCCACGAGATACATCCGCGCATCATGCAAACGATGATGATTGATGATAACTTACCTTCAACAGTCGTCAGCTCCGAGGGATCCGGAAAAGCTGAGACCGGTTGCTCGAAGAGGAACCAGCAGGTGACGACGACGACGCAGAGCAGCCGCGCGGCGGTGCTGCTGCACCAGGGGGTGCAGGTTCCCGAGCACGTCGGCGACGGACAGGCCGTCGCGGCGACGCGCATCTCGACGACTGCTGGCCCCTGATTCCACGCGACACACCTGCGGCCCGCGGCCTACCACACACGCACCTAACTCACGCACGCACGCACGCACGCACGCACGCACGCAGCCACCCACCCGCGCGGCCGTAACACCGTACCTGCCGCACTCTCTCCCACGCAGGTCAACCCTGCCTGGCCTACTTCCGGTATCACATCTCCGGCCGATCGCGGTGGTGCGCGCGATCGATCACGCGCATAGTCGCCGCCGCGGATTCCGCGGAGACGCCGTAGAGCTCCTCTCCTTGCCGGCCCCTCTCTTGCTGCTCGCGTGGATCCCCCGCGCGTCCCTCACGATCTAGCGGTTGATCCCTCTTGTCGTTCGTTCGACACGACACGCCGCTGCGGCGTGCCGAAAACGATTACGTATGTGTATATATGTATGTATGTAAATATTTCTCTCTCTCTCTCTCTCTTCTTCGCTGCCGATCGCGAAGAAGAGCGAAGCGCACGCGATGCAATGCGACGTCGCGATGTGCGTGCGCGACCTTCCCGATCAAACGCGATTCGCAAAGTGCAGAAGCTAAGATAAAAAGGACGGCTGCGATCTCGCACGCGCGCGCGCGCGCGCTTGTTCTCGTCTCGGCGATAATACGGTACGTTCGCGCCGTCGCACGTACTCCGCGCGATTGTGCCGCGTAGCGCAGCGGAAAGGCGCGGGCACCACCAAGCAACGACCGGCCCGACTCGCCCCTCTCGCGCGGGGTCGTCGCGACGCCAGGGCGCCGGCGTTCTGCGCAATACGACCGAGTCACGTTTCCACCCCCTTTTGTGACCGATGTGTATATTGGTGGCGGTGTGTTGCTCCGATATTCATGCATCCATCCCTTCCCTCCGCGGAAACGCCGTGCGAGAACGCAGTGCCTCTGAGTCATTTCCTCGGACAAGACCCCGTCGTCGTCGTCGTCGTTGTCGCCGCCGCCGCGTAAATATGCACGAATGCCGCGGCGTCGTCGTCGTCGATGCGCGCCCCGCCGCAGTGTGGTGGTAATGGCGCAACGTGGGTCACGATCGCGTTGCTGCACACACCGGCGGCGCCGTTCTAAGGGATGCGCGCGACCGTCGGCACCGCGCCAACGTGTGCATGTGCCACTCTCACACGCTCCTGTTTTTCTCTCTCTTGAAATATTAACAACAAGCTCAGTACAATGCACGACGAGTCCCCTTGAATTATCCCCCGACGTTATTTACCCTCGATAAGAGAGAGAAAGAGAGGAGACTTCTTTGTTCGAAACAATCGATGTCTCACTATTTCGGGAGGTTTCTATCTTGAAAATTTTCTTACGTATGCACTTTTCGCGTTGTCGAGTGCGCTCTCGAAATATTGTTTCCCTAAAACAGCAAGTTCGCTTCATGTGCGCGACGAAGTTTCTCGAGGAATTGCCCCGAGAGACTTCTTTGTTCGAAACGATCGATCTTCATAATTCGAGAGGGTTTTCCTGTTTCTCTGAATTGTTTTTTTTTCTTGTCGCTTGTTCATCATAATTCGCTTTTTTCCTGATCGATTCGATTGACGAAACGAAACATCTCGCGCGGCAATGTTTATCGCACATTCGTTGATTGATATTTTACAAAAACGTGAGCGATTCAGGTTAATGCAATATTGTTACATTGGCGTGAGAAAAAAATACCTACGCGAGCGGTGAATAAAATATGCCGCAATATCGATTTGTGTGTTACAACGTACGTTAAAATTATTAAAATTGCGTATATATACTTCGCGCAAGCCGAGGATAAAAATAAAAAAAAGTAATCGATGTGATAAGTAATTTATGTGTTCGGATTTAATAGGAGAGGCTTTTTTTTTAGTAGTCCATCAGGAATCGTGCACACGAGGCAATTAATTGTTGGCGATAATTATCAGCGCACTGAATTACACAGTCATATGGGACGCGCGAGCGTGTGCGTGTGCGCGCGCTTATCTATATATACATATATAATTATATTATTAATAAAGTTATAAGTGTCGAGTCGCCTTTGATATTAAGTACGCATGCCATTGTAACGTCACTCGTATATATAGAAATTTTTTTTCTCGAAATACGCGCTCTCGCGCCCCACATTATAAATATAATCATTATATTAAGTTTTTATATATATACGTTCTCTCAAGATGTTTTAATGTGATTTTATATTACAGTTTATCGCGCGTGCGCGGTCTCTTTATATTTATTTACTAAATCTATTTTTACTTTAATTGAAATTTTATTTTCTCTCTTGCTCTTTCCTCTCTCTCTTTCTCTCTCTCTCTCTCTCTCTCTCTTACTCGCACATTAATCATCCGAGTAAAATTGAAATGTTCCGCACATAACGAGTTGACGAGCGATTGGACATTCGTGTCAACGTCTCGAGAATCCGCCCCGAGAGCAATATAAAACGTCCGGGCTCAATTTCTTCCGGCAGAGTCAAGAGAAAGAAAAAACCAAGATCTGTCGCGGATCTGCGCGATGCTAGTGTAGTGTGTCCCACTTTTACCCGACAGGTCGACTTACGTAACGCACTCTCCGATCCTTCTGCTCACGTAAAAAGCACGCTGAGTTCCATCCATTAATGGAATCCGATGAGGAAATGACCGAATCCTTGGGGAGGATGTGAGCGAGACGTGTGTGATCCAAGTGTGTATGAGGCTACCAATACATCGAGGAGGAGCTTTACTTACGAGAGCGAACTCTCAGATGCGCTCCGCTGAATGCCTAAATAAATGTCACAGTCGAGAAAGTCGGAGAAAAAAAAGTTGTCCCCTTTACGGATAAATTCTGTATCTCGATTTTGTAAATGTACACGCAATAATCGTGTATGTGAGATCGTGTTTCAGTTTCGTAATAACATAGAAATGATATACGTATCACGTGTAATTATTTATAACGAGATATCGAATTTGCTGCACATATATGCGGGACTTTTTTTCCTCCCCGAAGAGAAATGCCACAGAACTTAAATGCGAACAAATTTTAATAAATTGAAATTTTACATCTCAATTTTTTCACGTTACGCGGTTTTTTGTGACCCGAGCATTTCATTAAAAAAAAAGCGGCATTCTGTATAATGTGAAGATCTTTTTTTTGTTGACAGCGCTATTGCGTGTGTTTTGCCAATTGACTTCGCGCGCGAGCACACTCTTTTAAAAAGGCACTTCGAAGCGAAACGAGGTCTTCTAGTACGCCGCAAGAAATCAATTCGCATTCGATCGACCGATCGATCGACCGTTGCGCAAGTGCGTCTCCGACAGGTCGAGAACCTCTTTCACTCGAAACGCTTCTCACCGTTGTCAATTTTTTTTTTTTTTTTTTTCATTTCAAGGAACAAACAAACCGGTTGCGCGAGAGAAAACGAAATAAATGTCACCGCCGGCCGTCCCTGAATTATTATTTTCCGAGAAAGGAAGTAAAAATAACAATAGAAACATACTGCTAACAAGTAATGTGTTCATTCTTGCGATATTTTATTTTATTACCTGAAGCACTCGATCGTGCTCGTCTCTACGACAATGAAAAAATATAAAAACCTATAGATAAGACGTTGCGCATCACATTGCATATATATCAAGGTACGACTTTTGAATCTCTGCGTATATAAGATAAAAAAAAAACAAAATCTATCCTTTGGCGAAAGCGCTTCGTCGACGTCTAAGAACGCTGAGTAGCCTACGTTGCTGAAACTATTGTTGTTCCTGCGAAACAAGGTCCGACCAGTACGTCGCGTAGTCCTTCAGTATGGATCCTCTGCAAAAATATATCAAATACAACAAATAAATCAATTTATAAATATATAAAGTCACGTGACAGGGAAGAGAAAAAAATACACGTGCTGACTATAGTCACGTGACTAAATATATACATATATTACATATAAAATATATATTATATGTATATATATAATATATAATATAATATATATACTAATATTATATATAAAATATTATATAATATATATTATATATTTAATTATACCTTATATTGTATTATATGTATTTATACTACGGTAAGGTCACTGTCCTTGATCACGTGATTACGGTATATATATATATATATATATACCGGTATAATATATATAATATTATATGTAATATATATAATATTCTCTTTTTTACTTTTTTCCCTGTCACGTGACTTTACTTTCATCACGTTTTTAAAGACACGTTTTTTTCTGACATCTCCCATATGTGTGTTATATGATTTTTAAAGACGTATATAATAGCTGTCATCGCGGTGACAGATTTTCAACGTGTTATGTACACTGACAAAACACGTTAAAATAAAAATAACAATAACGTACGCGTAGCGCGCGCCTGTGTTGTGCTGGTAATATATAATTATTGTATTTGTCAAAATTTGAGAAAAATAAATATTTTCCAACGTATTGCCTCTCTCTCTTTCTGAAACTTTGCGGACTATAAAAGACGAGCTCCTGCCAAGCCACCGACTCGCAGCTAAATTTTCTGATCGTAAATCGCAAATTGAGATTCGCCGGATCGTGCGATTGCGGACGGCCGAGTGGCAAAAGCAATTATTTCCCATTGACCGATGTCACACAATTAGCCCCCTGGTCACATCGCAAACCGACCGCGCGCAAATTATCACACTGCGCAATTCCATTTTGCCGTTATTGCATTTGTCTATTCGTTCGAAATCGCAAAACACGCATCTCTGAATCCTTAATTCTCTCACTCCCATAATTAAAGAAATTGCCAAGCGCATGATATATACCTTTTTTTCCTCACTTCTCGACTGCAAGTCGACGCGAACTTGCGATGTAATAACGTCGCGTGTGCATTATCATCGGAAAAGTATCATTACCGTGTGCGCAAAAGGAATAGTTCGTAATTACATAGAAAACTATAGAGATTGCGACACGGTCTCGTCGTCCTTGGCGCGCGCGATCGCGCGGATTTCCTTCGCGAAATTGCCTCGCAAAGAAAAGTATTCGGGAAAAAAAAGTTCGTCTTGTGCGAACAAATTCTACATTTTATGTTCTTCGTTTACAACTTGGTGTTTGTTTGTTAACAAGATAACTAGCGTCGAAGAACAAAAACAAAATATGGCAATTAGAAAAAAATAATAATAACTTAAGAAAAACTTTTTTTTTCTCAGGAGAAAAGAAAGATCGCACACTCACGTGAAGTAAACGCGACCGCGCGAATTCGGCGGCGCGTTCCATATAAAAGTGGCCTGTTCTTTGTCGCGCGGATCCGCGTGTGTCACGGCACTGCACTCGGGATGCGTGTTCGTGTTTGGCGTTTGCGCCCAGGATCCGATCCACTCGTTCGTCCCGGCATCGCGCGCCTGCAGGAAAAATCCTTTGAACGGAACGTTGCCGCCTATGGTGACTGAAAAAAAACAATAAATAGAAGCGAGTTTTAATGAAAGACGGCCCGCGGGAGTAAAATTCGATTTCTCTTCCAATCTTTTCATGTGCAACACGCATATCCCGCGTTGTCGTGACACGTGCGAATTTCACGTGTCCGAAGCAATCGCGCGAGTCCGTCGATATGTATCCGGGTATAGAAGCGCGTATCAAAGTGATTTTTTTTTTACGTAAAAAGAATGGGGAGAATAACACCCGTAATGGAGGAAATTTTTACATTTCTGTCGCGTAGAATTGTCATGTAAAATGACACGTATGAAAAAAGTATACAAACGGCGCGGGATATACAAATAACACAGCGGATGTAAATAACGAGCAGAAGCGATTACGGAAGATAAATTTACCGAATGAAAACGAATGAACGCGCGGACGGGCATCATATTGTTCAAATCCGCTGCAAAACTCCATTTACATTTCGATAAATATTTAAACATATTTTATATGTGTTATGACATAATAAAAGAGTATGATGGAAAAATAAATTCACATCCCAATTAAAAGTGTATCTAGAAGTTATTTTTGAAATTCATGTTGTATTTTAAATTTATATTAAATTACAAGTATTATATATTTTTTATTTTAAATTTATATTTCATTTATCGCGAGAGCAAATAACATTCGAGACAACGCTTGCTTGCAAATCTATTCCAGGCGTTTGAGAACAAACAGAAGCACGGCGTCCACTTGTCAACCTAATTCGCTATTGTTCCATGAATCGACGAGACCAACGGCGGTTGTTGTTGACACGTTCGGTGCATTTTCACAATTGCATCTGATTGATCCGATTGTTCGGAAACGCGAGCTCTTTCTTGAGAAAAATGCGCATATTTGCGACGGAATAATGTTTTCGATATGAAAACATATTTTCGCAACAATGACGAACTTCGATTATTTCGTTGTTGCACAAAATTCTATTGAATAAAAAAAAAAAACATACGGATGTTAAAATCCACGAATGGATTTAAACATTCCGTGTCTCACCTACCTGTAATTTGAGAATTCGGTCCGTACTGCGACGACGAGGCAAGTATTTTGTAAGGACTCGTGTTCAAGGGCTGCGATCGCGCTTGGCCGTGATAGGGCTGATTCGGTCGTGGTTTCACGCAAGCGTCCACCGGTCCGCCGTCCGGAAATCCGCGAACGGAACAACAGAAGACGAGCGCGAACAAGATCGTAACGTAGGCAAAATGCATCTCTACTTCACTTCTTTCGGCAGGCAATTTTCGTACATGCAATAAAACGAAAAAATTTGATTAACATCGCGATTAACACTCGAACCAACTTGTTGAAATAATAAATTTAAAATTTTTTAATTTAATTATTGAACTTTAAAGCGCTTTTGTTCAATGTACGTGTTGAAAAAAAAAAAAAACAAATGTTGGTCAAATCTTTGTGAAATAATTTTTCAAATAATTGTCCATTGACGAATATAAAAACTATTCAACTCTGGTTGTTAAAGAGAACGAAGAGATACAAACGAGAAACAAACTTACTCGAGAAACAGATCCGCAAAACGAAAATCGCGCGAAAAAAAAAACAGCTCTTGAGAAGTTCGCACAATAGATCCGCACGTAAGTAACTAAGCGACCACCCGAGGTCTGCGTTGCCGGGATCCCGCTATAGAATCGCAAAGCTGTGCCGAGTTCGTTAATTGATCACTTTCACTCGATTCCTTCGTCGATCCTGCAACCGGTTCTTGTCTTGTGTGTGTTTAGGAGAATATCTACGAGTTTTATGTAATTTAAAAAAAAAAACCAGCAATTACATATTATATTACAACATAATGTAATACGTATCATTAAGTAATCTGTATCGTTAAACAAAACCTATTTTAAAAACGAGATATTTCTTCAAGCGTGAACATGTTAAGTAACAAAATATTATGTTCGTTAGAAATAACGCGTTCTCGAGTCTTTTTTTAAGTAAACTTTATCATGTTTACCTGCTGTCAAACGATTGTTTTTATCGGTGTTTTACGTTCTGCAATACGCATCTGTGAAAAACTGTGTTTTGTTTTTCACAAGAAAATGAATATCGAACACAAACATTTCGAGAATTTGGATAAGAAGGAAAAATCAAACATTTACATTTTTTTACTTTCTTCTCTCTGTAGTTCACCACATAAAAACGATATTACATACAAATATTTGTTTTAACGTGTGAGATAACGCCACGTGGTTCACAAAGCGCGCAACTCTTCGAGAGACGTTCGGTTTTTGCACAACATAAATCTTTGACATTTTGCGTTTTTTATCGATTCGTCGAATGGGTGAGCACATTCGCAACGAATCGAGTTTATTGCATATCGTACGCGCGATTACGCTCATTTCGCGAGTTTGTCTCACGCGCCTTTCACCGCACTGGATATTATATTGTAATGTCACACGTTACAAACCGCAATGACTTTTGCATGTCACACATGCGTATCGTTAACATTGACCTTTACCATAATGCTTTCTTTTGTTTTAATTATATTGTGCTATGACATTACATGTATATTTGGTCGAGGAGAAATACAATGAAGCATTGAAACGCTCGCGCAGCGAGCCCGATCACAATGCGCGCTCCGACACCTTGAGCGAGCGCGCATAATGCAGAAGCGTGCGCGTTGTTGCATATTCATACACGCGCGTATACATGCATATACATACATATGTGTATATATATATATATATTCTTTGACACGAATGTGAGTTCACTCGGCAATGTGATTTTTCATATTGTATTATCGATTCTCCGCTGCCCGTTTAAAGGCCGTGGAAATATTTCTTTTGAACACTCATATTTCCCGTAAAACAAACAAATGCTCTATTTGCTCCCACGCTTGTTTTCTTTTTTTTTTTTTTTCTTTGGTTTTAATTCGAGCAACGTTAAAAAAGGTACGTTTAAATTGGCACGTGTAATCGAGTTTCGTTTTACACCAAACGGAAAAATTTGTTGTGTTCTTCGTGTGTATAAATACACTTGGTTACATCGTGGAATATTTCGTTCAATTAAAAAAATGCACGTTTATATTCTATTTTGTGTGTTTTTTGTGCGCGCACATGTATAAAAAATTCTTACGTTAAACTGAAATATCATAACGGGAAGTGAATACATTAGACACACATTATACACGATATATGCATACTTCCTTATAATGCGTAATATATATAGATATGTGTATTTACATATGTACAGTGTCCCGAGTTTGTTTTTTTTTTTTTTTTTTTTTTTTTTTTTNTTTTTTTTTTTTTTTTTTTTTTTTTTGTTTTTACTTTCGCTATAACTTTTGAGTAAAGGTTCTCTCTAGACATCTGTTTATAGAATATGTTTTTCTTTTGTTTTCTGTTTTTACAGAACATACTGCACACACAGGATGTTTGTTTATTTAACCTGGAATAATGTCTGCGTGTCCGTGTAAGAAAACGTATAAAATATTAAAATATTTCTCGATCGTATAAATTGGACACACACACGCACACACATTTGTTGGATACTAAAAAAAAAGTATTCTAAATATCTTATCTGTAAATCGAGCGCAATGATCGTTAAAAAAAAATCATATATCGTATTCTGTGAAAAGAGAAAAAAAACCGAGTCGAAAAAAGTTCTTCGAAATCCGCGACAACCGGATATCGCGCTCTCGACGTTAAGCGATGAAGTTTCTCTCACTTTCCGTCACTTCTTATTTCTTCTTATCGTTCGCCGCGAAGGTTTTACGGAAGGATTACAATCTATGCGGCTGGCTAATCTATTTGTGTGATCTAAAAAAAACAAAAAGATTTGCCATTTGATTAATGTTGATTCACGTTTTTCATATCGAGTAAAGGTTATCAGGAAGCAAGCGTGAATACTTTAGATCGCCTTCGATCACTTCGATCGCGCAAGGTCGCGGAAACCATCCTCTTACGCGCTTCGATTGCGCGTTACCTTTCTGATCTTTCTCACCGAACAGCCAGTATCTGCGAAACAAATCAAAAGAGGTAAAAGCAACAATTTCTGAAAAAAAAACAACGCAATGCGAAAAACAATGTGTGATCGATCAACGTACTGCTTCCAACGCGTTACGGTCACGATGTCTCCCACGTCCAGCTTGATGTGAGGTTCGTCGGAGCAACGTGGATGACAAAACACGCCGAAACCGTGACCGATCGGACATCTCGCTCCCGACGCGGATTTGATGATTCTATAATTGCGCGCTCGTTTCCGTTTGTCCAATTTTTGTGCGAGCTGTTCCCTCTGCGAAGCGGAGCAATCAAGCGTTTCTATGTCTTTTTTTCGATACCGCGCGCATTTCTCAGTTTTTTTTCCCGATAACATTAAATTTACCGTTAACGTGTATTGATCGCATCCGTCGATAACGGGCCACGTAATTCCATCGCCTACGGGGGTGCAGTCCAGCGTAATAACTTGTTTGACATTGAAGAGCCATCCTTTCGAATACGGATGCACGTATTTGTTGTCTGTGTTTCCACGTCGATACCGGGCCTTCTCCAAAATCCAACCTTCAATTTCTGTTCGATTTCTTACAATGGCTAGTATCTATAAACAATAAAGAACAAAAAACGTAATAGAAGTAAAATTGACTCGTGCGATGCAGAGAATTGAAAATTATTGGACGTGTAATTGTTTCTACACGATCATTTTCACCTGGAAATACAGCAACATTCCCAGCGCGAGTTGAACGCCGATCGCCAGACCGATGCTAAACATCACTAGTATCAACGTAATGAGCGACGGCGGTGGGAACGGTAACGGCTTCACCGACAACACGGTCGCCGTCCAGGAGATCAATATAACACTGGAGAACCAGGAACCGGCAACCGCGGTGGCTAAGAACGTCGCGAAGTGACCGTGATTGCGATGTCCGACGCACGTGTTAATCCACGGACAGTGATGATCCATTTTCAACACGCAACGATTGCCTAAACCCGAATAAAGAAGTTAGAAACATAAAAGATTGAATCTACAAACCTGGTAGTCTGCAGCATGAAAAAAAAAAAAAAAACGTATATATATAAATCTCTTACATCTTCTGCAATGATGCGACCTTGGCGCTTTGTATCCCTGACAGACGATGCAATACTGCAGATATTGCACATCTATGGCCTTTTCCTAAAAATACACAATTGTTTCTATGCACCAAAGTGTTCCGTTGTTGAAAACAAAGAAAACAACAAAAACACACAACACAGTTAAATAAATAAACGAATATATTACTGGCATCCACTTCGGATCGAGATATCCGGGCCCTTCGATAATCGCGTTGAGGAAGTAATAAAGAGTGGTCAGACACAAGACAAAAAAGGACGTGGATATGGCGGTATCCAGATAAGACTCTCTCGGCAACTGTCTGCTGCAGTGTATCGTCATTATCGTGATGGTGTGTATGATACCTGAAAAACGCACATTAAAATAAATCATCACGATGAGACGACGTGACGAAGAAATTTCGCCATTTTTTTCTCTTTCATCGTCGAACGAGATTTGTATTTCGCGCCGATCCAAGCGACCGGCCGGGTCGCTTCGGATACGAACGACGCGCGTGGTAACTCCAAAGCCGGACTCCAATACGGATCGATAAATATGCATCGTCGAACAAAATGGGCGCAGACACGAATACATTTTTCATTAAAACGTAAAAAATTACGCAACGAACTCGAACGCAAATCGCGCGAGCGAGCGCTTTTGACATTCAAAAGCGCTACGCCGATATCAACAAAGTATAAAAAACGCGCACACGATTTTGCGCGAGTTTCCATTTTCGCGCGCTAACGAAAAACAAAACAATCGCGCGAGAGAAATTGTACTTTAACACTCGTTTAATAATTTGCATTTCTCCGTCGCAGTTTTTTTTCAACAACAATTTCGCTGAATCGCGGCGCAACACTCTGTGATTTTTTTTTTCTAATGGTCTCGTACTCTGTCACGTACCCAGAGCAGTAAGCGGTCCCCAGTGACATAACTTTTTCAGCCAACCAATGCACATGTTGTCACCATAAATCTGGTCCTCGTCCGCCGTGCGAATCTCATACGATCGGCCGATGCCGACCGCGTTTCTAATCTAGACTGCGATTTCTGGCAACAAAAAAAGGGAGCATATCTTCATCACGCTGTCACGCGGCCCAGGTGACAGCGACGCTTTCCCGAACAGCTGTGAGTTGGCACTAGTGAGCCGGTCGACACGTACGGGCGTTTTCACATGGAACGCCGCTTGAAAACAGCGGCTGATATATTGCGGCCCTCTTGTGGGACGGAGCCTGGGCTCTGCCGTCAGCTGTTGTCAATCTACACCTGCACCGAGTTAAAGGGCGTCCGAAGGCACCAGAAAGAAAAAGGTTTTTAAATACAGTTGATGAATACAAACACATAAACACATACCTCGGCGGCGAAGGTCGATCGGGTGACTTGGAATGAAATGAAAAGCAAAAGTGCGCGAAAATTTACTAGGTTTTTGACGTATGAGATCGTAGATATCCTAGTAAATTTGCTCACTTGTTTGTCTAATTTTTTTTTATCTTTCGTTTCAAGATGCACGTAATTAACCTTCACAGGGCACACGTGAAAAACGAACAAGGTATCGTTTCGTTCCGAGATGAGCTTTTGCTCCGCTGGCAAATCGTTGCGCGGCTTCGCGCGTCTCGAAACGACGAGTAGTTGTAATTTTTCTCCGAAAATTATGACGCACCCATAACCTCTATACCGAGCTTGTCATCATCACCTCTACGCGTAACAAACTGTATCAAAACAACCGTAACCTTTTGCGATCTCTTGCGTATTTATTTCTTCAAAAATTTCAAAAGATTGTTTATTTATTTACACACGCGCACGCGTTATCACTGAGAACTCATGCTACAATTCCGCACAACCAGTCTATATTACAGATACAGTGCAATCAGTTTAAAATGTACAAACCCGTTTCCCGTCCACCACTTGAATCTTACAAAAAACGTTCGTACTTGACGTTTAAATACAAAAACTGTTCAACCAAGGTGTATATATATATATGTATATATATTTATTGATATTCAACTAATATTAACAAGATTTATATAACTTTTGTTCTACACTGGAAGAAGTAACGTGTATGTAATTTGTTTTGCAGATGTATGAAGTTTCATCACAGACGTCTGACTACTTGCATACAAAAAACAAATCCTTGGACAAAAATTACAAATTTGGGCCAAGACAGAGAATAAATTTAAGGTTATCAGAAGACAAATCGTTATCCGGGAGTAATAGATTTCACACTTCTGATAGAAGCGCATCGTCAAGCGATAGTTGTAGTGAAATAGATGAAGATGATCAATCGTCCGATTTGCAAAAATATGGCAGAGCCACCTCTCCAGAAAGAACAGATAATTCTGTCAAAAAAAAGAAAAGTTCTAAGAACAAGGAGAAGGAAGAGAAGAAATCTTTCATAACGTTGCAAAGTAGTGTGATAATTGTTCTTCTTTTACTTGGTTTGTCTATTTATTGTATAAATAGAAATAAACAGAATAACAGATACTTAAATACAAATGAAAAACAATCGCAGAATGTATTTAAGATACTGGAAGCTATGGAAAAGGTTAAAAACAAATTTCGCAATCAAGAAACGGATATTTGGAATGAGATTTCGTCCGCGATAAATGAAATAATGTCGAGAACGCCCAAAGTGCCGTCCATTATTCTGCTGTTTGCAAACGAAACAACGACAATGAATTGTTTAGCCACCGAACTGGCAGATGTGAGCACTAGTCTCTTAAGTACGGACAAATCTCTGTACTTGAATCCGGAAGATTTTGGAGACGATGCTGGTAAGATTATAGTCAGATTGAATGACTTGGCTCCGAAGGTTGTGGTGAGTACAGGACATATAAAGTTACACGAATTTTTGTACTTCACGCGCGCTCAGTTACCCCCAAGCAAATCAAACTGTTGCAGGTAATTCATGACATTTTGAAAATTAACGCGCAAGCGATCAAAGCGTTGCATAATATTTGCGATAGAATAAATCCTCTAATTAACGAAGTTATTTACATTCTCACTATGCACACCAACAATTATCAGTTGTCACAAAAGAAGATGGCTTTTGTGGAAGAGCAAATTACGAGGAAACTGTCGAAAAACATCGACGAAGACATATTGAGCGCGCTCAGAACGCGAATCACAGACGGAGCAATTATACTGGTTAAACCTGAATTACATTTGGACAATTGCTAATGTGAAAAATATGCCGTCTTTCGAGCACGTATTTTGTGGAGGGATGTAATATAGTTTTGTAAGTGGTAAAGAATTAATGTTATTTAAAAAAAATATAAAATATATCGACAAAAGTTTTGACAGAGCGTTTGACAGATCTACTAAGTTTTTATTGTTGATCTAATGTTTTTCGATCTGGCGTGTCATTTGTTTTCAACAGATTTTGTTATTTAGAGTATATAGCAAGAAAAATCAATGTGATCTTTGTTTTGTCATAATTTTTCTTAACAACTCAAATAACATTATTTTGACCGGACGATAAACATTTGTACACACGTTAAAATATTTTGAATCAGATGCAAACATGATGGATTGCGTTTTTGCACTTTCTATTATTATATTTGCATATAATAATAAACGTATATATTTTTGTATTTATTTTTTTTTTCATATATACTTTATGTATATTTGCATATGATAATAAAAAACATATACACACACAAAATAAATAACTTTTGGCATGTATTATTTATTATACACAAATAGTTTCAGTAGTTTATTTCGAAAATATCTTTGTTTAAAAGAGAATACACAATGTGGATCTGTTAAATGTCATTTGTTTGTCACGTGATTTTTTTTCTCTTTAAGTGATGAGTCAATCACAATTTCATATTTCTCTATGTGTTCGAAAAATATAATCATATACCGATGTATCTAGCGATTTTTCAGGCGTATTTATACTTGTAGGAGATATACAACATCTTTTATTGCGACTCGTTTAGATAAAATAATTTGAGACAATTGTTTTTTTTTTTTTTTGTATATAATATACACAGCTTAATTCTATGATGTGATTTTGTGTGAATCGCGTGTGATTGTGTGTGACATGAAACAACATAATTCTTCAAAAAACCAAATATATTCGTTCAAAAGTTTCTTATTAACTCGCATCATATTTTTGTTGAAGTGTGGGGGAAATTGGAGATATTAAATTATCTAAATACCAAAAACTATATATTATGCGCATATAAAAAACTTAGTTGCATATATATATATATATATATATACTGTATAATATACTTTATAAAGTTTCTGCATGATTTGCGAGATTCGTGTGTTGGGAAATTTCCTATGTACAAGTTTCATTTACTTACACATATAAAGTTTATAAATATCAAGAGTTGAATTATTTACATTATTTACAGCGAAATACGAAGAACGCTTGGTCCTAGGCGTAGCGTTCGCAAGAGTTTTTTTTCACAATCTCGTCAATCGTTGTTTGTTAAAAAAATATTATCGATCAAAGGTAGTTTAGTTTAGTTCTTCCGTTTTTTTTTTTTTTGACGGACGCGAATCCATGAACTGTATAGAGACGTTTGGCTTAACGGCGCTTTGCACTTAGGGGACAGTTTTGAAGTGGCCATTACCATGTATTACGTGTCACTTGCTCTCGAAATTACGATCGTAGTCAGCTAATGCGACCGGACAGAAATGACACAGATCGATCGCCGCGACGCAAATATTTGAACAAGTAGAAACACATACTCCGGCACCGCCACAGGCAACTAATCGGATTTGAAAGTCCAGTACATAACGTTTGGATTTGCCAAACAAACGGTAGTAGTATGCAGAGTTCGCAGCTACGTTGTATATTTTTGGCCCCGTCGTCTCGATCGTGCCGCATCCACGTTACTTCGTCGTCTTTGGATGGGAGAGAGGACAAGCCTATGAGGTGAAATCCGTGTTGCTGTGCATTAACGTAAAGGGCAGCTTCAGAGAAACGTCACCGCCCATCGCTGAGATGAACAGTTTGACCTTTTGAGAAAAGTCAAAAGAAAATTAACATTTTAGTTTCTGACGCACGCGCACACTCTCTTTAGTCGCTTTTGTTTAAGTGAATCATTACGTAACGCAAGTATTTGGTTCAATTTTCGTTAAGCTTCTTTTTTTTTTTTTTTTTACGTACTCAGCATACCTTCACGTAATAAGATACGTAAATTGCGAAAACGTTTCTCTCCTCGGGATTGTTCTCGGAACAAACAACCGTCGACGCCAACGTCGCTCCGGTTGTCATGTAGCTGTCCTCCAGAGCGATCCAATTCTTCGTCGATCCCTTGGCGGGCGTCAGAGTGTAATTTTTCTGCATAGAACAGCCCGGACTCACAGGACAGCCTTCCCGCGACGCCACTAGTGCCACGACGTTCTTAAACGTACCGTTGCTGAACATACACACGTCTACGTGTTGCACGACGAACACCTGAGGGAGAACGTCACGTCACATCGTTATCGAATTTTTCTTCCCGCGTTTGCAAAATCTAGATTTTCAATATTTATACATTATGCAATCGTTTTATTTTCCTTAAATTTTTATTTCATTAGACTCTATTTTTTAACTACTCGTAATTCATATGAATACGTCCGCTTTTTTTTTACGTCTGTACGTATGTCACTCTTCTTGACTTTTCGGCTTCTGAAGGTTTAATGAAAAAAATAAATAGAAACAAAAATTTTATACATATATACACATATATAAAATGACTATAAAAAAAATAAAAAAAAAAATATATATATATACTATAAAAAATATATATAAAAAAATATATATATAAAATGACTATAAAAAATATATATGTATATATAAACTGTTGGATTGCATACTTTTATTTTTCTCACAGACTTGCTGCTGTTGTTGACAATACTGACGCTGACGGTGATCGCGTCCCCGTGAGCGTAAATCGCGCGATTGAGCCTCGCTTCTAATCCAATGCGTCCGTCGCTCAGCAAAAATTGCTTTTCCACGGCCGCGTGCGGTCCCACGTTATCTGCAAAAATTTCTACGTTTTACTTCTCGCGTTCGAAATCAGAATCAGTCAAGTTAGCGGATTCTCGCCGCTATTAGTTTACGAGATATATCATATAACGCTGATCGCAACCAACCGTCGTTCTGGATAATCTCGTTTTCGAACACTATCCTCGTTTTGCATGACTTAATTCTCGAGCCGATGAACGACATTTGCGACGGTAGCAGGCTGTACGTGTTGGTCGTTGCGGGTAACGAAGACGGTTTTGTATTACGCTGAATCACCCGGATGCCCATTCTGACGCAGGACTTGTAGCACAGCTTCTCGTCCGGCAGTTCCGCTGCAAAATTCGTCGCGCACACACGTAACACGTGACATTAACAATGCACGCGAAAATGCAATAAAGATGAAACACTTCGCTGTTAATCGGTCTGTTTGCGAATTCACATCTTTTTGTGGATAATTGAGCGAGTCTCTTCCGGAAGAGAAAGAGAGAGAGAGAGAGAGAGAGAGACTCGCGTCGTCGAGTTTGCGCTGAAAGGAGATGTCGCTGGGTTTTTTGATTCCTCTTAAAAAATTCAAGATATTTTCTTTTTGACTCTAACGCCGGAAAATCTAATGTAAAATTGAAATGAACAAAATTCAATTGCACTTTTTTAATGTACTCTCTCTCTCTCTCTCTTTCTCTCTCTTAAAACACATGTTACCGAAAACGCGCGAAATTGTTGTCAGATAAAAAATGTTCTTATTCTTTCTCTTGACTCTTCGAACTTTTCGCAAAAGACACAAGCGGGAAAATACGAGCTATAAAAGCTCGAGCGGATTCGATCGAATGACGTCTCGAGCTATCGACTCGTCATCAATTATTCAATAGGGGAATGTCAAGTTTAACTATAATCTGAAGTTTTTCCCAATTTCCTGTTCGTGAAACTTTCTCTGATACCTTCTATCGTGCGCTATTTTATTTCGTTCGATCAAATTGCGTTTAAGCGGAGTCGTAATAAAGTTGAAAAGGACACGTCCACTCACCGACGTAAACTCGAACGTCGTAGATGATTCCTATAGGTGCGCCAACGTATTCCTTCGCGGGTACGAGTTGCACGGACGGGGGGGCCAGCGGGGTAATCTTCAATGTGAATGCATGCGCATTGGGTCCTAATTTCTCGACAAGCGTTCTCTGAAAAAAAACAGAAAAAAGAGACCGCTCAAGTCTCAACACAATGCGAGTCACGAACGGGACGTATCTTCGGGAGAGAAAGAATGGTTCAATCACTCTTAATTCACTTGTAGCGCCGGTTCGTCTCGTCTCCATTTTTTTCGCTCTTTTCGCTAAATGACCAATTGTCCGTTAGTTGTCCTTGTAATAATTCTCGTGGCTCTTGTTCGACAAAAAAAACTGTTTCGACGATCGAAAGACAGAAGAGACTCTTTGATGATCAAATTGTTGTGTGTGTCTTTTATATAAAAATATATAGAATTAATATTTTTTTAATTAAAAATAAAAAACTTTCCGAAATTTATGTCAAATATTTATTGAGAAAAAAGATCGATTTATATCGAAACGAATTAAAGGGCGATCGTGAGGGAATTTACTTTGCCGAATGCAAATTTCAAAACTCGTCCTCTATGTTGCGCACGTACGCTCGTTCTCGCGTTAACCCTCTCTCGTTACGTTCCCTCATTGTGTGTGTATATGTAGAACATCTATATATATATATGCACGTTCAGAAATAATTCCGAGTGTTGCGTGCGGCCGTTATCTTTCGTCCCATCGGCTCAAGGATTTAAGACAGTGGGGTGTGTACGACGTGTGCGCAAACGCCCGTGAAAATGAAGGATGCTGCCTCCGCAGGGGGATGATTGCGGGCCAAGGTTATTTCCTGGAGGCGAGGTCGAATCAAGTTACGTCTCACTTCGTCTTGGTTTGCATCGAGGCGGAATCCTTTGTCGGAGGTAAAAAGGGTGCGCCTTGTGTGGCCGGTGAGAAAAAAAAAAAGAGTACGCAAAGGGAAGAAAAATTATGAATTTCGAACAATAAGCAAACAAAACGTAACACGACACGCAAAACGTACTAACGAGGGAGATGGGGAGGAGGGAAGAATAGAAGGGGTGAAAACTTTTACACGGTTTTATGCGACAGCTTCGTGTAATTAAAAAATATACAAAGAAGATAATAAAAAAAAAAAAAAAGGGATACACGCGGAAGAAAGGGGACAATGCGATAACAACCTATGTGCGTATATTTCTGTTGTTAGAATTAAAAAGAGCAGAAAAAAGAGAAAGAGACGGAAAATACGAATAATACACCGCTGCGCCAAGGGAATTCGCGGACTGCTAATGGCACATAATTGACGCGAGTTTTTTTCGGACGACAAAAAAAGACGTAATTGGCTACATCCTCACGTACGAGTTCCTCCGAGAGAGAACTCCTCCCGTTCGAAAGCCAATGTATACACACCTCAGCGCGCTCAAAACTCCCTTTTTTTGCCGGACGACAAAAAACGCAAACGTAATAGCTATCTACCTTCGCGTAGAATACCCTTGGCGCGGTGTGCACGATGTCGCGCGTTTTTGCAATAAAAAAAATGAATAAAAAACAAAAAGAAGAAGACACACGGAAAAGGACGATATACGGCCCGCGCGTGCGGAACGGCTTCAGCGATCCGAAAATTGTGAGCAACGTATGTTCGCGAGGGCAATTAAATGCGACATTGTCATTTTTTTTTTTTTTTTTTTTTATACACCGCCGGTCGCGCAAAGATTAGCATAGATATCTGTGTAGAATGCGAATAATTTGTGTAGAATGCGAATAAGCGTCGTAGGGCCCGTATGTACGTTTACGATATGTTGAATCTCTCTCTCGCTGCTTGGAGAAGGAGCGGAATTCGAGCCGCGCCTTATTGACAACGAGTATTGTACTTGATCGCGCATTTTCCAGTGATATCCGAAATTCCAGAGATCCTTTTACGTAACGACCCGCACTTCAGAACAGAATCTCTCTTGCGAGAGGAAGCGCGTATACGTGCAACGAGCGCGCACAATGCGTATCGATTCGAAGAAGACGCACGTTTTTCTTCGGCCTATATATAATCGCGAAACGTTTCCTCTCTCTCTTGCGAGAACCTTGAAAAAATTTTTTTTTTTTTCGCATAACGTTGTAATTTGAATAAAATACGATTACGAACTTCGGTAACGTTATTACAATTTTATGCGACGTCTCTTACACGCGGCGTCTTTTCTGGATGGATTATCTCCTGAGAAATAAATTGAAATTGTGTGCGCGCGTGACATAAAGCGCGTGTTTATATTTTTAGTCAAATATAGAAATAAATCGTATTATAATTTATATTTCGCATCGCGTCTCTCTTTCTCTTGTTTTCGGTGAGAAATAAATATTCATTATTTCGCGCCGCGCGGAGTTTCAAAAATGTATTCGTTAATGTTTTATCGTTATCTCGCGGTTAATTTGTAAAAACTTTTACCGCAGCGTTTCGCGAACCGAACAATAAGGACAAACACAACAAAAAATTCGTGTAAAACGGAGAGAAGAACATCGACGATATTTTGAAAATTTTTCGCACCGCGGACTATATAGGTATGTACATGCCGAGCGTGCAATTTATTCCCTTTAGTCAGGCCGCGACTGTCCGATGCGCATGCAATCATTATGGACTCCGATGTGCGACGTATAAACTGCCGCGAAACGTTGTTCGTTAAAATTCAATAATGAAATTGCCATTTACACGCGTCGACACGTCGATCGACGCATCGCGTCGAAATATTTCTCGCAACGCCGCGAATTCAATCCCGATAATCCTCCTACGGAGCGCGCGTCGGGGTTTTAAAATTCCGATCGAAAAACAAAAAAACCCTCATCCTCCGATATGCATGCAATATATTTACAGTTTTTGGTTTTTTTTTTGTTTTTTATCTGTTTGCAAAATATTTGCTCGTGGGCTCATCTCGCAAGCGCGGCCGCGAACATTTTCCACGCGCGCTGCGTTTATCCTCGGAAATCGACTTCGACGAGAGAATCCCGAGCTTACGTAATTCGCGTTTAATAGACACGTATACAGGCGCGGCGTGCACCGCTTGTTAAAATCGCGTTCGCTTTCAAACCGCGGACGGGAGGTTGGGAAGGACGTATCCAGGGGTTGACACGCGGGTAAAGAATTTTTCTAACAACCTGTGCAAGGTCTTTTGCCGAAGAGGAGGAGGTCACGGCCGCAAATTCTACGAAAACGCGTGCTCGAGGCTTCAATGAGGGTTTTGGATCTTCCCTGGTCACGACTTTGCCGAGGATTTCCGAGAGTTCCCTCCCGAGTGGATACGCGCGTTTCGTATATCTCTTCGAGAGTCCTTCACCGAATTGACATTGTATCGATATTATCGATCGCCGCGAACAAATGGTCACTTTGTCCCGAATTCACATTTTGTCGTCAATATATAACCGCGCGAATTTTTGCGAGGAAATATTTTCTGTAAAGATACATATAAATGTCTGTAACAAGCAAATATTTATGATTCACTATTTATTTCGAAAATATATTTAGTAAGCAAAGTATATATAATTTACACAGGTGATTTAACTATTAATAAAAAAAATTAAAAAATAATTTAAAATTAAAATAACGGCTCGACGAAATATCAAAAAGAAAGTAAAAAACAAAGTAAAAAAACCACAGAGCCACCACAGAGGAAGGAGGTGGACGTTCAGATTGACGTCAAAAAACGTGTAGTGTATTCAAGACGTTTTTCGATCATTTATTGTTGATCATCTTCAGCATTGTTTAATACAATAATAATAATATATAAATTAAAAACTCAAACCAAGTAAAATATATCCGTTAAAGAGGATGAACAAATATAAAATAAGTACATACGTACGCACCCCTAGTTCGACTACTAGTCAACACAAATTAAAACATCTTAATCTTATAAAACTACGTATATTAATTGTTTTTTTTCTAAAGACCATTGTTTCGACTAACATTCTGCAACATAACCCCATTGCTTATTCTATTTCTTTCTTTTTTTCTGCGTTAATTATTAGCAAACTGTACAAATCTAAACCACGTGTTTGCGCTTTATTCTCATTTTTTGATGGGTAGAAAACTTGTCTGCTCTTATATTCGCGTTTGAAACTATTTTCGAATTCTTCCTTCTCGTCTGCCGTCATTTCAGTTATTGGCGAGAATAAGGATATTATCGCATCTACAATTGATGAAAAATAAATTAGAAACAAATTTCTCGCAATATGAGCGAGATGAGTAAATTTGTATAAATTTCGCTCGAGTTTTCGCACACTTTTATACAAACACTTACTTATAAATTCGTCCGTAGAGAAGCCATACCTCTGCCGTACACTACAATGGCGAATCTCGAATCCTATATCTTTCAGCAAGAGTTTCGCCTTTTTCTGAGGATGTTCTACGTTATTGTAAGGAAACGTGTGTATCAGATGTTTCTGTGGAAAAATCACACGCTGGTTGGTTCGAAATTTTGTGATTTTTTGGAAGAGGCGTAAAAAATTTTACTTGCGCGAAGCGATTACTTTCAGATACGGTGCGAAGCGATTGTCCTTAGCTAATGTTTTAAAAATATCTATTACGGTATGAGACGCTACTAGAATTGTTAGCATAATGCCGCCAGGTCGAAGCATCCGATAAATATTTGTGAACGCTTGTCTGTCGATAAAGAAATATGTTTAAACTCTATCACATACATGTATATATATATATATATATAAAGACGTTCGAAAAGACGTGTCTACTTTAAAATAACTCTTGCCCCGCGATATCTTACATGTGTACTTACTCAATGTTAGTGCACCACTGTAACGCGTGAAACGAGAAGATGTAATCAAATTCGGAAACGTATTTTTCAGGCAAATCATTAGTTTGCACGTCCAGTACTTCGAATTTGAGCCTTTTTCCGTCGCCGTATTGTTTATTCGCAAAATCGACCATGGACTCGGAAATATCAGTACCTGGTATGCACAATATGCAGATTGAGATGCGATAACTATTTACACCACTTTGAATATTTCTCACAAACTAAGCGAAGACTAACGAGATTTCCGTTTTTCTTAGAAGTTGCAAAGGGGAACGCGTTTGAATGGAAAATACAATGTAACGCCCGAGTATGGGGGCGTGTGAAAAAGTGAAATAAAGGTCACTTGTGCAACTCGAGTCGCGAGACTTTTTGATTATTCCTCCTACTTACCAATCATTGCAGCGTTTGGATGAAGAGCCGGCAGGATTAAATTTCTCGTTGTGTATCCGGTACCGCAACCAACGTCCATGCATTTTCCAGACGCAACTTTCAAATTGTCCTCGTATTCTTCAAGTATTCGCAATATATTTTGTTCTACTCGATCGTCGCGTGAATGCATTAAATCGTAGACCGGCGGATTCATTTTGGATCTCTGTAGAATATGCTTCCAAAGGGGCAACGTGATTCTGTAAGATTCCGACTATTTTTTTCCCAAACGTCGCCTTTTATGCGCTAGCCAACTCACTCGTGATTGGCTGAACAAAAACATGCGACAGTCCATTCCAATTATTGTATCTTTATGGGCGGATTTTCCAATATTTGTTATCAGCATTCTTGGAACGCGCTATAATCTATCTCATAATATCTCAAAGATAATACTTAACCCATTTGCATCATAAGAGCATATATGTGCGCATCTTACTTAGGCATTTATCACCAAAGCGAATATTGTTTATACCAGGCCTGTCCAGCGGTGGGGCCCCTCACGCACTTTATTTCCCTTCTACGCTCTTAGACAGCTCTCTCTCTCTCCCCCCTTGTCTTATCTGTGTTGTTTTGGCGCTTGACGTGAGCTGACCTTTAAATACAGTAAAAAAAAATTTTGGTGAGAGAGATAAGAACGAATTTTTGACTTTTCTTTGTGATGCAAATGGGTTAAAAGGATTATCGTGATACAATACATCTCAAAACTGTAATACCGCGAGCTGCGCGCGCCTGGATTCATTACGTACTTTTTTCATTTTTCTTTCGAAGCCTAATTTTTGTAAGTGATGTTGAACACTGTCCACACAGTGTTTTGTATTGTGTATACACGCACCATAGATGTGATAACCTCCCTTAACACTATCTTTGATACAACATCACATGTATTTTGATTTAATTTGAAAATAATATGATGAAGTGCTTCTTCAGGTTCCAATGTGATAATTTCAATAATTAATAACTAATGTACTTCTAACTCTCTTTTGTAATAGTATCCACTGAAGAAGATTGAAAATATAACCGAAACGTTTGGGATCATTCAAAGTTTAATATTTCTTGCAAAACACCCCGCAACACGTTCTAACACGCCAGTACGTTAGTTATTAATTTAAAGATTTTGTGTGCATTATCTTGGAAAATAACACTTTGAATTAAAATATATTATCGTGATTATGATGTGTTTCTGCGCAATTCTACTCAAAGCGAATTTTGTTTCGCGTAATCGGCAAGCGTACGCTTACGACAGTTGTGATAACAATTTTCTGATAAGCAGATCTGGTGAATTTTGACGGTAGCTATCAATGTCCGGTTGTCACCGTCACACGCTTCTATCAGCGAGTGTATATGTGTATAAATAAATAAATGTGTATATATAATGTATACACAAATAAAATAAGTACATTTTTTTATCTTATTTAACAGACAAGCGTTTGGAAATACTTTTTGGATGCCTTGTGGAACTGTGCTAATACGCGGATGTTTCCATAACGTATAACTTCTTCTAAAAACAAAATCAAACTCTTTCTGAAAGTTATAGGATTTGAGATTTGCTATCGTAGTCTTCAGGCAGATGTGTTTCTTATTTTTTAATTTACTGTTTTTTCGATATTACACAAATGTGAAAAAACGTTTTGTTTATTTTCATCAGGCATTGTAAAACTATATGAAAAGCGACACACAGCGAAACCGCTCTGTTATCTTTTGCAAACAAAAAAGTATTAAAATGTCGTGCCAACTTCACTGACACATCCACAGTGACGAAATAGAAGAGCGAGTTTAAAACAATTGATTTAAAAAAACGCGCGCGCGTTTTGGTTATACATTTTCGGCCTTTGAGTGATGTTTCATTATTTCACCGAGACTGAGAAACGGCTAAAAATATATTAGTCAAAAACGTTTTTTAAAATATTGTTCTATTTTTTAACCTGCTCTTTCAATCTGATTCGCGCTTGTTTAAATTGAATTAGTTTTACTTTTCATACAATTCTATCTACAAAATGTAAAATGTGATCTCGTTTGACAAAGTTTTATTATTACTTCTCTTTTTTGTTCCGCGTTTTATTTCTCTTCACAGTCGGAAACGACCGAAAATCTTATTTCGATTGAAAGATTTTTGTCGATGTATTTATCAGAAAATACCAAACCCCGGGCAAAAATCTCGGAAATTGCCACCGATTCGAGCAAAGGAGGAAGAGAGGGTGAGAGTTGGGGAGACTTTTAAAATATGAGAATCGCAAAGAAGAGCGCAAAATAATTCCTTTGGGAATTCAGAAAAGAGAGGGTAGTTCGTCGTTTCCGGGCAACGCTTTAGCGTTGAAACGACATTCAAAGAGTCGGCAACGGCCCACAACGGAGACATAATTGGATCAGCGGTGAGGAATTCAGTCATTCTCATTTCAGGTCTCTCATCCGTCCTTTCTTGCGAATTATCGTCGGAGGATTATCGATATCTCACCGAGACATTCCTAGAGTCAATTACATTTTCTCCCGTCGTCGTTTCGTCGTTCGCAATACGAAGGGAGTCGTCGATTCTCGTAGATTTCGAAATCACGCGCTTTATTTTCTTAGCAAGAAACGGGAGGAGAGAACACTCCCGCTTCTCTGGCAGCATCGTAATGTCGTTAAGCCGAGATTCGCAACTAAAAGATATTAAGTTGCACAACCTCGCGCGCGATTCCCCGCGCGCGATGCACGGTTTAATCAAGGAAGACATAAATTCCACTTATATACAACCCAACCCAAATCCTTGAGGCGCACTATCGACTATTTTCACGCTATGAATATACGCACTCGAGTTTTAGCGTTCTCGCGTATGAATAGCACACGCTCCAAATCGCGTCGCAGCGCGCGCTGCGACTTTGCGAAATCGTTCTCTTCTCTAATCGTCGTCGTCGTCGTCGTCGTCGTTTTCGAAATTCGACTCTCGTAAACATTTTGCTCGCGTGTATAGTTTATGTCGAAAAGTCAAAGTTTTTGCAACAGTTTTTCACAGCAAATTAACAAGCAAACGCAATTAATTGTTAATTATTATTAATTATTATCGTTGTCGAAACGCGAATTAATTCGTTGGGAATAAATTGATACGCTCCAATTGCGATTCTATTGAAATGCATTCGTCGCGCGTACCTGCAACGGAATAATATCGTGATCAGCTTCTCGGTGAGGCGGATAAAGTTGGGACAGGCACAGAACCGCTTCGTTGCAAAATTTCAGACCCATCACCTCCTCGTCTTCTCGCCCGTAGCGGAAGGTCAGCGTCACCTGACCGTACACCTGCGCGCACAGTTACGAAATGCAATCTTTCATCAAATTTTTTTTTGTTTACAAGAAGCACAAACATCAATTTGCAATCTCATATTGCTCCTTACTTTTTTCTCCTTGTATTCGGGATGGACCAGAATAACACCCTGAAGTTTGTCAATTTGGCCTGGATCACAGACGACAAGGTCTCTGTTAACGAGATAAAGTGTCATCTTGTTGTTTGGCGAAGATTTCTTGTACACCCTGCTGAGCGAACAATATTTCATATTAGAAACTTTTTTTTTCTCAAGCACATTAGATCCGCGATCGCGCAAATCCGATAATACTCTTTTTTTTTTTTTTTTTTTTTTTTTTTTTTTTTTTTTTTTATCATCATCAAGTTGTCCGCAGATAAAGGTGCATCTGGTATAAATCAGGTCATGGATTTCTCTCTCGCGTGGGGAGTTTAATTATTTAGAGGTTTTTCTCCCTCCCCACCTTTTCTCTCACGCGTTGACCGTGATAATTTGCGTCGAACACAGTTTAAGTTTGCGCGGCGGTAAATTTTCTTCTATAAGTTTAAACTAAACTTTATTTTACACACAACAATAAACCGGAACGAAAATGATCGCGGTCTTAATGAAATTGTACGCTCGATGAAGCTTTGATCCAGTTTGCGTTTTCTCTTTTCCTCATTCAAAAACGAGGACTTGAGAATAAAAGTCGTTTGTTATCTTCTTTAACTTGCTTAACGATGAAAATAATATTATTTAGATAAATATTACCTCTGCTCTTTAAACGGAGATTCCGAAACGCGAACCGAGCTCGTGCTGTCCGCTTGTCTGAGAAAAAAAAGAGCAAGCAGAATTATTTATAATAATAAACAGATATCTCGTATACACAAACCGTTGAGCTGTTTCTTTATAAAGAGATACGTTTCAGAATGTAATCGGGTCAAGGATTTCTCAAACGAATTTTCATTCATTCATTCAGGTTTTTCATTTGCTTGATGATCGTAAACATAATGACTCGGTAATAACCGTTTTAAATTTTCGTCGCGCGTTAAACTTTTCCTCGTTAACTCGCTAATTTCGTTGAAGCTATCAACGGCGCAAATTGTCACAACGTGCTCTAATGAAATTTTACGCCATACATCTGGTCAGCTCGCGCAATTCTTCACATTTAAAATCAATACTTTGACTTTGAAATAAAAAAAAAATGTAGTTTATATCTTCTTAAACGCGTTTAACAGTTGAAGATTATAAGATTAATTTGATAAAAATATTTTTTTTTTTATTTTAAACATTACCTCTGATCTTTGCAAGGAGATTCCGACATGTGAATTGAACTTGTACTAGGTTGTCTGAAATACAAAAAATAATAGAACGGATTTTTTTAATGCAGGTTTTGATACATTATTTCTGTATTTTTTTTCATAAAAATGTTTCCCGTAAATAAATAAATTATAACTATAAACGCACACATAGTGGAATTGGATGAAATGTTGTTTAAGCTAAGTTAAAAAATTTTAACATGTATTAATTAATTAATTAATTAAAGTTACAAATGTTTTAATATATATATTAATATGTTTGTAAAGTAATTATTTACTTAATTAACGAGTATATATTAGAACTTTTTAACCCATATTAGAATTTTTTAACTCAAATCTTATTTTATTCTAGTATACGTTTGTTATAATATGTGCTGCAAATATTATTATTGCACGTACAATTACAAAAATCCTCAGCAATATATAATTACAAGATATACAGATAATATACTCTCGCGCGGTTTTAAGTTAATATTTCGCAAATTTCGAATCGGAATACCATATATACGCACGGCACAATTGCGTTCGCGCCCGTGTGCGTAATTGAGTTACCCGGTTGAGTTTCAACTTTCTCAATCGCACTTTCCGAAACTGAATGCAACTGGAACAATATCAACAATCGCGCGAAACGCAATCGTTCTCGCGTTTCTCTCGAATTTCCAGGTTTCGCAAATCGAGATTATTAGGAAGCGTCAGGTTCGCACTTTCCGACCTTTATCGGTCGACGTTTTGCGTGCGCGAGAGAGTTTCGCGAGATGAAATGCACAAACGCGAACACTTCGCGTGTGTCCGATACCGTACCACCTTTCGAAATCAAAGCGGACGGCGTCGCAAGTTTTTTAATTTTTTGTTTTTTTTTTTTATCGCCGTTGACGAAAACACGCGGTGCTCGTAATGCGCGCAGCAACCGTGCCAAGAAAGACCGGATGTGGCGGGCGATAACGCGACGCGATCGAATTCAACGCGAAAATAAATGTACCTTGGCCTTCGATCTTTTTCTGCCAGGAGAGTTTTCTTCGCGCGCGCGTGCATGTAAAGAAATAAAAATAAAATCCTCATTAACCTTTGCTTCTCGTCCCCCTCCCCCTCCCCGATAAGTTAATTGGATTCAATTCTACGGAGAGCTTCATTCGATTTCAAAGAGTATCTGCGTTAAAATATGTAATAATTAAGAGTGAAGTGTTATCCGTACAGCGTAGATAAAAATTCGAGCGAAATTTACGACAACTTTGCGACGAGAACACACACACATTGAAAAACGGGAGGGATTGAAACCGAGAGAGAGAGAGAGAGAGAGAGAGAGAGAGAGAGAAAGAGTCGACGGAATTAGAATTACAGTCGCACGCTCGGTGACCTTTCGATTTTTATCGGCGGATATAAACAATGCGGATAAAAATTCCGCCGCACACAAATGATACCTCGGCCGCATATATTTCTGATTTACGTACGTACCTACGACAAACAAGTACACGTTTAATATACCGTCACGTTAAAAAAATAAAAAATAAAAATACAGCAGCGGAGAACCGCATCGCCATTCGTGGAACGTTTTAGAAAGAGAGTACCGCTTTTTCATCACGCGAATTTCCAGAAATCTTTCGCAATTTACTGATCTCGCAAAAAAAAAAACAACAACTCACCGACGAACGAGCGCAAAAACCAACGACGGCGAGGCGCGAGAAACGTTGGCGGAGGCCAAGGTCCAAAAGCCGTGTTGCGAACTGTGTCGCGACCTGCGTGTGTGCAAATCGGGAAATAAAAAATGCATTTTGCACGCGGCCGAAAGTTCAAACGGAAAGAGTCAGTCGTTCGTTTCTCGCGATTCTGATATATCGAATAACGCAATCGAGCGACCGATGTTTTAACTTGTTATCGCATTTACTGCTGTACTCTTTGATGTATTTTGTTGATGCTCGACTGACTCTGGTATGTGTGTGTGTGTGTGTGTGCGTTCATTCAAACGACGATGAAATAACCGCGTTATATCGCGTCGCATTCAAGCTTCGAAACGAATAAAGTTTCCGGTTCAAGTGCCGCTCGTGATCCTCGGTCGTCGCCGATGCGAATCTTCAGACCCGAGACGCCGCTCTTGTGTGCTTTGTCACACCCCCGTGTAATGATAACGACTTCCCATCTCCCGTATCTCCCTTTGCTTATCACATTGAAAACATAATTTTCCGTTTTCATCCCGGGGATTTCCATTTCACGATCTTTTTAACAAATCTACTGTAACATTTCGTTATTTCGCGAACGACAGTTCTCGCGCGCAAACGCTCGCGAGAAGTTGCAATTCCGGGTGGCTATTATTGTAATTTTTTTTTTTTCAGAATCGATTCGAACAATTGAAATAATATCGCGTTTCAATTGTTCTTCCTATTGTGTGTGCGACAGCAAAGAACAGATGAGAAATTTTTGATCAAAAAAACGCGTAATAGCTACTCAGATTTTGTGAAACGCACACGAGCGGACGAGTTGGTTTTAATTTGTCGAATATAATCAATTAACGCACGTGAATAAACAAAATAAATAAAAGAGCTAATTAAAGTCCGAATCTCAGACGTTTCGTGAAAATTTCTTCTTTGGACTTTACTTTTCTTTGAAGAGAAAGACGTTTCGATCCTTCTAGAATCTTTTTCTTAACAAACATACACACACACGATATGCCTTAAATACAAACGTACAAACATGCAAAATCAATAAAATATTGTAGGTCAGATAATGTCGAGTCGATAAAATCGTGTCTTGAGGCGTCAAGAAGAATAAAGTTCACAATAACTCGCTACAAGACACGATGCAATTGTCAAGACATCGACACCGTCGTACTACTTGAGGAAATGGTCTTCCGCATTATATTGTCGACGTCTTTAGAATCTTATTGTTATTTCTTGACAATTGACGCCCTCGGGTTTACGATGAGTTCTTACGTGATTTTTACTTCTCCCGACGCCTATAAAGACATGGTTTTATCGACTCGGCATTATCCGACCTACAGATTTCTTTTTTTTTTTTTTATTGATTTTATATGTTTGATTATTGCATTTGTGATAAGGGAGATCATACGATTGCAAGATTGAAACGTCCATCTCTCCCTTTGTGAAAAATAAAGTTTAGAGAAAAAATAAAAAATAAAACTTGTCGCACAAGATTCAATAACGGTGGCTCGTGTGTTTAATTTATTTATTTTACTTATATTGAATAAAATATATTTACATAAAATAAAATATATACAATTATATACGATTTGAGTATATATATGTGTTTTTTACTTTTTTGTGTTTCACCTAAACAAGAAGATTTTCGAATTAAAGAAAGTGTGGGACGCGTTCGCGCGAGCGTTTGTGCGATCGTTAAAGCTCGATCGCTCCGCTGAGCTTTTCCTTCTTCTGTTTGATAGACTCAACGAACGCATAAAGTTATACGCGTCACATTTGTACAGTCACGTATAAGTTAACATTGTCGATACGCCGTCGCGCGGTGAGAATTCAACGTTCCACGTCGTCGAAATGACGTGCAATCGTAACGGGCGAATCGATAAACTCGGCGATGGGAACGCAACGGGAAGCTCTCTTTCTCGTTCCGTGAATCGAGAGTAATGCACGTTTTAAAATCGTCGAGATATATATGTATATATATATACATATATATATAGATAGATAGATACACACACACACACACGTATATATGTATGTGTCATCGATAATCTTGCTGCACACATTACGCACGGCGATATCACGGTGATATTTGTTCAGCTGACCGCACAATGATTTTCTGCCGTTTGCGAGCGTGTGTTATCTAATTTTCATTTCCTCTTCCGAACGAATCTCGGCTAATTGATCGATTTTCCGTCCTGATAAAAAAAAGCGTGCATCAAAGAGTTAATTTTTTTTTTTTTTTTTTTTTTAATTAATTTTTTCCAAACACTTAGCCGTAAGAAGATTTCGTTCAAAAACTCATTTGCACAAAAGATATTTTTACGACAGATGTAAAAACGTTATTATTATTACATTTCCGTAAACGAGAGAGATCCTGTTCTACAAAGCATAAGCGAACAAAAAAAAACAAAGGTGACATCTGTACAGTGGAATTCTTTAAAAAATAAAAAATAAAATAAAAACAATGGAAAATAAACTTGAGATTTATTTAAGAAAATAATAAAATAGTTTTATATCACCGTGCGACAGACGTTTTTACTTTCATCTTCTCTCGCTTTTCATTATGATAAAAATCAAACGATTGTTTACGGAATGTGTAAATAGTAATTTTGTTGTTTGATTTTAACTCGAATCGTTATCCTCGCGCGAATTATCGAATTACGGTTTGCCACGTGAAGCTCTCGGTCGCGATATAAATGTTCGAGACCTTAGACTACGATATTCTAACTGTAAATCACTTTACACACATATTATTCTCAAGGGATTTGCTCTTATCGAATCCTCTCTGCTTTATTAAAGTCTTTTTTCCGCGTAACAACAACGCGTTCTCTCCAGTAAAACACTAACTTGAAAGCACACCTGCTTTCATCAGTCTTTACCTCCCGGTTGATCCTTTAATCAGTTTAATCATGAGATCCTCTTTACATTCAAAGTCATAAAAGAGAGAAGAGAACCTCGATAAAATAATTAAAAAAAAACAGCTTCTCCAATTACGAGACTAATCATCGCGACTGTCTTTCTCTCTCGTGGAACGTGTTCGCTGACTTTTTTGGTAGAAATTTTGATGCGTGTAAAAGGGAATGAATTTCTGATTGCAATTAACTCTCTCTCTCTCTCTCTCTCTCTCTCTCTCTCTCTCTCTCTCTCTCTCTCTCTTTCGTTCTCGCAAGCAAACGGATTCCTCAAATATCACTGCCAAGAATTGAAGCGAAATGTTACGAGCGACTGATGAAAATCAATTTGAAATATCGCGGATGTGCCAATTACCGTTTTATGTGAAGGCTTTCCCGTACTCGAAAAGATTAGCGGCGCGGTCGCTTTTGCATTATTTAGGTTAATGAAGGCAACACGAGGCGGCTTTGAAAATTCATTAGCTCGGCGATAAAGGCGCCGCAAGAGCCCCAAGTTACCTAAAACTTGAGAGACTTTTATTCTGTCATTTTCCGCGTTTTATCGAACAACTTTAATTTCACGTAAATACATAAATACCCGCGGACATTGATTTTTTATTTATATTTACTTATTTACTTACTGGTCTTTATATATCCAGTTAATTTAATACGTACAATATTTACATTGAATCTTTTCATTCTATTTTGCTACTTTTACGTGAGAGGTGATGTTTGTGTGTAAATATTAAACTATTAATCGAGAAAAAATCGTTTGCAAAAAAATTTTTCTCAAACATTGTATATCACGCACATTCAGAGAACTTCAATCGTTAGCCGAAATTTAGTTTCAAATGATGAATCTTGGAATATTAGAGAATTTATCATCGCGCGTCAATCTCCGATGCGTTTCCGCGTGTTCCTTGACAATTTTTTCTGTTGCGATGTAACGACGCGCTATTTGTTTGTAATTTGCAACAAAACAGTGAGAACTAACTGAACGCTCGCGGGCGAACGCGCATCAAAGAAAATAAAGCGAACGTGGATAAACTCGCCGTAAAAGAAAGAGAGAGAGAGAGAGAGAGAGTTCTGGTAAAGTTCATTGCGGGAATGAAAGCGACGTGCTATCACTGGAGCGAAGAACTTAATGGAGACGTCGAAATTACGGGGTCGTTGAAAATTACCGATGTCGAAAGAATGAACGCGATACACAGAAGATATAGATTGAAAGGATAAAAAATAAATTGAGATTTTCCTCGCGTTATATTACAACACACACAGAAAAACTCGATATTTTTATACTCCAGATATTTTCGCCACTCAGAAATTGAATGTATCAAAAGTGCGCACCCACGCGTAAATTTCGCAACGATCACATCTTTCTGTATAACAAGGCAATAAACTCTTGTCTCAGTGATTGAGCATTTATTTAAAGAAATTTATTTGTGATAAAGTGTGACACATTTTATACGTGTGAAAAAATTACGTGGGAAATAATATATTGAAAAACATATCTTTGAAACTACTGGGAATTTTCTAATATTTACGTGTTTAAAAATTGGTTTCCCTCAAACAAATGCTCGGTCATTGGGGCATTTATTTATCTCACATATTTAAAAAGACCTCTAACTTTGATAAATTGTATAAATTTTACGGCAACGGTTTTTTACCGATTTTATATTCTGAGAAGAAACACAGAGGAACGTATGCGCAGAATTACATGATTGATGACATCGCTCTTGTGCACGAGAAATTCCAAATAGACGTAAAAACATTCATAAAAAATACATAAAAGAAGTATAAATACTTAAAAGAGGAAAAAGTAACAAGAGGACAGTAAAGATGAAAGAAGAAAAGCCCCCTTTCTCTCTCTCTCTCTCTCTTGAGGAAAGCTCTGATATAAAATGTATCCTATATTAACGAGAAGTGCGTGTTTGGAGTCGAATATATCGCACCTATTGTTGCCTCTTTTTCGCGTTGCCGATTGGTTAATTGGTTGATCGAGTCGAATCGAATCGGTAAGATCGAGAGAGTAAATAATGAAAAGCGATTTTGAGACAGTTCGTCGTATATGTAGAGAAAATTAAAAACGTAACTAAAGTCACGTGAAAATAACGTGACTGTAATTTATATTATATATAACATTAAATAATACATATTATACATATAATTTATTATATATTTATAATATTATACTTTATATTGTATTATATATATTATATACATACTACAGTAATGTCACTGACCTCCGCCGCGCGACTTTGGCGGGGTCACTGACCTCGGCCGCGCGGCCTTGGCGGGGCAGTGACCTCGGCCGCGCGGCCTTGGTGGGGGGGGGGTCACTGACCTCGGTCGCGTGACTGCGGTGAAGTCACTGACCTCGGCCGCGCGACCGCGGCGGTGTTACTGACTTCGGTCACGTGATTACGGTATATATATATATATACATATACATATATGCGTATGTGTGTGTATTATATATAGATATAGAATATTACATATAATATATATAATATTCTCTTTTTTTTTGAAAGCGTTAAACAATTTTGCGCGGTAAGTTTTATAATTAAGAACTGCACAGTTGTTTGGTTTTGTCAGAAAATCCTCAGTTTCGACGTCTGTTTTCTCGCTCAATTAGCAACGGTATTTATGCACGTACCTCTCCAAATCTCGAATTGAATTACGCGCGCGCATCTATAAATTTCCATACATTTTCGGCGCTCATCGTCACGCTAGATCGGCAACGCGTAAGATTAACGCGTCGGTTGCGTTCGACGCGCATTAACGAGAGGTGTAGGAGGAGGAAATGCTGAATAGATATCGCATTTATTGATGGCAACCTCCCCGATGACGTCGATAATACACATTCTACATCCGATACGAAATTGCGTCGATAGTTGTGTCGAGTTTGTCTCAATATATATGCGCCGCGATTCGACAATTAAACGCGCGTATCTATGTTTACGCGCATATCGTAATTCCGTTTATATACGCGATTTTGTCCCTACCACACACAGAGAATGCGATTGAATCGTCATTTGTTACATATCGAAGACTCGTGTTTTCGCGCGAAGCGCGTTATATCTCGTTAGGGTCGTTCTCTCGTCTCGGTATTATTTTCCCCAAAGTTCTGTCGTTAAACTGACGCCGGAAAAGTTCGCAACGCGAACGAGGCGCCGAGTGTTTTTCTTTTCGCCTTTTTTTTTTTTTTTTTGACGTCGCTTCAAGCGTTTCATCTCTCGGCCCGCTCTTAATTCCGCAGATAATATTATAAAGTTTCCAAAAAAACAGAGAAAAAGATAAATTTGTCATTCGATAATACGTCTCATTAAATTGTAAAACGTATTGCGTCGGACGGTGAACGTCGGTCGTTTACAATTTATCTCGAAGAGGATAACAAGACGAGGACAACAAGAAAAATGATCGCGTGCCTCACCCGTCAGCTTGCGTGCTGCTCAGCTGCAATCGGGATAACATCAGTTGTTGCTGGTCCACTTTGATCAAATTCTTGTTATAACGATCATATTCCTCATCCTCGTCCTCGTCCTCGTCGTCGTCCTCTTCCTCGTCCGCGTTCTCCTCCTCCTCCTTCTCCTCCTGCTTCCTCTCCTCTTTGGCCGTTGTCTTCCCGTCTCTCGCGTTGCATTCCGCCTGCGCAAGACAAAAAGAAAAAAAATAAGATTCGAGAAACGTCGTCGTCGAAATTGCACGTTTGCTGAAAGAAAATTGCTTCCCACGTATTAATTCAATTACACCGCGTGCACGAAAAAAAAAAGCTACAAATAAACGCGCGCGTCCGCGCGCGACGACGATCTTAATTACGTATTCGCATGAAGTTCCCTAATTGCGACGTAATAAATTTTTCTCCACGCTCGTGCAAAAAAGCGTCCCCGAATGTAATTTGCACTTTTTTTCTGCATAAGTTTCCGCGACACTTGCGTGAGAAACCGCGCGAAAATATTTGTTTATTTCTTATTTTTCCTCCTCCCCTCTCAGCGGTTTTTTTTCGTTTATTTTCGAGGAGAAGTTGCGGTGCGCCCTACCGTGTTGTGACACAATTCCTGTCGCAGCTCGTTGTCCTCAGGTTTCGCGGTACCTTCCGGTGCGATATGACTGCAGTTTGCCGCCGTCTCTTCTTCCCTTCTATCGCGGCCGCAAACGTTCAACAGGCGATACCACATCCCGCCCGATTTCGACATCGTCCACCGAAGAGGGAGTTCGGGGAAACGGAGAACGTTACCGATGATCTCGACGGGGGCGTTGCGGAGGCGGGAAACAAAAGTATCCGGGACTCTGCGGAAAGGCCACGTGTCAAAGGTTTCCACCTGGCAAAAGACGCGGGTGCGTCTTCGAATTCATTTGCGTAAATGTCGGCTAACGTCAGAGTTCGAGAAATGTGAAAAGAAATCGTTTTACTTAAGCAAAAAAAAAAAAAATAAAAATAAAATAAAAATACTAAAATAAAATGGCGCGACGTTACTTGAAACTTGACAAAAAAGTTGACAAAGAGCTTTCTCTCGGTTTTTAGGAAAGGTTAATGGAAGCTCTGTCTAGGTTTTTTTCGAACGAACCAACAAGTAACGAGACTTCTCTTCATACACACACATACATACGCACAGTGTCTCTCTTCCTCTTCCTCTCGCCCAATGATTTTCTCTCGTATTGAAATTAAATACTAATGGAGAAGAGAGAACGCGAAATTTGATATTTATACGATTCCGGATGGCGCTTTTTCTCTTTTCCACAAAAGTTTCGAATTACTTGCAAACAAATTGTCTCTCGAAGCAATCGCACAAATAACCTGCTCAGTTACAAATTCAATTTGCAATGTTATCCGTTCGACGATAAAAAAAAAAAAAAAAAAAAAATAAATTATTGAAAAATATGAAAAACGCGCAATGACAGTTCTCAAATGTATGTAAATGAAATCTCTCGCCGCGCACATGCAGTCGCTCCCATTATAATGACGTTGTTTAACAAGTTCAAAAACGGCTTTATGCGACTCGACCTACGGCCATGACAATAATTACAATAGTCATAATAATAATAGTAATAATAATCATAATAATAGCAATTCTTGTTCAAAAGTTTTCGCATAATAAGGCGAGAAAGAGAGTCTTCTCGATGCGAATCGACACGCTTGATTAAAGATCCTCGCGCGATTATGTGACAGCGTCTGAATACCGCGGTATTCAGATATCGAGAAGGATTCATTCGGTATCGCGAAGATAACGCGCGTGGCGACGACGACGACGACAACGACGATAATAAAACAACTGTCAATTCAAAAACGGAAAAAGACAATATCAGCGAATTGAACTGCACTAACTGTTGTTGTTTCGATAAACTCTTAAATCCCCGTGACTGTCCCTTTGTGACTTATCTCCACGTATTGATAGAAGCCCCGCGCGCTCGATAATATCCCGGTGATAAACGGTTTGCAATATGTCACCGGATTGCGGTTGGCAATTAAATTCGTGCAATATCACTTTTGAGCAGAGAGAAAGAGAGATGAGTTCGTTATATTAAGAAGCAATAGGAGAAAAAAACGAACAAACGAATTTTTAAATAAATCGATATTTAAACCACACACTCAAGCGACTCAAATGTGATTCATTACGTTTGTCGTAACGACGCGTTGAATATACATATATATTGAAAGTATTTTTCTCGTTCTCGCCAATGTCACGTGAGCGTTTATTGCATTGCCGTGAATGATGATTTACGAGCGCGAAAGAGAAAGGGTCTGCGTAGGGTTACGTAGTTGCTTTGTTCAGTTCGCGTCGTTGATCAAGCTTAAAAGATTAGGACGTCGCACACGCACTCGTCATTCTCATACACACACACACACACACACACATATAGACGAGAGTATTTTTATTCTAGTTTTGCGCTGTAATTCTGAATTTCGTACGGGTTTTTCGCACGCGCGCAACGAGGGATAGTCTTAATTTATTCCGAGACCATAAATATTACGCGCGTCACACCGCCGCAATATTTCACGAGACGTGTTTACCGGTGCGTAATCATCGGAGCACGAGAATTTCTCATTCGCAGTGCGAGATTTTCGTCATTTACTAATACATGTGTCACATCGTGGGGAACTCAAGCCGAGCCGTCGTGTCTCATTACCTTTTGCGAGCAATTCGCATAAATTGCCGCGCAACGTTAAAATTACTTTTTCAAATAACTTTGCTACTTTATATTATATAACTAAGTACTAATAAGTTTAATTTACTTTTATCTCCAATAAGCTGTTTTTTTACTTTGTGAATATTTTTCTATGTAAAACGACATTTTCGCGACACCGAGAAAGAGAGAGAAAGAGCGCGAGAAAGAACATTCTCTTTAAGCGTAAACTTCGTAAACTTCGTTTTATAATTACTTTTCACCGTATAACTTTTCGCGTACGTATGTGGGTGTATCATAAAACTGATATCGAAAAAAAAAACACGAATTTATCTAGATTTTGAGGTATTTTCTCATTTTTGTTTGTTTAATTTTGTGTTTACTTTTGTTTAGTTTGTTTTTTGCTGTTGCAATTTATCGCAGCAATCATCAAGTTTAAACATTAGTGTTTGCAACGCAAAAGGTTAGGTTTTCGCAATTAAAAAACCGGACGTTCCGGTTTTTGGTTGCAAACGAGGATCTCGTTTCAATTTCTGATATGAATTCGATATTTCGTAAATACGCAACCAACACCCTCGTGTAAGAAAAATTCTCGAAAGATCGAACAAAAGCGAACAATTCTACAATCCGATCCGGAAACCGTCGCGAGGTAACGTAAAGCGATTATGTGTGCAGCGTCTTTATGTAACAAGACGCCAGTTCTCTCGGGCTGACATCGGCGAAGTTTCATTAACATCTTGTTTTACATAAGTACCGTGGCACAAAACCGCGTAACGGAAACGCGTAACGGGGATCGATCGCGCGCATCTCCTTTCCTCGAGATGCACCAACGCGAGTGCATCATCACTCAATATGCAAATTTTACCTTGTAAACGTAATGCGATGTGATTTTCTCTGTATTTTCTTTCCCTCTTCATTACGTCCGAATTTCGAATCCGAACTCCCACGGTGTAACTGTCACAAATTTGTGAAGAACAAATGGAAACTCAATATTGCGCGCGCGCGAAACAGAAACCCGAGAAAATTTAAACAATTAATCGAAATAAGTCTTTCTCTCTCTCTCTCCCTCTCTCTGACAGTTTTCTCAACTCGAGAGAAATAACAACACAGACCCTTGAGAGCCGGGAGAGCAGAATGTACGGGGATATTTTTAAAATGTAAACTAAACTACTCGCGCATTAAATTTGCGAGTAATTTTAATCGAGTTGCGAACTAATATCCGACTATAGATTTTCGAATTACCATGTGCGCGTATTTACGCTTACTTAATAAAATATCTCACGTACATACATCCGATCTCTTGTTTTCTCTTAAATGAGAAATTTACTTTCAAAAATTGATTCTTGACGTTTAATTAAAATAATTATATGTATATATATATAAATGTCACGCAACCACTTTCGAGAACAGATCGCAGACGTAAAGAAAATGGGGACACGGGAGAGGGATTTGTGCAAACGCAATACCGATATCGCGCGTTTGCAACATCAAAGGGCGTCAAATGTCTAACTCTAATTTCACGAGAGAGGAGTCCACCTGATTCAATCGATCGGAGGGGAGATAATTGCCTTCCTATCCTGTCTAATGAGCGCCGTCTAATCCGGTAGAAGATTAATTTCCCTTTTAGCGATTTCTCCGAATGGAAATAAACGTCAATTAGATGAGCGCTCGTTCGACAAACCTGGGGGTTTTTCTCGTTCTCTCGAAATAGCCGGTGAGGATAGGCAACGAAAGTTCCTGCAGATCGTTACTCCTTGGAGAACGGATGTAATCAACAACGTTTTCGGAACCACTGTAACATAAGCTGCTATTACGTCAAGAGATATCAAGTTTCGAAGGAGCGGAGACAAAAAGATATCCTCGTCGCGTCTGTGTGTCTGTTTGCGTGTTGTGTGTCATCCACAAAATTCGTTCTCGCACATAATCCGTTTCGGTTAAACCTCGTTATTTTTTGTTTCTTTTTTTTCTGTGAACTATCGGCTTTAAGGTGGCGAGACGATAGCGACTTTATCCCGCTGCTCTCTTTTATCCGATAAACTCCGAGGGAGAGAGAGAGCGAGGGAAATAATGTTGCAAAAAATTTTAATTAAGTTTACGCAAGACGAAAACGTATGTTTCTCTTTTTTCTTTTTTTTTTGAAAAGAAAGAGGATTTTTTTAATTTGTACCGGTTCTTAAAAGGATTTTAATTTGCGTAACTGCCGTTTGAGGCAGCAACAAGTAAAGGACCAGCGCCACGAAAAAGTATATATAAGAGGAGAATAATAAAGACATGTTCTAATAACGCAGCTTTATCCTTCACCTAATTTACATTTCACATTTCCCCCCGGGGATGGTCTAATTGAACTTTTAATTAACAAAGTTTGCAAAAATACGACGTTACCGTCTCTCTCACACACGCGGTATTAAGCGCGAGAAAAAATTAATAAATAAACCGCGACCAACGTGATGAGTAAATAAATAAACAAACGTATGAACGCAACGGTTTTATGTAAATGTCGATTACAGATATACCTTATCAATAATTTGTGTTTTTTTTTTTCTCTCTCTCTCACTCTCTCTCTATTTTTTGTTTAAATTAAAATATGCGTATTATTTGAAGAGTGATAAATTTCATTTACTGAGAAAACAAGACCCGAGTAATTAAACATATGCACGCAGTGTCAATTATCTGATACGTTGCCGGCAATTTGCGCGCTTTGTTATTGTTTTACTTTAACCTATGCGTTTACATATTATTTGAAGAGGAACGATAATTCGAATTATTGAGAAAACGAGATCCGAGCAAAAATGTATACGTGTGTGCGAAGGACGTCCTTCCGAGGAGAGAACTTGATGACGGCGAGGACACGTGGCGAGTTGATACAACGCGCATTTGTCTGCGTTTTTATTGCATTTCGCGCACGTTTTTACGACGGTTTGTGGAAATCCACACCTCTCACACATTCCGAACGTTCCGTGTGTTTATTTATCCGCGAAAGTCTGTTTGTTTATGCAAGTATTTACGAAGGTATAATCCGTCCGGTAATTAAAAGAGAGTGTTTAACATAGCAATCAGCTTGTATACCGTTTGTTCGCGTCTATTAGACGTCAGCACCACATTCTCGACTTCGTCCAAATTCCAACCACTTAATCTGGTTACGCGTCGGTGTTTTCGCGCGTATTGTGTTTGTGAGCGAATTGTGGTTTTAAATACGATTGCGAGCTCGGAGCACTGATAGTGTGTTTAAAGCCCTATTCAGAATCGCGAAGCCTGGCACGTAATTAGATTTTCAATGTATCTGCAAAACTACTGCTATACATCAAATGAGCTCGTGTGTTCATTATGGTATTGATATCCTGATGTACTCGCGCGCGTACATATCGTGCGCGCCAGGCCACACATCTCATCCGAAATTTCCGGAGAGAAACCTATTAGCTTCGATATCAACCATTTGTGCACATCCCCTCCTCCTCTTTCCCTGGAAAAGGTCCTTCGTACATAAACAAATTTTCTGCAATGTATCTGGTTACACGTAATTACGTAAATACAAATTGTATGCGAGATAGATCGTCTCACGTGTTATTTATAAACCGGAAATCGAATCTGTCCGTCCATACACGCGGGGGACTTTTTTTTTTCTCCGCGCGGTTTGTTAGTTTGTTACTTTTGCAATTTTGTTTGAGCACAGCGCGTTTTATATCAACCTGTCTCCTTCCTCTCATCACGTCCCTCTTGGCGATACAATGAGCAACGTCAAATTTTTTTTCTAAAGAAAAAAAATATACGGTAAGATAAAAAATCAGGACAAAAGAAGCGCGTTTGTACGCGACGACGACGTCCAGAGATTTTATCCTTCTTGCAAGTACAAATACAAAGATAACGTCGTAAAATAAAAATTGTATCAACTTACTTCGGTCTCCCTTACTTTTTTTTTTTTGTTTTTCTATTTACAGAGACACATTTGTTACTTTTTTATTTCTGAAAGCAAGCGGAGCGGAGCGAGGACAAAAATTTTCCAGTTTTGTATACGTGCGTATTGGTACGTTCTGTAGTTACATTTCTGTACGTTACGTTTGAGATTTAATAAGAAAAACACACTCGAGGTAACTAAAAGCATATCAATGTTGTTTAATCTCGTTCGCAAATAAAGAAAAAAAAAGAACTCGAAGGTTTATAAAAAAAACACACGATTTTATTTAATTCCGTTGAATTAATTGCATATATAAAAAAAACCAAATTATTAATTCATATTATTATTTGTATCATACGGGAGGGAGAGAATGAAGATTAAATTATAATAATAACAACGGCTCTCGTGTGTGCGAGAGAAGAGCACCTGTGCGGCGGTATCGGTCGTGCACGGCCGTTTGATTTGAATGAAAACCCAATTCAATCGGGGAATGCGGGGAAGAGAAACAAAAATGGCGAATTAGCGAGGAAACACTCTCTCGCGGAACGCGATATATAAACGAGCGATGTATCAATTTTGATTAACCGCAGGCCTCTTTCTCGATAACGACGCTATTCATTCTCCCCGTAGTTTCGTTGTTTCGCTTTTGGCGATGCAACGTTGCGTCACACACGCGTTGTGTCGACGGTATCTACCACGACGCGTCAAACTCCACCACACGGCGGATCATCATTGTGTACCAAAGTCAAGGCTGTGTATATAAACGCCAAAACGCCGTTTTCATGTTGCATTGATCTTTTCCCCGCGGGAGACAGGGAGATCAGCTTCGCTGACGTATCGTGCAAACGTGTCACAATTCGCCAAATTGCTCCGGGGGGAAGTGACCTCGCTCGCTCGGGGGAGACTCAAATATTAATGGCCAATATCGAGTCCGCGCATCGACCGCATCTGAGATTTTGTCTCTTGAGCGATTACCTTTAACATTTTCGTTGATCAGACCGATGTCACTCTTGCGCGCGTGCTCATGTATAAAACATACAACACGTACACACACACACACACACACACATACACACACATGTTGTTGAGACTACCGTTGTGGTTTTTTTTTCTTTTTTGAAATTGTTTCGACGTTGCGCACGTACGTGCTAGAAATTACGAAAATCCGGATTGAGGTAAGAAGAAAAATCCCCCGGGGAAAAATTGGAATTTGCTTCATTTGCCTCGCGCGAGAGAGAGTTGGAAATGAAATCGAAACGTTTCAAAGCGACGAACAATACGACAGAGCCTAGTTTCGCGATTGTGAAGACTGAAGGCGATCCGTGCGTCGGAGAAAATAAAAAAAAAACACAGAGTAAAGAAAAATATGGGAAAAGATAAAAAATAAAAAAAATAAAAAAAAAAAACTGCCTGAGAGAAAGATAAAAACGCGAAACTCACCCTTTGCTCGGAATCTCCGATATCGTTTGATCCCGCGCGGATTTACACTGGTCCTACACGCTCGAGGGTAAAGCTCGAAGTGGTAAGACTCAACATTGCGCCTGACGTCTGTCGCGGAACACGGCTCGCTGACTACTGGCGCGCTCGATGCCTGGCATCGCAGTACACACGTACGTACAGACCAGCCAGAGCCCACCCGACGTCTAACGCCGTGCCTATATTCCCCGGGAATATGGCGATTGGCGGCTCTCTTGTGAAAAAAAAAAAAAAAAAAAAAACAGCGAACTTGTATCTCTGCTTGTTAAAAACATTTGCAAAACAAAAAAACGTTCGAACGTAAATTTTCCGCGCAATTCTATTTGTCGACTTTAGTTCTTTTCCCGATTGCGATCGCTTTCACTTTCGCTCTTGATCGGTGTGACTTGCGACAGAGAGACACGACGCGTCTCAGTTTCCCGGTGGCGGTGTGATTGAGAAAAAAAAAAAACGATATCGGCGCAAAGCGCCTTTTGTTCAGCTCGAGCGGCTGGAGTGAGCGTCGATTGTTACTTGAAATAATCTCCGCGCGTTTGTTTCAAAACGTTCTTCTCGCAAAAGTTCGTTCTTGCAAGAGTAAATATTAGTCACCGGAATGTTCAAACAAATGTTGATTTTTCCACGTGCGCTCGGCGAGGCGCGACGATAACATTCATAATTCTTTTGCATTCGGTCGAACATTATCGTTTTGAAATGTAATGTTATACGTTTTTGCGCGCGCGCGCACGCGAGAGAGAGTTCTCTTTTAAGCTCTCGACTTTCAAATCCGCAGTTTTCATTTTTCCAGCTTTTCATTTGCCAGCTGTCAGTTGTTAGTGCGTCGCATGATATACTTTACATTTTCTAAACCGTAAGTTCTGCGCGTAATTACATTTACATTTTTCATCATTACGTACATGTGAAATGTGTTTGAAATAACACCGTACCGAAGTTAACATTTTTGCGTTTAGTTTTTTTAATAAAAAAAAGATGATTTATAATTTATGTTTTGCATACGTCAAGAAGAATGAAACAGAGAGAGAAAAAGTATTTATACTGCGCCAAAGAAAAATCGCCAAAATGGGAGCATTTTCTCATTGTCTTTAAATTCTCACGCGAAATTCCGAAACTCATCTAAAACTGAGTAAAACTCACCTTTCTTTGCTGGGAAAAAAATGTTTTTTTTTTTTTTTATAGAATATATACAAAAAGCAAATTGGTCATCGGTCCTCCAATCGCACAGTTCCTCTTTGACGCCCGGTGATACGACGCTTGTTGTGTCGTGTAAATCTTCCTCCGTTTGTTCTCATCTCTACTCGCTACTTATTTTCCCCTCAACGTAAAGAGTCGCGTGTCTGGCGAGTTTCCATCTCGGTAACGAGTGGTGCGATTAATCTAAGAATATAAAGGAGAGAGAGGCGCGCTTAATCACAAGAGAAAAACAAAACCGCTTCGCTTGTTGTAGATCGCGCGCGCGCGTGTCTTCAGTGTCATCTTTTCTCATTTCTGATCCATTTCTCAACAACACCGCGACGGTTTCTTCGTTTCTCTCGTCGATCATATTTTTCTCTTCTCTTCGCGGCGCGTGTAAGCGAACTAAAAATACAAGCGCAATCGTTGTAATTATTTTTTTCTCTTCAATTGAACGCGCATCGACGATGTGTAATTGCTACAGAAACACGCCTGGCGTTTCATCTTCTCTCCTTTTTGTCGTCAAGCCCGTGAGAAGCACGTCAAGGCGCGAGTTTACAAAGTATAATAATTTCGCAATTCATTCAAAGGTCAATTTTTTTCGCATTTGACCGATCGCAATTAATTGCGAACGTTGTTGTAGCACCAAATTGGATATAACTTATTTATTTTACAATTAAAACCGTGTTGTTAATAATGGCGGATGCGATGTTTAATTCAAATACGAAATTTTACACGCGTGATGATGATTTTATAAAATTCTCGCTCCGTATCGGTGCGTGTGTGCACACACACAAATAAATTTGTTGTGAGAATCAAATTAAGTTGCAAAGAGCACAGAAAGAGAGAGAGAGAGAGAGAGGGAAGAAGAATATTTTAAGCGCAATCTTCGCCCGCCTCGCTCGAATTCTACTTTTCCGAAAATCAAAACGAGCCGTTAAATATTCACGTCGGCGCATATTTTATGCATCACGTTACCGGCGTGTCAATCGCTGTGCAAGCGCGCCGCTTTGCGGTCACAATCGTGTTGTGAAACTTGTACACACACACATACGTGCGATCACGTTCTAACTTTCCACCGGTCGAAAGTCACACAAACTGATTAACTTCTGCTTTCCTGTACCGGAAGCCTCACTCACCATCCTCTTCTCTCTCTCTCTCTTTCCTTTTCTTCGTTGCACCAACATCCACACACCACTATACTCATACCGTGTCATACTGTGTTTTGCACTTACTGCGTTACCAATCCGTGCTTTTAGTGCTCACCGAGGGGCACGTCATCAATTTCGATTAATTTCCAACACGACTTTCCCATTGTTGCTCCGACGAGCGGTTCGAATGCGATAATTTCTTTTTGTTTAATGTTCCGATAAACACACACGCCAGCAATTTTAATGCAAAGCCAAAGGATCGGCAGCAAATTGCTACGTAAATTGCCACCTCTTTGACGATCCAGAAACAAAAATAAAAAAAATTCTGTACGTATGAACAAATTCGCGCGCGCGCGCGAGTCTATTTACGGAACTATCAAAAACTAAATAAAAATAATTGCATATTACATGTGAGAATAAAATACGCGCGCGATCTCGCATTGCATATAAAATTTACATGTATGACCAGATGAAAAAATTTGTTCGTACGCGAAGGATTTTTTTTTTTCTCGGAAGCTGTTTCGACAGATTTTTTCCATTAGGGAATACAAATTACCTTGTTTTTACGCGAGTTTGCCGCGGAAGATCCACGGAGAGTAGTTTTTTTTTTTTTTTTTTTTCCTACTCTTTGCTACCTTCTCGAGGATGCTCTCGCGCTTTCCTTACTAGAGAAGAGAATCGTTTAGATGGAATTTATTTATGTATGGAACGTATCTTACATCAGCGTCCCCCCGTGTCTCCCCTCTAGAACGTAACAACAATATCGTTAATTCAGTTGAATGTCTGTTGTCTCTGTGTGTTGCGAAATATGTATACAATCGTGGAGTGTAACGAGAAACGCGGAGATTCTCAATTTGCTAAAGTACACAAATGAGAGAGTAAAGTTTCATTTGTGTTTGTGATATCCTCGTTACGAACGTTATTTCGTAACCGAAACCACCGCGCACGTAGCGCGTGAATTATTTACTTGTATTGTGGAGCACGTGCGCGTTCTCCAAAGATATTTGCGGAAAATGGAGCTTTTTTTTTTAAGAGCCCGCGGTTAAAAAGCAGCTTTCAGCTTCCCCTAAATGTTTACCTCTCTGCAATTTTAATCAACTCGAATTTTACGTTCTTCTCGTTAGTTTTTTTTTTTTACGTGACTCGGTTCGAATATTTTTTTTCTCTTTACGTGACACACATGTATGATTACATTCTTAGTAACTTCGGCACATTCGATATCTCGTCGGAATCTTTGAAGGAAAGAGACGATTTTGACGAACAATTATAAAATTGCATGTTCTCGCCCGGAAGACCCCCCGGGAAAAATATGCGCCGGTCTTCACGCGACGCGCAAACGTGTGAAGAGAAGAGACGTTCTTACAAAGTAAATATTTTATATCACACACATGTACATGTATGTAATGTCATACACATACACGTAAATAAAATTTTGGCACGCATCATCACACACACAGTTTAGTATTTTATTTCGAAAATAATATTTTAGTTACGAGTGAAAATTTAACTTTTGTTTTTTTTGACATGTAAGAGCAATATGAATTGTTTACAGTTTTGGTCGAGTTTCTTTTTCCTTGCAACAACAGCACGACACGGACATGGCTGCCACAGTCCGTGATCAAGTTTGTTGTTGACTTGCAATTTGTAGGAAATATATGATTTAGAATCTGTGTTAAATGTTACTTTATTTTCTTATGCCAATATTACAGGAATTGTTTTTTGTTTTTTGTTCGTTTTTTTTTTTTAGTGAACCTTAATCGCAATTTCTCATATTTCTATGTTCGAAAAATATAATGATACACTGATGTATCTAGCGATTTCACGCATATCTTCAAGTGGTATTTTCTTGTTTTTCAACTTCAAAATAAAATACATAAGAATTAATTTATGTATGTATATGATATTCGAGTTTTTTTGTTTTTCTTTTTTTTTACTTTAATAATACGTCAGAGTTAGCGGTCCGTGTGGTGATTTAAGTAAGTATAAATGTCGAGTATTGCGTTCTACTTATTGCCAATTTACAAGATCTCTCTCACTTGCAATTCTCATTAATAAAACATTTTGTCTGTTAAAATGTCTATTAGAATGTCTATTAAAATTTAGGTTTTTTTTTATATCTTCTTATTCGACAGAGTGAATTGGATATTTATTAAATGATCTATAAATACATATATTAAAGTATATATATCTATAGAAAACTCATTTTATATACACTTTACATCATACTTTATAAAGTGCGGACGATTTATATACAAGATTGTGTTGGATTCTTTTTACAGGCAATTTTCATTACTCACATATTAAAAGTTTGCAAATATCGAATTTATCACATAAAATATTCATCTCTCAATACAAAAACCAAATTGTAAAAACTCAATTATACACGTAATTAATTTTTTTAAATAAAAATAGAATCTTTTATCATCATCATTAGTTAGTGTAAAAATAAACTGTTTTGATTGAAGTATTGAGTCAGACCAAAATCGTCTCTTTAAATAATTAATTTATATATTAATTTATAACGGGGAGAGAAAGCAAATTTTGATCCGAAGGATGTCTCAGTATGTTGTACATTATTTGATAAGCACTTTATAAATTGGCAATAAGAACTTACAGTGTGTGTCTTGTTAAGTAACATATTGGCAAAAGGTCTCAACTAATGAGTCATGGTACAGTCGTTCTCCGTCGTAATCATTCAAATCGGTAACTAAAAGTAAATAGTGTATATATATATATATATATGTATATATATATATAGTTTGCGTAAACAATATGATATCATCAACTTAAATAATAAATACATTTTTATATATACATTCACAGACTTTTTATACAGAATGTCCAAAATGTCTATGATAACATGCTGTACAATCTCAATATCATTTCGTTTTTGTTTTCTTTTTTTTCCGTCACTTCTGTGTGTAAAGGGAGTTAAAAAAAAATATATCTGCAAATCTTATAAAAATTCAGTTTATAGAACTATAGATAAAAATCATTTATTTAATAGATCTGCAAATGTTTATAATTAAGAACAACTAGGAAATTGAACTTGTTACGATGCTAGATTAACAAAAACATGAATATAATAACTAGTCGCAATCTGTCACGATTATATCATAACGCAAAAGAATCGAAGCGTAAATTTTCTTACGTATCTCGAGATGCAAAATAAATGTGTTGTTTTTTCTTTTTACGGGTTTACAAAACTAACACATCTCAATCAATGTTTTCCGACTACAACTTGTTGTTTCGATAGCCATATACGACTATTGCTTCGCTTCTTAAGGGCACTCTGTATAGAATAGCCTTAAAATTACGAGATACGTATTTACAGTAAAAAAGTTTAATTGGTCATGTTTCTATCTAGTATATTAAGGAGATGAGTACCGCGTTGCGTAATGCTGTCCGTGTTGGCTACGTAGTCGCGTACTTCAGTCGTTCAGTTTTAGTCATCTTGCGAGTGACGCAAGTTAACTTTTTTTTTTTTTGTGTGTAATTCTGTGTCAGTCATACGTCAATTGAGGTATGATTCCGATCTTCGAAAAAGTATTTTAATCAATGTCTCCACTTCTAGTTAAGCCATTTAGACGTCGAATGTCTGATACATCAATCCCGTCCCGTAACTAAATACATGCGAGAGCACGGGAGTTTTGCAAATTGTTTTCTCAACGCAAAAATTGTTTCGACAATTTTGTCTTTGGTGGACAAAATTGCGTCGCAATTTTATGCAGGTTCAAAATCAAATTAGTTTTTTTTTTTTTTAAATTGGATTGTAACACATATATGCGTGTCCGTGTTGCCGTTGTGTGTTATGATTTATCTAAATTATCAAGAAAAAAAAAAAGAAAATAATCGTATAAAGATATCATTGCTTTTAATAATAATAATAATAATAATAATAATAATAATAATAATAATAATATGAAAACCGAACTTTGGGTCATTATTGTAGTATTTCTAATACAAACATAAAGACTCAAGTCGTACGGGCAAATATGTGAAACCATATTTCGTGTCGATATAAATTTTTTTTTTAGGGATACTGGAATCCCTTGTAAAACAAATCGTTAACATTTAACGAAACAAGTTGTATGCGGAGAAGTGTCGTAAAGACAGTTGATTAAAATTCAAAGCCTTGTACTGGTAGCTGGGAAGAATCTGACGGGGTAAATTGATATTCCTGCCCTTGCGAATCGATTGAGGGTACGAGTCTGGTATCTTCTTCCTCAGATCCAAAGAATCGTTCGATAATGTCGAAGGCCTTCTGATAGATATCCATGTTTTGATGAGATTGCAAAAACTCTATTTTATCTAGGCCTGTACAAACAAAACAAAATAAACAAATAGTAACGGAACAATTGAACTAATCTCTTTTTTAAAACGTTAAATTGATACTTTACCATAACATTGTTCGATAAGAACAGCATAAGGATTAAGACTATTGTGCATTGGTGCGTCTTGTTCTCCGAGACGTAAAATATTTTCTAAACCATTTAGAGCGACTTGAACGATCTTCGTATCCATGACCGTGAGTAAGTCACATAACGGAGGAATACATCCTTGCATCGCGAGATAACGTATTTGGTCGGGTGTTCCGCCGCTAGTTGCGTTTGTAATTGCCCATGCTGCTTCTTTGCGTGTTTTGAATTCAGCTTTACCCAAAATCTCGATTAAAACGGGGAATATGTTGGCATCAATCACCGCCTAAAGAAATTTCAAAGAGATATTTTAAGCATATACACGTTACATAAATTACTAGAAATTAATTACACAAATACATCCGTGCCACATTTAGCTATATGCTCGAAACTCACTTGTATTTGCTGTGGGTTGCCAGCGGTGATGTTAGATACTGTCCAACAGGCTTCTTTACGAACGCTATCTCGTGGCGAGCTTAAAAGATGTAAAAGACATGGTAATGCTGAGCAATTCAATACAACTTGAGTTTGCACATCATCACCGGTCACTATATTTCCTACAGCACGAAGAGCTGCGCTTACTACATTATTTTGCTCATGCCTGAAAAAAGTTTCAATTGAATTATGTGTCATAATATATGCAAGTGATACACTTTTTTTTAACGCAAGTCATATAAATTGTACATACATAAGAAGTTCTACAAGACGTCTACAGACACCAGCATCAATAACAGCTTGTATCTTATCATTTGGACCGTCGCTCAGATATGAAAGCGCCCAACAAGCATCAGCAAGCACATCGTAATCGGTATGATTAAGAAGATGGGCTAGCACCGGCAGACACGGAGCGACCTTCGCGAAAGCTGGTGCCGGATTTTTTCCTCGACAAAGATTTGACAATGCCCATACCGCATTACGGATCATAGAAAGTCTTGTAGCCTTTGATAATAATCTAAACAAAGAATCGTGTGCGATGCAGCAGTTGAAATAATAACAATCAAATCTTAAACAATAAACATCGAAGAGAAACGTACTGTAGAAGTGGAGTGAGAATACCGTTGGCTAAAACATGATCTCTGCATTCAGGACTATCTCCTGCAATATTGCCCAATGCCCAGACAGCTTGCTCCTGCACATCTTCATATTCAGAACTAAGTAAAGATATAAAAGTGGGGACAGCTCCTGCATCTATGACAATACGCGTTTGCTGAGATGTTCCACTTGCTATATTTGTCAGAGCCCAAGCGGCTTCAAACTAGCAAACAAAAAAGTAATTTGCACAAGTCGATTACACAAGATAAAGAATATCTTACGTTTATTGTCTCCGTACACTCACCTGCAAAGTACAGTTCGTATTATTTTTAAGAAATTCAACAAACTGGGGTACAATACCCGTTTGTATGACTTCATCTATAGGGGGATTTGGCTCTCTTGATAATAACTTTCTAAATTTCTGCGTTGCTGCCAACTGATCTTGTATATTTGGACTATACAATGCATCCACCATTTCGGACGTGATAATGCCAGGAGACTGCTGTAAAGTACAAAAATGTATGTTGTGTAAAAAGAAAGAAAAACATTTATACAAAATAAATTGTATGTGCAAACAGAAGGAATATGCAACAGTTATGTTACCATGCGACATTTATGTTACCGATTGTGCTGTGGGAAGTGAATAGTCATCCGTAGATGATGTAACATTATCCTCATCTCCGACAATGTTCGGAACATTGCGGCGTTTTGAAAATTGCTGCTCACGTTGCTGTTTTCTTAATTGAACTCCCTCCTCTTCTCTCCGTCTTCGCAATTCTTGTGAATCTAATCCTACATTTTTGTAACGGTGTTTGTGTGTGGGTCCAGTGGTTGACATCTAAAAATAAAAATGACAATGTGTACATTGATTATATTGTTTAATCTATTTTATACAATTTTACTTTATTATATTGTTGAATTATGATCATCTTCTCATTGTTACAACTATTTAAAAAATCTTACTATCAATATATCTAAGAATATCGTCATTTTATGCTGCTTTGAACTTAACAATTTTTTTTTAAGTAACAGATTTAAAAAAAAAAAAAGCGCTGTTGTGCAAATAATATTTCTAAAACGTTTATTTCTCAAAACAATACAACTATGACTATTGCGGTTGCAGCAAAATTGTTCAAACAAAAACAGGAAGATAAAACCTTCGCACTCTTCGTCGTTTAAAAATATCCTTAAACACGCGAGTGTGTTCACACACAGCAAACACTCGTGCGCGCACAGAGAAGCGCTAATCACACATCCGTGTCATGTAAATGTGCACAAGAAAATATAAAGGATAATAATTATTAAAAATCTGATGATCTCGACGACAAATTACATTTGCAACAGGGAAACAGCATTTCGAGAGACAAGAGGGAAAAAAAATCACGCTTTCTGCCACCGAGAGCGATCTATTGCTTCAATGCCATTTGCGGCTGCCGCGGAATCATCTGTGACAATGGATTCCGCGTGCGAAAGGTTAGGAGTTAATAGACGGCACGATTTTCGGATCTGAATGTTTCTCGAAGACGCGAAATTGTTGTTTAGAGGACGGAGATAGGCGTCAACGCGATTACGTTCGTCGATTTTCGCACGTTCGACTTGAATATTTTGGTACGCCGCGCGTTCTAACGTCGGCCCCTTGAACGCTCTCGATCCCCGCAACCCGTCACGCGCGTATCGCGCCGCACGCTCGGCCGTTCCAACGCAATCCGTATCCGCCGATGTGTGTAATATCGTCGCACTGGGCATTTTTTTTACTTACGACTGTGAAATCAAAATTCGAGCCGATGGGTCAGGTCGTCAGACGTAAAAGATCATAAGATTAATGGAGTAACCAGTGCACAAGCTCAGGCGCCGCCGCAAGTCTTTTCCTCACCGCGAACTATGTACTACGACAGCCGACAACCAGCCGATCGGAAAGTCTCGGCTGACGGCTAGTTATTATTTGCAAAGAATCATGGGAGAATTACGCTGTGGGTGGACCTTCCCAGAACTATGTAGAGTTGGTGGTTACTGGTGCTCTTGTGGCTCAGTGGACAGAACTATGTAGAGACAAATCCCGTATCAAACTAGAAATTAAAGACTGGAAAATACGAGAAGAAACTTGACCAGTAATAAGTGGTAATAAGCTAATTAAAGAAATTAACCAATCACAGACCGGCGTTCTTTTGAACTTACATTTGAGAGAAATATATGTGATTGGTTGATTTGTTTCATGTTTCTAGTGAATCAAGCTCGTGTCAGATTGCGAATTAGAATTGCGATTGAATTGGAAATTTGACCAATCAGAGCTAAGTTTACGGTAAAACCTTGAAAGTGGTTTTAAGGAACACTTTCTTTCTCCCCTAAAATAGAACTATCACAGGCTTCTCACTGTAGCAAATAAGGGCGTGGTCACATGTAGTCTAAAATAACGAAACGAAAAAATGTACGGTAGGAGGTCAACCAATCGCAAACAAACAAGCGATCCGTTGTCTGTTGTACACGGGCTTAAACAACTGCAATCAGCTGATATCGGACAACAATGAACAGAATGTCTTTTAGGAGTAACTGTACTGAATTAAAACACAGAAAATGGAAATGACGACTTTAGTTGTTCCAACGTCAAACCAAACCAAGTCGAAAGTATCAACTAACAATAATATCACGACTTTATGGTGTGTTGCAAAAAATTGCATGAAACGTTTTCTTGTAAAGAGACACTTCTTTCGGTTTCCAAAAGAACGTGAAAGGTATCATTTTAATTACTTTCTTGACACATTGTGTAATTTTACATTACAATATATTTCTGAATTTATAGATATGTATATAGTGTTTTTTTAATAATTTTACGTTAACAAATTGCTGTAACATGATAGATGGCTAGAGTGGATACATGCGTGTGAAAGATATGATCTTAAGCCACTGGGCCCGGAGTATGCTTATGACAAGTACAGACTATGTCATTTACATTTTGACAAAAAGTGGTATAAAATGAACAAGATTAGACCTCGTCTTCATAAAGATGCCATACCTACAATATTTTATGACATAAAGCAAGTTCTTTTGTAGACATTTGTTGTTTATCATTCTCAAATGATCTCTCACTAGAATCTATGTGACATCAAGTATATTTGATGTGTAAATATATTATTTATAGAAATGAGATTGCATCAGATGAGGAAATTATGCATCAAACAGAGGAAGAAAGTAAAATAGAAACAGATACAGAAGTTGAAAACATAACAAACATAAAGGTTGAAGATAACAATTCTGATTGTGAAAAACATAGCACACAAGAGGAAACAAATAGGTAGGATATCTTGTATAAATGTTTATTCTTGTTTAACAATATAGAATATTACACAGGCGTGTACATAGATATAATATTATTACGAAAATGTATGATACTTGAAATCAAACTTGACACATTTATATTTTAGTCTTCTCATATTATTTTTACCAAATTTCTTATCTTTCTTTTTAATACATGTATTAATATTTTGGTGTTTTTTTTTAGCATATTCAGCAGTACATATTCAACAACTGAACACAATACATGGAAGAAGAAAAAACGCAAACAATGTGTAGAAATAAAACAAGAAAAAGAAGTGCTACATGAAATGAAACGGGCATCTAGAGAAAATGATTTAAAACATGAACAGAAAAAAACCAGCTGTAACAAAACTCTACAAACACAAAATTCTCCATCAATTAAGTTGTACGTCTTAATAGGACCTCGTTAAATGACAATGTGTGATATAAAGCTTTTACAAATAATTGTCTTAAGACTATTGACTGATGGCTGCAAGTAGAAACTGAATTTTAAGTTTGTCATCTAAATTGACAAACTCTTCCGTCTCCTTTATCAATTGTATATTATCCACGATAAACTGGAAATACAATTTTTGCAGTTCCTACAAATTAATTATAATTAGTTATTAGCACCCGCACACATTAATGCTACTAGCATTATTGCAATTTATAATACATACCTCTATATTGTATTTAACTGCAGCATTATAAAGTGAAACAGCAGTTTCTAAAGTAACCTCCTCCTTAAGCATCTGAATACACTTATTTTTTAGTTTGGTCTCTAAGTATGAATCAGCTAAGGCACATAAATCTGTTTAAAAAATATTATTTTTAATCAGAAAACATAGTAATTACACATATAACATATGATATAATTAAATCTAATATATCTCTGATAAAGCTGAAAAATCACACTTGAAATGTACTTAAATTTATATACACGTGATTATATTATAATATATTTAAATTGAGAACTTACCCACTCTTTCTTTTAAAGACAGATCGATTTTTCCAGTATATAAATATTTCAGAAAACTCTTATATACATTGTAGGAAAACTGATCATGATTCATGACACTATCAAGAATCAAACATTGTGTAAAACAAAGTAATTTACGGAGCAAGTTGAAAAATGCTCATAAAATATACTTTTATAAATAAAAAAGAAGAGAATACTACTACTATTCTCTGTTTTGTAAATGCTTACTTTTGATTATTTTCCTTCCATGTATTTTGGAACATGGTTCTGAAATATAAACTACGAATATTCAGAATTGATTTATGAACATGAATAACTTGGCCCTCTATTTGTACAGCAAAATCGCTTGTCGACTGTATCAAAAGAGAAAAAATTATGAGTGGAAACCGCATGTAAAAAAACAAATTTTTTCAATGCTGCAAAATAAAAGTTTGTACAATTTTTCACATAAACAAATATTACTAAAGATGTATATATGATTAGTAAATAATATTTTTATATTTATAGTATTTCTATATTTTATTAATTTAAAAATGCAAAAGTTATAAAAAAAAATTACACATACAGGATCATCAAAAGCAGTTTCAAGGTCTTCCACTACATCTGATGCTTCATCAGTGCCTACATTATTCAAAGATAATGATGGTGATACACAAATAGTGTATGGTATATCATTCCAATCGAAAACGTCCCACATGTCTGAAACCTGTGCAATAATAGGATAATTTATACCAAATAATAGATTATTATTATCACCCAATACATAAACACATCCACTGCTGTTGACAGCGACGCCTATGTTTTTATGTGGCAAAGCTGCAATATCAACTATCCTTCCCATGTTGAATGTTGTATTTATCTAAATAAATAATTAGATAACTTTCTTTTAGTATAATAATTGTGAAAAGAAAACTAAGATTCACAATGTTATTAAGCTATTCTTTTAATAACACTATAATAATCTATCTAATAAAAATGCAATACCGGAGAATCTTTGTCCTGTTTACCGTAGCTGCCCCAATGAAATAAATCTCCATCATCTGTGAGTGCAATGACAAGAGAATAACCACAAGCTATCTTACCTAGAGAATAAATTGTAATTGTTTAGCAATACAGTGTATATTTTCTTCATTGTAATATTTATAGGTTTACATATGCAATCTACTTACCTATTTTTGTATGTGACACAATATCGACTTGTCTTACGTTTTCGTCGTAACATTTCCCGTAACAATAGTCGGTATAATTTCTACCCAGCTGTTTGGAATTATTGTTACCCCAACTATACACTTCACCAAAATGTGTCAAAACAATATTAAAGTTGGATGCACCACAACAGATTTGTTTGATCTTTTGTTCAATAAGATAAGTACCTATTTCTCTTGGTCCATCATATATGTTCTGTCCCCATGTGTATAACTGAATAAAATGTTTTATTTTTTTACTCATAAAATAAATTATGATTCTTCAGTTATAATTCAGTTGAAGTAAATTCTTACTTTTCCACTCTTAGTCAGAGCAAGGATATGATAAGTAGAGCTTACAATATCAATGACAATTTCACTGAACAAAGGTATTAATGGAATAGGTGTGTATACACTATAAGATGATTCTTTATTTCCCAACAGATAGTACTCTTTATTGTCACCCCATAAATAAATCTTTCAAAAAAGAGAATCATATAAAAGTATATGTATCTTATATGACATACATGTAAAACAATTTTTTGTAAGATTTTACATATACAATAGAAAGAATTTATCAGATATATAAATCCTGTGAATATTTTGTAAAATTTATTATCTTTTATCAATCTACTAAATCATCTTTTAATCATCAAACTAATTATCTTACATGTATCTTGTTATTTATCAGATTTTTTCAATTTTATTTTTGTAAAAACTTATTATTCAATAAACTCTTGCTGAATTTTAAAATCTTTCTTTTATTTACTCTGGGTACTAAGTTAATTTTGTTTTATCAATAAAAAACAAATATTATATATAATAAGCTATTATATGTTTTTATATACATATATTATATATAGTTATAAAAACATTATATAAAACATTACATAAAAATATCCAGAAAGTAGTAATACATAATAAAAACTAGTAACACATGTATAAAATATATCTGATGCATACCTTTCCTTCTTTAGTAAGTACAATACTAACAAAAGAATTATTTTTATTATCAGAGTTTTTCACAGTAAATGTGAAATAAATTATCTTTTTAATTTTTTGTGTAGATAAAAAATCTAGTTTATAAGGTGTATTAAAATTCTTATCCTTATGAAACTCTCCTAGTCCAAACTGATTTCTATTTTTTCCTATTGCATATATCTCATCTTTCGTAACGATAAAAGCACTTTGATAATTATCTGTAAAATTATTTTTATTTTGTTAAATCCAGAGAAACGAAAATATATAATTGCAAAACTGAAGATAACAAAAGAAGCACTAGAGAGAAAAAAAGATAAATACCACATATTTTGATCATATCAATTTTTGAAATAAAATCTCGGTCCATTGTTTGAAAAGCTGCATACGTCATTAAACAATTGGCGCACAATTTCTTCACATCTTTATTTGAACTCTTGACGAATTTGTTAAGTTCGTTTTCTTTTACACTTGTTGCTGAGTTTGCGTCATGAGTGTGGTCCATGGTTTCCATGTGAGAAAATCTTGTTCGAGTATAAAAGTTAAATTACTGGACACAATGTGATAATGGAACTTAAAAAGCAATAAATCTCTATATATTATTTTCAGTATTGACCAGGAACGAAAGACTGCGAAAAACGTACAAAACCAAGGAATCAAATATATACGTAGTGCTCTGGTGCAGGGCCTTAATTCTTGAAAAACTTTCGTATACGAAACTCTACTGTTAATGTTACATGTACTAGGCTGTGTTCAGTTAAGCAAGATGGAACAAACTAATGCAGGAAATGCAGGAAATACAGGAATTGGAACTAATGAATTCCTGTATTTCCTGCATTTCCTGCATTAGTTCGTTCCATCTTGCTTAACTGAACACAGCCCTAAAGACTCGTATACGCAATTGTTCAAAAATCGAGGTCCAGACCTCAACTTCAATGGCTATACCCGATGTTATCGCCAATTCAAACTTAAAACAACTTGAAACACTGTTTACAGTTACTGCGCATGCGCCGCCTTCTCCTTTCTCCTTTTCCACTTTCTCGACTTCCTTCAATAGCTGCGTTCCGTTTCACGCATATGCGCGCATTTATCTATACTATACGTAACGTGTACTATAGATACATGCTGGATGCATCTGGATGCACCCTCTGTTCAATGAGAGAATATCCTCAAAGCAGACGAAATTTGTTCGTTTCGCGCATATCCTCTATCAGAAGACCCCTCCACCTTACAACCATTGGCTGCCAGGGTGTATCCGGTGTATCTCGCGCGCAATGCTATCCCCACTTTGTCCGTTTTGCTTCTCCCATGCGCAGACCGAGGATATTCTTTCCTCGAACGGAGTGTGGTTATTTGACGTGTGCCGACCGCATCGATATGTTTAACGAAAGATAAAGAAAAGCGAAGATGTTGCTGTACACAATAATCGGCGGCTACATGCTGACTTCAATGATACTGTTCAAGTATCCTACCCTGCTGCACAAGAAAAAGAAAGTAAAATTTTACTGCCAGCACATTAGCCACCGAGGTGGTGAGTTGTCACACCTTTTGTTTACTAATCAGATTCCTCGTGACTCTTTTCACAAATGGGCGAGTTTTTTAACTCATCGATAAAATAATTAAAAAACTCGCCTAATACGGTCCATGCAACAAGAATAGTATAGTTATGTTTGTTTTATTTTTTGCAAGCAATCTAATTAACATTGTATACATTTGTTTTTAGGGGCAGGTGAAAGCTATGAGAATACAATGTCTGCGTTTAGACGGTTGGTTAAAATGCTTGTGTATTTATGTATTTGACTCATTTTTCCTATGATTGCAAAATTATATTGTTATTCATATCATTTTGTAATAGTCACATAATTACCAAATATGTAACAGCATCAAAGGATTGATACTTTGTGACAATTTCACACTTGTTTTGATGCAATACTAAGAATATTTTTCTTTTCTGTTAAGTTTATCTTTACTTGTGATTACAGAGCAATAGCCATTGGAACTCAAATGCTGGAATTAGATTGTCATCTTACAAAAGATGGCGAAGTGGTAGTTTCTCATGATCACAATCTTTTACGCAGTACTGGTGTAGATAAAAACATCTCTGAATTGAATTACAAAGATTTACCTCTGTTGAAGCAACGTTTGCCAATTGATTTTGACCCAGGTATTGATATTGTTTTTGTTATTTTACTGAGAAAATGATACGTTTGAATAAAATGATTTAGAAACTATAGTCCTGTATAGATGTGGAGTATGTTGGTTCTGCAAATGAAGAAGATCGACGATTCGCATTGCTGCAGGAAGTTTTCGAAGCATTTCCTCATATTCCTATAAATATTGACATTAAAATCAATGATGATCGACTTATAGCAAAGGTTTCTGACCTTATAAAAAAATACAACAGAGAGGAATATACAGTTTGGGGAAATTTCAGTGATGAAGTTACACAGAAATGTTACAAAATGGTATAACATAGATATCTTAGATGTCTATTGAAAACTAATTAGTTAGCTCTCTCAACAACTTTTAATCAGCTATTAAAAGCTAGTTTCATTAATTATGCTTAAGCAATTAAAGACAACTTTTTATAGATTGTTTTAAATTTATACGATCTTATATTTTACAGAATCCAAATGTAAACTTGTTATTTTCAATGCAACGTGTGACAATGTTGTTATTTCTTATGTATACCGGTTTGTTGCCATTTGTACCACTGAAGGAAACGCATCTTGAAATTTTTTTACCTTCTATCTATTTACGGTAAATAAAATAATAAAACATCTCAATTCCTTTTTACGATTAAATAACAATATTGTAAAAATGTGTTTATAAAATTCTTACATCTTTTGTGTATTCTAGACGTATGGGCGGACCGAGCCCAACATTTTTGCCATTGGAAAAATTGGTCGTACGTACAATTAATGTGTTGTTGATGAGGCCCTGCTTATTTAATCATTTAAGAGCACGTGGCATACATGTAAGTAAATTTCATATTATATTTACATAACAAGATCCAACTAAGACACTTCGTTACTTACATTCTTTTGGTTCACATTCCGCGTCTGTAGGTTTACTTTTGGGTTTTGAATAAGGATGAGGAATTTAAAAAAGCATTTGAATTAGGAGCAACTGGTGTAATGACAGATTACCCGTCGAGACTAAAATCATTTTTGAAGAATCACACAATGGAATGAAATACACCGATATGAGAGTACACATTTGAAACAGTACACATCAAACAACATTATCGATAAAATTCGCAAACTTATTTACATCCGAAGAAATATCTGCGTAACAAGCTAGATATATGTAAAGATACAAAATATGACGCAGGAAAGAACGAAGTGTAGTATATTTTTTATAAGCAAAACAAAAACAGAACATCTTGTTTACGTTCTGTGTGAAAATGCCAATTTTTCGACGTTTGCCACAATTCTGTGTGTGACAGCCTGTGTACAAAATCTATTAGCTAAATTGCATATACATTATTCTAGTTTGTCATGTTTTATAATTTTGTGAACTATACAGGCAGCCATATTAGTAGGGCAAGATTGTTGTTTTAAATCTGGCCTCTTAAGTCTATTTATTCCGTTTTAGTTATTTTTTTTCTGTTTTGTTAGAAGATCGTATGTCTAATGAGGCTCTTTATTATTCTGTTTAATTATAGCTATAATTAAACAAAACAATTAATATATTAATAGTCATTTTTGCTACACTGGAATCTACTTGTGATGTCGAGTTCCGAGTAGTGAAATATCTTTGTTTATGGGATAAGCATGCTTGGTTTTCTCTTGGTAATCTACAAACGCGATACTCTATGAGAATAATTTTTCTTCCTCAAAATGTACATACTTTTTTTAATTTATATCTCACATTGAAATTCACTTATGTGAGAAAACGTGTCATAAAACCTGCGTGCATATCCCAAGTTTTGGTACAAATTGTCTATTACTTATAATATACATATATATCTCTCTGGGGCCAGTATTAGCTTAGCATTCAGAGGCTTCAAGTAACACACAGTTTGATCTGATGATTTGTTAAATAAGTTTTAATATTTTCATAGATCTATACGTGAGAATATACATTTTACGCGAATAGAGGAAATCGAGCTATGCAGATCGTATAAATGTCTAGAAGATATATGAGTGTGATATAAGAGATTCCTTTTTTGTAAAATGAATGTGATAAAAAAACGTAGTCAGTGTTGGAAATAATAATTAAAAAAGAAAAAAAGAAACTGAAAAACCTATCATGACTAGTCTTAAATTAAAAAAACTATATTGTAAATTATTTTAACAATTGTTAAATGCATTTACACTGTTTATAATACAGTAGTGTCTTTCTATTTGCACAAAACTTTGGAACGAAGTTCATGTACAAATAACGAAGACGGAGTTATTTAGCTTTCCGAATCGCGTCTTCTGAGCATCGAAACGCGGAGAAGGCGCAAGAATGGAAAAATGGGCAAGAAAACGCGTTGAAAGATATGCGCGTAGTCACGGACACTACTGTAATTACAGTATAATAGTATTATAACACGTGATATAATTTTATACGTGAGATACATTTCGAAACTATTATTCTTTCAAATTTTTTGAATTTTTTATATTACGGCGTACAACATGTGTCACGGCACGTTTATATGTAATTTTGCGCTCGGATTATTTGAAGCTTTATAGAACGCAGCATGACTGTGAATATTCTTATATGTGTTAAACATACTATACTTCACTAATTTATTAAATACATTAGCGACAATTGAAGAATTGTCAGTACAATTAAAGAATTAAGCGAATATGTATACATATATATATATATATGTTGATATGAAACATATTTGCAGTTTTTACACATTAAAGCTAAACCAAAAACGTAACAATCTTTTTTAACTTACGCATATATGTATGTGCACACGTGTGAATTATTACATATAATTCTTACAATTACACTCTCTTTGTATGAACAATTTGTATGCATGTTTGTTGTATCTTCTTTGTTCTAGTTTTGTCTATATGTGTGTGCATATACATTTTTGTGTGTGTGTACATATATTCACACATACGGATAAGAATTATATATGTGTGAGCACATGAGAAAATACCGAATTTAGAAGATAAATACTATATTTATGGCTATATATATATATATGTCAAAGTATATAAGAAAAATTATATCACTGTATGTATGACTAAAAAGATTATACACTGTTGTCTTTATGAGATAGTTTGTGAGAAAACTTCATATAAATGTGTACATTCATACATTCTTTTATTTGTATCTTTAATTTACTGAAACTCTTCAGGTATCATCTTTAACACCATTTTACACTTACAAACTCAATATTACATGTGTTTATCACATAAATTGTAATAAGGACTTCATACGTGAATACAATATTGAAGATCATGTGAGTTTTGTTACAAATTTCTTATCAATTACATCAGGTCTACACAATGTATTTTACAAATGGATGTTAAAAAATATACAAAAATAAACACAGTATGTACAAATTTATGTACCTTTTGTGCTTGAGACTTTTGTGTGCATTTATAAGCTCAAAGTTTAATAATATAAATATTTTCTTTCTCTAACAAAATTATAAACAGTCATTTCTTCTTTTGTTTCACCCATAAAAATAAATATTAGTTTTTATGTGTGTCTGAGCATCATCTGTCATAAATACAAGTTACAAAATGTATACATATATATATAACATTGTAAAAAAAAGATATTTATCAATAGATATATAAAATTTCACTATATTTCTATATATCTCGTTATTGAAGAGAGAAATGCAAATAGAGAGACAATTCAGGATCTAATTGAACAATCACATTCTTTCGTTAGAGAGATTCTTAGAGAAATCTTGTGTACTTCGTACATTACAAAGCTACGCTAATGTTTTTTTTTCTTTTGACGCACCTTTTTTCGGTTTCTCTTTACGACTGCACTTGTGATATTCAAATTCATGCGATATTTCCCTCGCATTTACTTTCGTTATCGTTCTATACACAAAGATCTTGCCTTCGCAATCGTTACAGGATCTGTTTGATGGATGAGAACTGTTGAAATGGTTCTTTATAGCGTTTCTTATGTTGTGTCCCACGATAAAACTGTCACAATTGTCGCAACGAACAATCATCGGCTGAAGTCTCCCGTGAACGGCGTCCGTGCGATCGTTGATCACTCTCTCGCTATCAACCGCCACTTGGTCTCTGACATTTTCTCGATCGTCTGACATGGTTCAGCTCGTTCCTTCGCGCGTGCAATCGAAATAACGCACCTAAAATTTTAATCGCAATACGTGAAGATTCGTGTTAAAAAAAAAACTCACGCAATAAAAAACAATTATGCAAACTTGTCGAACAGAGTTGATCGATCTCGCGAAATTGCAGCAGAGGTTAGAAACGATTGTGACGCAAAAACACTTGAACAATACCAGAATGTGCACATGTAAGCAACAAACATATTGCGTTGTCACGAATGCAATAAAACGCGTCTCATTGTAAATCTTTTCTTGCAATTGCATTTGAAAATTTTACCTTTGTCTTGCGCACGTGCATATGTCACCGTGTTGAATGCGAGAAAGATCGATTGTTTTAGCGGGACCGTGTCCCTACACAAAGAGAACGGCTTTCTGATTTCTTTTAATACCATCATATTGTTCACAGAGAACAATGAACGGAACAGGTTATCCTTCTCTCTTATCTACTTGTTACATAGAACTTAAAAATAAAATAGAGACGCACACAAAGTATAAATATATGTAAATACTTTATTAAACAAGGCGGAATAATTACATTAATGTTTCAACACGCGGGAATTCAGGATTTATATAGGTTTGATTTTGAAGTGCAGTCCTATCAGCGAGAACACCAGGCATTTGAGATCCTGTACCAGGTAGTAGAAGCATCGCAAACCCTCCGGGTCCCGCGACTGATTGACGTCCAGAAGAGAACCGGTCTTGGACGTGGTGAACGATATGTGCTCGTCGCCGATCACGATTTCCAGTTCCTGGCGACCGACGCGATCCGGCTGGGGCCAAAGCGAGTCGTCCTCCTGCATGATCTCGGAGTCCTGGATGATGCGTTTCAGCTCCTCCATCACGCATTGATGCACGTACGCCTCTTTGCGGATCATAGTGTCGTTTTTGTAATTGGAGTTGTTGGCGTATCGCAGCTTGCCGTCGGGCCGAAATTCGAACTCGAGAAACTCGTGGCCGAACTTGCCCTTGTGGCCGACGTAATAGCGTATGTAGAAGTCCGTCGACATCCTGGTGCTCGTTTGTCAATAAATACAAGTCACAAAGTTGCGTGAAACACCGCGCTTTTAACAGCTTGTTGTGATATCCGCCATTTATATCAAACGTTAGGTTTGTATTGTATCTTTATGTGCAGTTTGCAATAATGAGCGCAAGTAAATTATGGCGGACGAGAAGTGACATTTCATTGGTGCGTCGGCAAATAGAGATCGCGCACGAATTCGACCAATCGGAACGAAGCGAGCAAGTTTAGTGAACTTCGTTCCGATTGGGTGGTCCGATGTGAGTTCGAAAGGCGAAAAATTTTATGAAAAAGATGATTTGATCAGCTGATCGGGCCATATTGTTGGCACCGATTTCGATGTGTCCGAGAGAAAACGTCAAAGAAATGTCAATTGTTGACATAAAAAACAGTATGTCTATTTCCATGCTTCTTTGTTGTACTGAATGTTGAAGAATAACGTTATAACGAGACAGAACAGATGTCCAACTAAAAAACGAAGAGAAAGAAAAAATCCCCATCATGCAAGAAAAATAATATTATCGTAGCACGCATTTCTCAACATCCGCGTTGCGATGATCCACGTTTATCGCTCGAGTTTGTAACGTACGTATATATATATATATATGTCAAAAACTAATAGATTAAAAAATTAATTCGCACGTGTTTAACAAAATTCTCGTTGCTGGTAGTAAAATTTCCCATTGAAACATGAATAAAAGCCACGCGAACAAGAGACTGAATCAGCTGCCGAGTTGGCTGTGGACCAATTCGACCACGTTGCCGCCGGTTTACAAGATGGTGTGGGAGGCGGTACGAGAGGATCGAGTCAGATCGAACGGTATGCAGAACGAGTTGCTCGTCGACACCAACAAGGTGTTTCCACTTTTACTCACCAGCCAACTGCCCACGGAAGTACTCGGTCACATATGGAATTTGGCTAATCAGAAATACGCGGGACAGCTGACTGAGCAGGAATTGTATATTGTACTGGCTCTTGTGGCTGCCGCTCAAACATCTTACACTTTCAACAGTCTCGATATATTGCATTTACTCCCTTTCCCACCGACACCGTATTTGAACATAGAGTGTTTGATGAATCTTCAACCTGCGCAAATGAATACGGCAAAACTTCAATATCATGCCAACGAAGAGTCCACTGTTGGCAATACGAGTATAGATGGAAAGTACATGCTTGATGTCAAAGGAAAACTTAAGAGAGTGCATGCAAGCACAATGGCTGATGCAAATGTGTTCTTCTCTAACAATACATCTGGAAAATCATCCAGTTTTGATGGCAAGATTCAGACTCCAGTTGGAAATAATCTCAATAACTTGTTCAAAGATGTGAAACAAACTTCCTCACGTGCCGAGCCGTCTGTATCATCCTTCGATGAGTCCTGTGATGAGTTTACGGAATTTCAGAGCGCTCCCATTCCCAATGTCTCTACTACTTCCAATATAGTACTGTGGGACAGCAAGCAAGGTTCTGCAATTGGCAGCAGACTTGCCAATCACAATCTAGGAGTGAAGAAAACAGTTGACAAGGTCAAAAAAGTTGCTTCCGTACCGAAATCCATGGAAGTTAACATGCAAGTTCACGCCAATGTGTCGTCATATCAGAGCAGAGATCATCAGTCCGCGTTAGAGCCCTCACTGGATTTGTTTCCCAAGTGTGCGGTAAAGAATCAGTCGAAAACAGTCATACTTAAAGATACCGTAATTCGCAATAATGACATACCCAAGGATTACAGTGACGCTAGTCTAGCAAGCGTGTCCGAGACACATGCTACCAATGACAAAGAAATATTACCTAAGGTAACACCAAAGGTAAGCGAACAATAACTTCTGTTATATTATTGATTATGACAGCGAACGTGTCTTTATTTTTGCACATGAGTTTAAAGTGGATATATATATTGTGTGTCTGATATGTATGAAATATCTTGTACATCTGTAGGCTGTTACGGTAGATACGTCTGATTCTGTTCAACAAGATTTAATGAGCTTGCAACAAATCGAGGATAAATACAGTGCATTACGCGCATTAGTTCAGGAAACCTCCACTGCGAATGATGCGAGTTCGAACGTAAATTTTAACAATCAATCGGCCGACGAATTCGGGGAATTTATGTCTGCGGAACAACCGTCTACCAATCCCTCGACATCAGATGCTTTGGATACCGAAAGCTTTAGCAATATACTCGCAGATTTTGATTTCAAAACACATCCTACTGTCGACAACAACAGTAACTTAACGAACATGAACCTGGTATCCGAAGTATCTGAGTCGTTTAGTAATCTAAAATTTGACGATGGCATTGAAATACAGTCTGTAGAATCAGGTTGGTGATTTCACACACACACACACATACACACACGTCGCTACATAGTTTATTTTCGCTTATGTTTCGTTCAAATCAAGTAGCATATTATTCTTAGGAAAGAATGTTCAGAAAGAGGATGCTATTTCGATAAATAGTGTAGAATTGATTAGTGGGCCGTCTGAAGCACTGCCACGATCTGGATCTGTGCCTAGTTTAGATCTTAAATCATTTTTGCCTTCGAACATAGAGGAAGATCAAGCTGTAGAAACGTCGCAGCAGGTACGTATGTCACTCAAGCATAAACAAGGACTTCGACATATAAACGTGTGCACATGTAAATAAAATATATATTTCTTTATGCAAAAAAATATCGAAAAAAAAAAAAACACTACTGTTGTAGACTATGTACTGGGAATGGAAGCAGTATATGGAAAGTTGTATTTTGCTGTTACAAGTAGCAGCCAATATATTCACTAGTATTACATCAGAGTTAGTCTTGAAAGAAGTCTTGAATTCGGCTCAAGGATACAACTTTCTTTGTCGTAAGTATCTTTCAAAAATACATTTATTTATGTAAAAGTGGGAGTAAAAAATATATAAAACGCATCTCGTTAGAATTGGCCGAGGTCGCGGCTGTTTGCAGACGCGTTAATTTTTCATACAAAGAGTTGGATATAAACATTGTTGGATTTGATGACCTTTTGATGGACATCGATCGGGTTTGGGCTGAAATGGAACCTTTTTACGCGAACATACCGGTGAGTGTCATCTCCGTGCGTGAAACTGTATTATTTTTGTAAATAAAAACACAAATATGAAACATCAGGTGACAATTTGTATGCAAGATTTTGTCGCGTTGTAAAATATATTCGCGCGTACTCATGAATTTCAGATCATCACCGAGTTACCAGTTTGGCCGTTGCACCAAGGAGAATGTATTACTTGTTCGCTGTGTCTGACGGTTATCACGAGCGGTCGAGTTATTTATAACGACAATAGCTATCACGCAACTTGCGCGAACCTGTGGCTTAATTGCGTGAATAACCAATTACCGGTGATGCGATATAATCATCTGCTTTATCAGTCGAATATATGTCCAGGAAGTCATATTTAAAGTATCAATTTGCACGTAACGCGTGTTTTTAAATTTAAATTAAATAAGAATACAAATTCTTCGCGAGAGAGATCTTATATAAATGTGTATAAGCTGATTATTATTAAGAGCGATCTCTTAAAATGTAGCTCCGACACATATAGTTTTCGTCAATATATCGAAAGTCAGCACTCATGCACAAGGCAAAGTTCTACTTAAAAAAAAAAAATAAATATATACACGTGTACTTAATTTATGCTCCTCGAGAATTCTTGGCAGTACACATCCGCGATGAGGCGGTCGCGTGTGTGAAGTATATACGACATATTTCAAAACGAACAACGTACGGATATATTTCAAATAATCGATCTAGATCGCAATGTAAAAGAAAAACATACTTAGTATTCCTATATAAAATTATATACAGATTTATTGTAATTAACGTTGACTGGTGTCGCGCGGCCTATACACTATTCCTCTGCTCTTCATTTCTCTGATGACACCAGCTGGCAATCGTCCCGATACAGATATGGCATAAACACCTTTGCAGAAGCGATCTGAAGAAAAAAAAAAACAGAATCTCTATTAATAACGTTAGATGTGAAACAAGTGTCTTGCGCAACTGGGAAATAGAATTTTATTTCTAGAAAAAAAAAAAAGAAAACTTTTTTATTTGTAAATTCTATTCCATGTTAAGAAAATTACACAAGTGTGTTCTCAGAAAAATACTGTTTGAAGGACATGTATAGAAAATTATATAAGTATGTTTAGAAAAAAAAAAAGTAAATTGATTTCTCTAATAAATATAAATTTATTGCGGTAACAATTTAAATATATAAGACTGTTATAAATAAATCAAACCTAGACTTACTTATTCTTTGCCACTTGCACACCCAGCTATCTTCTGGACTCATTGCAGCAATCATTCTGCAAAATCAAAAATGTAAACAGATAAAGTACAGACTTCAAGAAATGTTTTCAACATTGTTAACTGACATGTGTGTACACAATAATTTTAATTATGTATATATTGTTGTACATTACCCGTCAAAGTTGGAACTAGTGCAGTCAAAAACATTGTCCTTGTTATTTTTCATACGTAAAAACTCGTCACAGTTGTCACAACCGTCAAGCTCGAATTGCTCGAAAGTCTGAAGAAATAAATAAAGTTATTAACAAAGTGTATATAAACAACACACAAATGTTTTGCTGAAACATACCTTAACTAAAGAACACACCAAACACGCTCTCAACTGGCGCAAGTCTTTCGGCACCGTCTCCATAGACATGTTTACGTCGTTATCTTAGGTTAGGGTTAGGTTTTCGTTTCAGCCACAGTGCCCAATTATTTTACAAAAACACCGTTAACGTAATGTTCGCTTGATCAGGTCTTTGGTTTTTGTCACTTTTTAAATGTTACGTCGGACATGTGATGTAAAAACACGAAGTTTGTTCGTTTTTTCTGCCGCGCTAGAACGAGTGCAAACCACTCCAAACATCCAATCTGGATTCACGTTACGCATGCGCGTAACGTCATGCACGTTTTGCGAGTGAATCAGTGAACATAGAAGGAGTAACTCCTTTTGTGATATGATAATAGTTATGTGCAGAATAACAGAATTAAGCAAGCAAACTGTTAAATTAGCCAGATAGTGTCAAAAAGTCTGGATAGGCGGAGATTTAGACGCGGTAAGACGCGTTATAAAATATCACTCAAAGAAGCAAGCAATTATGGCACCAAACAAAGTACGTATAAAAAAACAATAATATATTTGTATTAAATTAGTATAAAGTTATAAATATAGAGTATATATATATATATACGTACTTGTGCGAATATAATTTTTTATATTGTGTATACCGAATTAATTACAATCAAATATATCTTATGTTGTTTAGAAAGACAAGGGAAGATATTTGAACATTGGAGACCGTGTAACGCTGTTGAACCGATTGGAAAAGGGAGAAAAAGCTTCCAATTTAGCCAGAGAATACAATATTACACCAGGGGCAATATCAAAGTTAAAGAAGGCCAAAGAACACATACAGCGACAGTATTCAATAATTCTTGAGAATCGAGGAAGCGCAAGCAAGATAAAGTTCACAGTTGAGAATAATCATCTCGAAAGATCTCTGTACGAATGGTTTATTGAAAAGAGAAACATGGGCGATACGGTAACGGGATCTATGTTGCAAAAGAAAGCAGTGGAACTGAACGCCAAGTTGAACGGTTCCAGCACGTTTAAAGCGTCTACGGGTTTTGTGGCTAGATTTAAAAAAAGACACAATATTAAGCACCTGGCTCATCAGGGTGAGAAACCGACTGTTGGCAAAAAGGCAAATCAGTTTTTTCAGAAAATAGCGAAATATATTACCGAAGCTGAAATACCGTTAGACAGAGTTTACAATGCCGACAAAACTGGTCTCTTTTGGAGGATGTTGCCAAATAGAATACCGACTCTCGACGATAGCCAGTCATCCGAAAGAAAAATCTACAAAGACAAGGTCACTTTAATGATGTGCACAAACGCTACAGGGAGTCACAAGCTCCCGCTTCTAGTTGTGGGAAAACACGATCAATCGGATTGTTTTAGCAACGTACACGCTTTGCCTGTTTTCTACAAAGGACAAAAAAATGCTTCTATAGACGGTGAATTGATGTTACAATGGTATCAGGACATTTTTCTTCGGGAAATAGAGCAGCATCACGGGTCAGATAGCAAACAGTGCCTTCTTTTACTCGAGAACGCTCCCTGTCAGATATCGATAGAACAGTTCAACTCAATTAGCAAACAATGTCAAGTAATATATTTACCTTCCAATGTGAAATCACTTGCACAGCCAGTGAATCAGGGAATAATTGCGAAATGTAAACAAATTTACAAAAGCAATCTTCTCCGACTGATACTTGCCGAAAATACATTCGAGGATGTGCAAAAACTTTTGCAATCGTTCGATCTGCTTCGTTGTTGTTATCTGATAAGCAACGCTTGGGATGCGATAACAGACGATTATATAAAAACTGTTTGGAAAAATATTGTTTCAATCGATAAAAATTTAGAGCCACGGTGCGTTCAAGACTCGCAGCTTGCGTCTTTCACGTTTGACAAAATTCCGAATTCTAAAGAAATTATCGCGTGGTTGCACGATAACGACGACGATGAGCCAGAAGATGAAACGTTAAATGATCAAGAACTATCGTCTCCGGAGAACAATGAAGAAACCGACGAAAATGAAACGGAACAAAACAGATGTCCGATCGAACGTGAAGTTGCGGAAGATGACATTGCGGCGAAAGATGCTGTTGTTGCAATAAATACAGTAATACAGTACACAAGAAAGGTCGAAGTCACTACCGAGGAATTTAATTTTTTGTTTAAACTCTGGCTACGAGCAATCAATGAGCTTCACGATACGTAAAACATTTTAGGTAGCCAAATGACAGCGGTGTGATCTGCGATCGGAACTTCGCAGATTTCACTCTGTTTTGTGTCAAATATGAAAAATTGTTCTAGACATACATATATAGCGACAACGGCACAAACGGTTTATAGTCAAGGTTCTTTAAATTATAGAAAAGTTTTAAAAAAAATTTCAATTTCAATTGTAAATATATTTATTATTTACGGTATATACATATGTAAAAATGCATTTATATAATATACAAATTATTTCTTACAGTACATTTGACTTTTTACTGACTCACAAGCCTCAGGTAGGTCCGTACCATTCTCTGATTTTTTACATTAGAAAATAGATTTAATTACAACAGATTTTAATCGACGTCAATTCAAATTTTACATTGAGCGAATTCAATTCTTGTATAAAAGTAATACAAGTGCATGAGTGTTTTATTTGGAATATTATAAAATTTTTTCTTCGCACTTGCAGGTCATCTTATGCGCGTTTTCGCGGTTAATTCGCGCCCTTTAATTCACGCACGTGAAAAAGTTTCTACTCCGATTGGTTACTCCCCCACCATATTGTTTCCGCTTGCGTTTTGATCATAGCTCGTTTCTCTGTCAATTATGTACCCTTGACTTGTGTCTCTAGGTATATTTGTGTCGTTAATGGTTCACTTCGAGGTCAAGTGTGTGTGTATGTGTGCGTGTGTATCTGACGTACGTCCAAAAATCTGAAGTCATTCTATAACATTTGTTCGATACATACTGTTCAACTCAAACTGGTGCGATTTGATACTCGTTTAAGTTAGTTTTGCAGGATTTTTCCCGTCGTGTAAAATGGAAGAGTTGGGCATTATTCTGCCCGATAAGGTAAGTTTAACTTCGATCTGTATAATTAACACGATCCGAAAACGCGCAGATAACCTTTTTATAAGTTCTCGTGAGTTTTTTGCCACAATTGCAGTTGATAATTTTAAATGCTTTTTTATGTGGCCTATGTAAATCGCGATTGTGTTTACAGGATGTGGGTGAAATTGACTGTAAGCCAGTTACCGGTCACTACACAGGAGCTGGGGATGAACTGGATGTCGAAGATCTTTATACTAAATATAAGGTAAGTACATTTGTCTAAAATATATAGATGGTGAAAATTTAAGAAGTATATACAGTCATCTCTCATAAGATTAAATTGTGCAATCTTGTGCTTAGAAATTGCAAAGGCTGCTGGAATTTCTTGAAGTGCAAGAAGAATACATCAAAGATGAACAACGCAATCTAAAGAAAGAATATTTGCACGCTCAAGAAGAAGTTAAACGTATCCAAAGTGTACCTTTGGTCATTGGACAGTTCTTAGAGGCTGTTGATCAGAACACTGGCATAGTGGGATCTACAACAGGCTCAAATTATTATGTACGGATTTTGTCTACCATAGACAGAGAACTTCTGAAGCCTTCCGCCAGTGTAGCACTTCACAAGCATAGCAATGCTTTGGTGGATGTGCTGCCACCAGAAGCTGATTCTAGTATTTCTATGTTACAAGCAGGTAACAAAATCTAGAAGCTATTTTTTTTTCTTTTTTAATGTTTGTTACAAATAAATAATTTTATTGATGTACATTTACAGATGAGAAACCTGATATTCAGTACAGCGATATAGGTGGAATGGACATGCAGAAACAAGAGATCAGAGAGGCAGTAGAGCTTCCTCTTACTCATTTCGAATTGTATAAACAGATCGGTATTGATCCGCCGCGAGGTGTACTCATGTATGGACCACCTGGTTGTGGAAAAACTATGTTGGCTAAGGCTGTTGCTAGACACACTACTGGTGCGAATCTAACGCATACTATTATGAAATATTTAAGTTAATTATACACAAAGGTTTTAATTCTCTATTTTTTATTTTTTCTAGCTGCTTTCATTCGCGTAGTTGGTTCTGAATTTGTGCAAAAATATTTGGGCGAGGGACCGAGAATGGTGCGTGACGTGTTTCGCTTGGCGAAGGAGAACTCGCCGGCTATAATATTTGTCGACGAAATAGACGCTATTGCTACAAAGAGATTTGACGCTCAGACTGGGGCGGATCGTGAGGTGCAACGTATTCTTTTAGAGTTACTCAATCAAATGGATGGTTTCGATCAGACAACCAACGTTAAAGTTATTATGGCCACGAATAGGTAAGGCAGCTTGTAGTTTTTGATTGTTTAATTTTATTATAGTCTGAAGATAAAATGACATATCTATCTTCTGCCTATCTCTGTATGTATTTATTCATATTTCTTTAGAGCGGACACGTTGGATCCTGCATTGCTTCGTCCTGGTAGATTGGATCGGAAGATTGAGTTTCCGCTACCCGATCGTCGACAGAAGCGCTTAATTTTTTCCACCATCACCGCGAAGATGAACTTGAGCGAAGAGGTGGATCTCGAGGATTACGTGGCACGGCCGGACAGAATATCCGGTGCCGATATCAACGCCATTTGTCAAGAGGCGGGGATGCACGCCGTCCGTGAAAATCGTTACATAGTTTTAGCCAAGGATTTTGAAAAGGGTTATAAAAACAATATTAAGAAAGATGAATCTGAACACGAATTCTATAAGTAAATTTAATATATTTGTGTGTGTCCTTTAATCATTATACATTTATTCATCACTTACGGTATACGTATGTAACTAACATATGCATATTATATACAAACATTACGAGATTAAACTGGTGACTAATTACACTAATGTGTTCTCTCTCTCTCTCTCTCTCTCTCTCTTCTGATTCTCTATGATATCCAGTCTCTTTGTTGTGTTATCTATGTATTTATAGCCTAATATAATCAAAGATTTTTATAGATATTTAATAATAGAGAGAGTTTTCTTTTTTCTTGAAAAATTGTTTTAATGATATTCACTTTTTTCTGTCTCTCTTGCAAAAATACACGTGCAAACTTGGTTATAATTTTTTAATTGCGGAACTTACATATATATGTGTATACAAACGAATAAGTTTTCATTATGTCGCATTCTTTAAATAATCACGACGACAATTGTTTTTACAAAACTCAACACGAAGAAGCTTCGAATTCGGACGAGCACGGAAGAAAGAAAGAATCAATCACACTGAAACTTTTGAAAACTATTTTTGAATTTACATTAAGAAAAATGGAATTAGCGGTAATCGATGATAAGTCATCACTGATGTGTATTTGATATTGTAATAAATTTACACACGATTGTATATTAGGTGGCTTTACCCTCTATTATATTAAACCCTGAATTATCCATGATACTAACAAAATGCGAGGTAGGTATGATAAAAGACATTTTTTTGTGCGATACTGAACATTGTTCGTCATGTTTATTGAAGTCAGGTAATAAATATTTAATATATAAATATGTTCTCGTACGTTTTTACGACTTTTCTACAATCAAATTCATATTTCAGAGTTTGAACAAAAGGAACATTCTTTAAGAAAGCGTGCAACGACGAAAACACATTGTCAGACAACTTGGACCATGTCCAGATTTGATCGTGCAGTCTACAGAGCACTACAAGTTGGCCCTTGCGATCATTTAAATCTAAAATAGTCAAACTTTCTTGTCGAATAGAAAATAGATATTTTAATTGGCAATTTCTTCAGATTTTGAACAAACACATCGATGTTCTGCATCCTCGCGACAAGTACATATCAATTCCGTCAGCTTTGTTTCTGCATCATCTTCGTTGCTTTTTGCAACATGCTCTGTGTAGATTGCACCTCACGCCGGACCAAGCGAGAAGCAAAGAACTGCATTACAGACAATTCTGGCGCGATCAGAAAAGATCTATCGAAGATAGTGACGGTAAAAAAAAATACATATATTTAATTTCGTTTACATATAACTAACACATTTGTTTTTTAAAATAAAAACAATTAATGTTCTTCCTTTTCACTTCTCGTGGAAATGCGTAGTATTCACGAGGGACTTGGAAAAGCAGCGAAGGAATCATGAAAAGCTACTCGAGAATGTAATCAAGCAATATAAAAAAAACTTGGCCGTTGTCGTTGACATTAACAAAAAGTGCAACGAGGACATGGCGAATATAACGTATATCTATTCAATTTGTACTTTACATACGATCGAAAAGAAAAAAAGAATTGTATTATTCACGAAGGTAATTTTTTTGCAGTGTCAAATATGAGAAAAAACAATTGATGTTACATAAAGTATGGGAAATAGAACAAAACGAAGTACAGCGAGCACTGAACAGTATCACGGATGATCTCGAATCCTTGAAAAATATAAATGCAAATGTAGAAGAAGCTGTTTACAACCGAAGGTGCACAAACATGTATATACAAAATTAATATTAAAAACAATATTTTCTATATATAGTTTTGCAATTAACAGATTAGCTGTCGAATCGAAATTATTGGCGGTGTTGACCAAATACGACACAGAAATTGGAAGCAGATATCGAACGTTGAAAGAACTCAGTCAAATTTATGAAAATGACAAACTAGAGAAACTCGCGCTTGAAGTAAGTCTATATAGTTGTAGTGAAATGAATGTATGTGTGACACAAAATTTATTAATTTGCTAGCAAGAACTGAAGGAACAAGAAGAAGAGTACGTTGCCCTATTGGGAGCGACCGATTTCTACGAACGTTTGGCTACGCTTCATCAAGAACGTTCCGCGACAAGTATTCAACGTTGGTGGCGCAGAATTTTGTTGGATAAAACCGCAGAGACAACTTGAAGAAGAAGAAAATCGAATAAACGACTCTCTCAAATCATTATCGTTGACTCATAAAAAATCGTAAAGAAAAAAAATAGATTTTGAAATGTATTATTAAATATATATATATATTGTATTTGCATGTGGTGAGAGTCAATCTAATTTATTTACATTTGTTGTACAACACGTGTCAGCTTTACAATTATTTTTTGCTTCTCTCAGAGTTTAAGTACAACATCTTCACTCCTTTTTTTGTAATAATTTTTTCAATTATATATATATGAACATATTTTTATATACTTTTTGGATATTTCGAATACAAGCAGCGTGTGCTATTTATAATAAAACATAATTACACATCTACGTTATGCGATTGTTATCGAAGACAGTGCCAAAATAGACAATTAATAAAAAAAAATAAAATAAAAAAAAACAAGTGTAAATAGATACATTTACCATATTTTAGCACTACATTTACGTATATATAAATACCATGCAATATAATTTTCACATGTCAATTAAAATTGTTGCAAAGACATTTCAAAATTCGTGAAATTTAAAGGTGGAAGAATCAAATATACTCATATCATATCAATGTAGCACACACAGTTTTGCACGTTATGATATATATATATATATAAATTGCACGTGTGATTAGATATATATCATTTACATCCTCTATATGTGTGTTTTACAACTTCTGGAAATAGGTTTTTTTTATGTTAACAGGTATTTGTCATTTATAATAACGACTATATTCGGACAATACAGACAAATATTTAGAATAAAAGAACTCTTATCTTACGTGTATATATATATATATATATGTATATTAGATATACGCGCGTAACATATTATACTTAATAATCGATGCAGCGTAAAATTGTTCGGATTAATAGTCATACAGTGATGTAGATAGACTTATATTTTTTATACACAAAAAGTGTCACGTCGGTTGAGACAAACTTTATATTTTTGTAATTTTGTTTCCTAAACAATATCGTAGTATACATATCTTTTTTTTCGACCGATCTAATAATATTATTATTATTGTACGTCTGCAAAATCGATGCAATATGTGATCGACTAACTATATGTAATACTGAAGAACACTGATTGTGAGGACAAAATTATTTCCAAAGTAACAATATTTTATATATATATATATATATATAAATATAATTTATATATGATAGCGATATATTATAATTAAGTACTGAATTATGGAAACGATTCAAATGGATTATTATATTTTCTGTACACGCATTTAGAAACAGTGATTGACATTTTCATGTTAAAATAATAAGTAATGTTACGTAGATGAAATATCTATGTATTTTTATAGAAATACGCGTTTCGTTTCGTTTAATCCAAAGCTATAGTGTATACATGTCGTTTTTTTTTTTTTTTTTTTTTTTTTTTAATATATATATTACTATTTCGAGTATTCTAATATTCGAACTTAAGAACTCGAAAGGGTAAATGTTCAGATTAATAAAAAATATCAATAACTATTCATGAACAGTGACCATATAAATATTTTGAATACACATAAAAAACAATTAGGTTTTGAACAACTAAGTGAGTAATAACAAGAGAGAACTCACATATTTGTTGTCAAGGCTCCGTCTTATTTCACTTTGCTTTTACATACACACACACACACACATGCACACATTGCTAAAACTCTTGTAAAACTTTTTTATTAAAAATAAAACTAAATAAACAAAGAAAAAGAACTATTTAACGCGTAAAGTTTAGAAACTATATAAAGTAAATATGTATACTTTTATTTTAGTGTACGAGAAAAACGCGAGATAATATGAATTTTTTAACGAAAAATCACACAGAATGATATATAATTATATCAAGACCGTAAAAGAAAACAATTGTCTGTAAAATAATAAAAATTGTATCTGCGCAAAAACAAAAAACAAATCTCATTGCATTACAATCCATTTTATCAATTACATATACACACACACATATATGTACATATAATTGATAAAATATACAAATATCAATTATATAAAATATTATATAAACTTATGATCTATGTCAATTGATTGTAGAGATTCCTAGCACTATAAATGTGAGTTCAATGTTCGCGATGGCTTTTCCATATCTTCAGTCTACCATCTGGTTGGTCCGGCATCGGTTGTAGCTGCGTTGGGTCCTATGAATGGATTTGTGGAAGCCGCTACATCGAAATAATTTAGTTAGTAATAAATAATAAAAGAGCGAAGTATTATTTATTGAACTATCGTCAGAGATATCGAGTACTGTTTTTCTACACAGATATAAAATGTTCATGTAACACAACTCATACACAAAATAATTTTGTATTTTATCTAAGTGCACATAAAAGATAACAAAAAGACGTAAGTTAATTTAGCGATAAGAAATACAAATTGTATGCAAAACAAACTGATGAGATGAGCAGAGTGATATCTACGTTATGAAATGTTAAAGTTCAATATGCAGCAATAACAATTGCACAATTGATTTCTGTATCTTGTAGTTTTTATAAAATTCTCAAACTATAATATTCAAATTTAAACTCACGTCAGATCTCAGATTTATCAAATTTGTCATTTATTTGATCTTTATCGTCAATATTATTATTACACGCAGCACATTTTAAATAAATAAAAGATGTTCAAAATTTTATTTGACACTTAAATGTAAAATAAAAAGCGTATAAGGTGATACTTGGAAGTAGCAATAAAAACATTGGCAAAGCATACACAATCACATGTAGAGTATATTTTGTTTTTTCATTTCACGATAAGAATGATAAGACCTATTTGATGTAAATTACAAAATCTGCAAGAAAATGTCTTAAAACAAATTGTAAAAGATAGCTGTAGAGAAACATATCACAAATCATAGAACATGAATATTAGAATATTCAAAATGTAAAAATAATCATAGAGATGAATACAAACAGAGCGTGTAAAAACACATTCTTCATAGTACATACATATTACTGACATGTGTTTATGTAACTAATGAAGAATATGTGGAATTGTATGTAAGAATCTTGTACGAGAGAGATATCATTTTTATTAAAAAAGATTTCTCTCTTTCTTCAATATGTATACGTACGTTACACATAGTAACATATACAATCATGTGATGTATAATAAATTACTACTTATATAGCACATATACATATATTATAATATATGTATATATAAATATTCATTTATACCGAGTGTTATACAAATTTCACTGAAATTCGCGACACCTCGAAAAAACGACAAAAGTCTTTCCAAAAATTGTGAAATATATATTTTACAGAAACATGGGAAAAAAATCGTGTTATTTATCTCACTCTTGATTGACGGTCTTATGTGGCATTAACAAAATTCAAATAGAAACAAACAGCAAGAATACCTTAATGATGATACAAAAGCTTAGATTTCAACTAAAAACAATAATACGGTTGTGGAAGTCAAGCGCAAATGTAATTGCATGATATTATCAAAGTGTAAAGTACACAGATTTAAAAAATTTCAGATAATAACTCAATACGCATATTGTTGATGTTCGTTGAAACAAGTTAAAATATAAACTTAAAAAGAGAGAATACTAGCTAGCTTATCTTTTTCCCTCTTCCTGTCTCCATCTATCTACTATCAGCGGAATATGTGGGAAAAAGAAAAAAAAAAAACAAATGTAGTTACAGCCTTTTATATACAGATTGACGCAGAGAGCATCTGTATGAATAAATCAAATTCAAATAATGATTCAACAATACTCAAATTGATTTAATTCACGTTGCAAGCAATCACATATGTCCAAAATGTTCTGATGTATATCGATTGTATTTACTCTTTGAAAAATTATATGTATTAAAAATAACAATTAAGTATCGCGAAACACAAGAAACAAAAGAGATAGAGCGAACGCTTGAGGGCGAGAAATGTGAGTTGAATGATCGATGACAATGTAAAAAAGATAACAACTCATAGTATGCTTTCTACACGTTCAAGAACTCGTAATACCAGTGGTATAAATCACGCGATCACCGCCGCTGTTTAGATTCGTGCTTTCGTTAACAGTTGATGCTGGTGCCGCTGATCCGGGTGCGGGCATGGCAAATATCGGTTGCTGTGCATTGGACGCGTTTTGCGCAGCGCCACTTTGAGGCTGAGATGTCACAGCTTCGTCATCGCTATCGTCTTCCTGCGAATGCACAGTTTTAATTGCGAAAATTGAAATACATTCGGATCATTCACTCTGAAAATAAATTATTTGGGACACATCTTACGCTTGTTGTATAGAAATAATATAGTGAAAATTTGTATTTTCATGTTATATCAATATATTCCCTCTGATTCGCTTCAGATTTTTCGATTTTTTCATACCAAGTCAACTTTTACAAGATTAATTTAGATGAATTTTGCAATTTTTTAAATATTTCTATCTGTTCAAATGAAAATATTTTCGCTGATATGCAAAGAGAGTTATAATAAAGAAGATGAATCTTATGATGACATGAAACATGAGAACCTGTCGAATAAAGCTGTAAATATTCATTCAAAGCTTTCATACCAGCAGAACCTGATTTTAAAATCGAAACGAGCAATATCAAAGAAGCGCAAGAAAAAGCAAACTTTTTGACTTTTCTAACTTAGATGCTTTATTATTTTGTTATCAAAAATTTCATAAAGAAACTAATATAGCTTTTCATATTACAAATTATTATGATAAGAGAATTATGTTCTAATTTGATATAAATTTCAAATTATATTCTTGATATAAAATGTTATTTCTTCACGTAAGAAGTTACAAGTTATGTTTTTATATTCTGCTATATGAAATTTAACAACAAATGAGATTCATTCAAAAAGCTGCCATTTTTAATATTTACAGGTACGTCATGCAGTTATGCTCACATTGGAATAATATTCTGGTCTTGTGCGGATATCGTAACAAAATATAAATTACAAAGAAACAAATCTCTACTGTTGTATTATTATATTTGTGTAAAAAATATATATACGTAAAATCATTCCAATATATAAATTTATATAACGAGAATAAAAAAAAAATAAGAAGCATGAATATTTACGAGACTGAATGAAGTTAAATGAAAAAATTGAAAAAATTGAAAAAGAAAATGAAAATTTCGAGCGTTATAAACACTTACCTTTCCGAACCCTCGTGGTTGATTTGTCACAACACCGTCTGGATTCTGGTTCCGCTATAATACAATAATAACATAAACAAAACCGCTAAACTATGTATACGCCTTTCTATGAAAGAAAACCATAATTTGGCATGTGTGAACAGAAGTTCATGCATTTCTAATTTGTGCTATCTCATGCAAAATTACAGATATAAACAAATATATGTACATATATATCGAAGAAGACATGTGTGTATGTTTAACAAAATATACTACAAGAAATATTTTTGCGAAAATATTTTTGCGAAAAGCGCTGATATATCGATATCTACGTATAAAGAGAAATCGCGATTTATAAAACTACAAGATATGTATGTGTGTGTGTATGTTTAAACGAGCGCGCGTATATTCAACTAACACCAAGAGAGCAGTGCCAATGCGATACAAAGCTAACTACTAACTGGTGCTTTATACAACAAATAATATTGAAAAGTTTCGATAAATACACACTTTTAAGTACGCGTTGATCTTATTTAAGTCGCATGAACTCCTTAAACCGTTTGTTATTAGATATCTATTAAGATCGTCTTTCCTTCCCGACACAATTTCCAACTATATACCGAAAAATTATATGTAATAAATATCCGATAATTCTCTAAATGTTCGTTTTAGCGTTATGTCTATTAAAAACTTTACTTGAATGTCAAAAAGTTACAAAAAAAATTGTGTTAATAAATATCATGCGGGATATATATACAATGCAAGAGCAGCAATTGTTTTTTTAATCTCTTTAAATCGAGCAAACAGAAATACTTGTTTGTCCATGGCACAAGTCATGCAGATATAGAAGAACACCATGTTACTCACTACACAAACTTCAAACTTCTTAAATATCACATCCAACATGCCATGTGTGAGTTTTAGTCAATTTAAAGATTAAATCTATTTTTACCATGGCAAGATATATATGTAAAAAAGAGAATATATTTCATTATATTTTTGTGTATTTTTCATTCTGCAGCAAAGCATAATAGCGAACATGTTGAAGATGTGTAAAAAATAGTAGTAGAATGCACATGAGTAAAAAACATGATGTAATCCACAACTCTTTGCACAGTGCGCGTTTAACTTTATCAAATAAATCTCTCACTTATATAAGAGAGAGAATATCAATGTGCAAAGCTATAGTCTCAAAACTCAGATATATACTTCTGTTGATATTAAATGGTTTCTTATATGTGTATTTTATTTGTGTTTAAGAATAATTTAAAATATTATATTCTACTAAAAAAATATTAAGATCGATGAAAAATACTAGAAAAGACATTAAAAATTAGGAGGCTAAGTGCTAGTAAAACCTTCACAGTCGGCTTGGTATGAGAATTTTCTTACAATACTAGATTTGTTATAATTGTTAATAACACATTCTTTTTTTGAGTCACATATTATAAGTTTGTCATTGTGTACATTCTGCTTTATCTACTTAATTCTCTAAAACTTCATTTAAAAAATAATAATAATGTAAGACTTGTACAAGTTTTTACCTGTAAATTATGGTATTCACCGCTATCCTCAGGTGGAGTGGGTTTGCATTTACCACAACAGAAATTGCAACAGCAGCAACAACAACAGCAACAATAACAAGCAGTAATTAGTCCACAAAACAGGAACAGTGCCTGAAAACAAACAGAAAAAATATTTTTAAGATACAAATGTTGTATATATGTCATCAATTATACATGTTTACATATTGCATTATAAAACAAAATTTATTTGTGTCACTTATAAAAAGGAGGATGTGACTCATTATTCTATCTCACGTTATCTCATATTTAGCAGCCACAGATGACTATGATATGCATGTAACATGATCCGTAGATAATGTGTGCATATAAACTACTTTGTTCAATTTAATCATTATCTCACAGTGACATCTTATATGATATGTGTTAGATATTACGTTATCCTTACCTTGCACCAACCAGAAGTAACAACAAAGTAAGCATTAACATTCTCTTCTCCAAATTGTTCTGCGACATATAGACCAAGAGATCCATAGTTATCATATATGTTACGTTTTGTTAAATCTGTCAGGATAGCATGTGCCCTATTTATTTCTTTGAACTACAAACATACGACACAAATTATAAGATATCGTTTTCTGTAAGAGAGAAAACACAAGACAAAAATTACACAAGTAAATCAGAATAACCTTCTCAGCAGCCTCTGGATTGTTGGGATTTTTGTCAGGATGATACTTGAGGGCCAGCTTTCTGTACGTCTTTTTAATTTCTTCTGAGGTAGCAGTTTTTGGGATTTCCAAAATCTGGTACAGGGAATCCCCTGCTGTACTGCGGTAGAAAAAAAATATAAAAAAACGAATCAATAAAATTATCTGTGATTAAAAACCGCAATAACTTATCACAAACACGCTACGAATTTATATACGAAAAGATCTTTTAATTTTCTAATCTTTCATTACCATTTCCATTATATTTGTAGAGATCTCAGATAAGTTTCGAGTCAAGGACACGCAAGGGCGTATCACATCGTATAATAATTTACATTTATATAAAATTCGTTTTTTTTTTTTTTACATATATACCATAACAACCGGTAAACATAGAAAAAACATAAAGTCATAGGGCCGTTTAAATGTCACGTTCACTGTCATGAATAGTTTAATAGTTATCAAAAGAAATCGGATGTAAAGAAAAGAAATCAACTGATAAGCATGCACAAGTAAACGTGGCGATAAGAAACGATAAGCTACACACAGGTGACAGAGCGCAGTTACAGCGTTGGGCGTCTTCAATGTCATGACGTATTTGTCATTCGTTACTTACGACATTTTTCTCCTGTCCATGGCGAGCGATGCACTGGATTCGTCGGTTTTAAATGTAAATTAGTCCGAGCAATAAACTTTCCTACAAATTGATTTTTTTTTTGAACGAAAAGATACTACGCAAACATTTCGCAAAACATTCTTTTTACAGAGGTGGTTGAGAGCACCATCAGAACGTACCACACGAAAGGCACGATTCAATATTTTAGTTCCGTCAGCCAACGCATATGCGCCAAAGTGGCGCTGAAAAAACTGTAAAGTTAGGTAGAGACCCTTGCGGTTAAGGTCGCCAAGTTACACCCTCCGCTTCAGCACCAAGGGTCGATTTTGTATCACGCAATGTAGTGAAAATTACAAAAATGAGCGAATTTACTATAAAATATCTACGATACTTATTGGTCAACAACTAATAAATTTGCTTACTTTTGTAATTTTCACTACATTGCATAAATACAGAAATAACCTTTAGAGCTCTATCAGCCATCGAACTAGACTTGAGATTTGATTGGAATTTAACCGATCAGAATCAGAAACAACCAACTTGAGTTTAGTAACTTTTGCTCTGATTGGTCGAACTCCAATCTAATCTCAATCTTAATTTGTCGTCTGCGATATGGACTTTAACAAGGTCGAAGTCACAGCTGCATCAAACCAAACCAAATAGGACATTGTTGAAAGATGACAAGGACAGAATTTATGAGAATTAGGTTGTGATAAGTGTCAAATACGTGACATTGAAAAATCGTCAAATAATCAGTAAACTCTTGTAAGAAAAATGTCCCAATCACGAAATGTGCTGTAAAGCACATCTTTGTAAAATTATATTTATATGAAAAAACAAAGTTTTTCTCTCAATAGATAAATGAGAAAATCTTAAGTTTCCGGGAGTTTTGTGCAAAATCTTTCTACATGTGACAAAAAACGATACTGTATATTTATGTAGAATAGATATCTACTTTGAGAAAATAATTTGTTTAATTTAGATTTTGTAATATTCACTGTAATTGTTGTTTGATACAAAATGCAGTGTAAAATTGATGACCTACCTGATGAATTATTAGAATACATTCTGAGCTTGATACCACCCTACAAAGATCTTCAGGAGTGCAAGCTTGTTTGTAAAAGATGGTACAGAGCAACCAAAAGTATGCAAATTCTCAATATATAAATATGTACAAATTTGTGTGTTTTAATATTTATTCATACATGTTTTGTTATCTAGATGTGACAGAATACAGTGAAGCACATTTTCAAAAATCTGTGGCTTGTGGATTATTAATATGGAAGTCATTGTCACTTACTTGCCCAATGTATCCTACTATTGCAAAGAGACATTCTCATTCAGCATGTATATATGATAATTCTATGTATATATTTGGTGGTTGCACAGCTACCTGGACAACTACATTTAATGATTTGTGGAGGCTGGATTTAGGAACAAGAACTTGGATCAGACCAGTCACCATGGGCAATTATCCATCACCTAAAGCTTGTGCCACTATGGTTTACTACAAGAAGAATTTTATTTTGTTTGGAGGATGGTCCCATCCATCACCTTATCCCTTGCATCAGGTAATTACTCATTAAAAATATGACTTAATTCTGATTTAAAATATTGTAATAATTATTAAAACTTTATATAATTGTTTTCAGCAATGGAAATTGTTTAATGAATTACATATGTATTCTATAGAATCCAATAAATGGACTGTTATAAATACATTAGAAACCCCACCACCAATTTCTGCACATTCTGCAACAATACATGGAAATATAATGGTTGTTTTTGGTGGAGCTAGTGGGAATGGATACAGGTACATTTCTTTAATAAAAATGCAAATATTGAATATTGATATTATTACTGCATCTGTAATTTCACACTTATACTTGTAATAGCTCTAATGATGTATGGTGTTTAAATCTGGATACATATAATTGGCATAAACAAACTACATCAAATGTAAAACCACAACCACGTTATGGTCAATCGCAAATTGTACTTGGGAAGAACCATCTACTTGTACTTGGTATAAGAGTTTAAGAAAAAAAGAGCTGAAGAGTAAATTACTGAATAGATAAGATTTTATAATCACACTTTTGAAATTACACAGGAGGTTTCACAGGACCAAATGCTGCTATGAACGATGCTTGGTTATTGACAATGGAAGGCACATCATGGACATGGAAGAAAGTTAACATGCTCAATGCAGAATGGGCGCCAACACGTATTTGGTGTCATCAAGCTTGTAAGGTAATATAAACATGTACTGTTTCCTAAATCAATGGTAATATGTTATTATTTTTTTTGTACAGGTAGGAAATTATGTTGTTGTATTAAGTGCAAGCAGACATCAAGTCAAGCCGAATGACATGAGTATTTCATTAAAAGTTGCTTCTCAAAGAAGCATCTCGCCACGTATGTGCGAATCAAATCATGCAAGGTCCTTATCCAGTATTCGTCATGTATTTAATATAGCGTCATGACGATTTACACGTTAACAATATCATTTGTTATTGATTAAACAGGCAAGGAAACTTGGCTAATGTAGATAGAGATGAAAATATAAACGGACGACACGGGGCGTTCTCCAGATCGCATATGCAATGTGCACATGCTTCATCACATGTACAAAAACCCATAAAACAACCGACAATTTTTAATAACGACAGTACTTCATACCTTGCTGCATTTAACGATCAAGTTGTGCGTAACAACTCCACTCATCGACAACGCTTAGAATTTTTAACAAGAATGGAAGAAAAATTTCGAAAACATCAAATGAAGAAAGTACTTAAAAAATCCGAAAACACATTATCTATATTTGTATTGGATATCACCAATGTTCTGTCCGACGACTGTAGTGCTTCGTGGATGCCATCTAAGGAAAATGATCATTCGGGACCTGATGAGAGAATTTTGTATTCACTTGTGGTGGGGAAAAGAGAATTGATAGTCTTCGGAGGTATCCGAAAAAACGAGCAAACAGTTATCGATACCTATAATACCGGTGATTCTATGGTATATAACGATCTTCATTTTATAAATCCACCTCAATATATTATTTAATGTTAATGAGCAATCAAAAATATATTTATGTTACACACGTAAATCAAATCAAAAATTTATTGATCATCTTCAGTTTCGAATTGCCCTAAAACTGTCACATACCTTCCACACACGATTTTTTCTTTACTATTTCCTTTAAGATCAGTAGGATCTTTTCAATTTCTTGATTTTTCGCACACTTCGTTAAACTACTTGTGGAAAAAAAAGAAATCCGCGTATAAACAATGGCAACTACTTTATTACATGTACTCGATGTAATTTCCAATAAATCCGTCATATTTCCAAAGAATGATAATTGATTATTTACATTATTCGAACTTTGTGCAGATATATTCATCATAGGGAAGGTGCCATGGTTTGGTGCAATATTGGCTCAGCGAACCGGTTAAAGCTAGTCCATACGCCATTCTACGATATCAGAGGGAAGACTGAGAGAGCAGCCAAGGCCACATAAAAAATTGTTCTAAGTAGTTTTTCCGCCCTGTAAGCCAGCGCTATTTTCCCGCTATTTCCTAATTTCGTATTTTGATATCTCGAGAATCGAACAATGTCGACTGAGAGCTTTGACAAAGTACCTGCATTAGGTAGTAAACCAAAAAATCTGGAACGTACAAGGTTAGAATTTTCTCTCTCTCTACCAACAACAAGTATCATTCGTGAACATGGCTACGTAGTTGCCAGTGTGCGCCACCCTTGGACATCGCGCTGGCTCACAAGGCGGAAAAGCGATTACACATTCCCTTAGGCCTTGTTTATGCGAGCAATAACCGTTAACTTATGCCGGAACTAGTAAAGTTCAACTATAGGATTTCGATGCTTCTGTTTGTACGCATTCGGCAATTTCGTATAAACAGAAGTATTGAAATCCTATAGTTGAACTTTACCAAGTTCTGGCACTTAAGTTAACAGTTATTGCACGCGTAAACAAGGCCTTATAGGCCTGACCGCTCTCAGTCTTTTCTCTGATGATAAAAATGAAAGAAAAAACAACATATCCTTCAACTACTCTAGTGATCAATAATCACAAAATTTCTCGCTATCGAACAGTATTTCGTTTCTATATTTAGATCGAGTAAAAATATATATTGAATTTTGCGAGATTATACGAGATAATTTGTTATTATAAATTATCATACGAAAAATGATGCGGCCGATAAGGACGTGACTTTTCCTATCTGTGCTGTGTTTTCGCAGGGTTTCGCGTAACGACAGATGGCAGAATGCTTCCGGTAACGTTGCACGTGTTACGTTGCCACGGTTTACCGAGGCTCATTGCACCGTCGCGATACATAGCAACCGGTACGTCGGTGTTCAATCGAGTCAGAGCGTCCGTGAGGAAGTATCGTCAAGACATGTCGTTCACAATCGTTGAAAGAGGTGCTCTCAACACCACGGACTACAGGATCTTTTTCAGTGAGTAAACTTGACATTTGATCTTGACTCTTCGCCGCTTTTCTTCAAGGAAAACTCAACGATACGTATTCCGCGTAAGGTCGCAAGGTCACGAACGCGCATCGCGCTATTACCAACATTTCTAGTCATCCGCTATTTAAGCCGATCATTAAATGATAGATCGAGTTCTTGAACAATGCGACGTTTCGTAACGACGACAGTTTGTTCTAATATTGAATAATTAAGAACTTTAAGAATTGACGTACGTGGCGTAACTGTCGGATTTCGATCCAAAGTTTTATTCTATATAACGCTCGTAATACAAGTAGTAATTTTGTTCAATGATATAGAATAGATTTGTATACTAATAAATATTGATAGCTTATTGTTAAATACATGACATTCACAATTTAGCTTAAGGGGAAGTGTTTGAAAGCGTTGGAAATAAGAAAATAATTTTGTCATTGTTGCACTTGTTTTTTTCTATATGCATGTGTATTACTCTTTATATTTATCAGTTGCATATGTTATCTTTTATATGTATTAAACGATTTTTAAAATATTAATAACTGCATAATAATTATTGTGTTTGTGTCAATATATATATATATTTTTTTTATATTTTAACAGAAAATTATGACTGACTTTATATATAACAGTATAATTTTTTCATATAGAAAATGATCAGGATGTTCCAATCTCACCCATGCATGACATTCCCCTGTACGCCGATGAGAGTACCAAGATAATGCACATGATTGTTGAAATACCAAGGTGGACAAATGCTAAAATGGAGATTTGTTTGAAAGAAACATTGAATCCTATAAAGCAGGATGTGAAAAAAGGCAAATTGAGATATGTTGCTAATTGTTTTCCCCATCACGGATATATTTGGAATTATGGAGCTTTGCCACAGGTGAAAAACTCAAGAAATTATACATATAACACATATAAGATCATATGTACAATTGTCACAGTATGATGTCATTCAATCTTATCTTAAGAAAAGGAAGTGTCTCTATTGAACACTTAACTATGTGTGTATCTGTATGCAATATCTTATCATGCTTGTATATTTGTGAACACATGTTGGTGTATAGTTCAAGGCTGTGTACTTATCTCGCTGTTTTCAATTACTTTTTTCTGTTGATTATCCTATTCACTAGTTTCTTAAAACTTTTATATCACAGTAAAATCTTTATATTAGAACTTTTTTTATTCGTTTTTTTTTAATGATATCTGTTTCAATAAAAATAGATGATGGTTTTAAATATGTTAAAAAGTGTTTAAATATTTTAATCTTTTTAATATTTTTTAGCGTTTATTCTCTCACTGCGATGTTTAATTTAAAAAAATTACGTATAATATATTTATGTAATTAATAGACATGGGAAAATCCTGACAATTTGGATGAAGCAACGGGCTACAAAGGTGACAATGATCCTATTGATGTGCTTGAGATCGGATACAGGGTAAGAAGTAGTTGTAATCATATTTTGTGTTTTTTAAATGAATATCTCATTAGTTACATATAATGAAAGAAAACCACTTTATTATATAATATTATATAAGAGTATTTTGTTTAGGTGGCAAAAAGAGGCGAAGTGTTAAAAGTAAAAGTACTTGGAACAGTGGCTCTTATTGACGAAGGTAAACAAAATTAATGTCTAACATAAAAATATACACATTATTAGAAATACCAAATAACACGTGTATACAGTAAAGAAAAATTTCTATTTTAGGTGAAACTGATTGGAAAATTATTGTAATTGATATTAACGATCCTTTGGCCGATAAAATGAACGGTATATATCAGAATGCATATTTTCTTACTTTATAGAAATGTAGACTTTTATATTTTTTATAATCTTTAATGAAAATTATTACAGACGTAAGCGATATCGAGAAACAGTGTCCTGGTTTGTTAAAGGCCACAATCGAATGGTTTAAGATATACAAAATTCCGGATGGGAAGCCGGAAAATCAATTTGCATTCAACGGTGAAGCAAAACCACGGGAATTTGCACTCCGCGTTGTTGAGGAAGTGCATCAACACTGGCGGAATTTAGTCAATCAGGAAGGTTCGACTGGAATAGTATGGTAAATAATATCGGAATCTTTCTAATCGCGAGAAACGGATAGATATGTTTATTGATTGCAAATAGATTTAATTATTGCGTGTTAAAGATCTTATAAGTAACATATATTATAGTTCAAATTTAACTGTGGAAGGAAGTCCTTTTAAAATTACTCCCGAAGCTGCCGAGGAGGCTTTAGAAAAAGCACCCGAATCAATGGAACCTCAGCCTGTAGAACCGATAGGTATGTTTTTGCAAGTAACGTCAAAATAATAAATAGAAAAACTCTTTATATGCAAATTGAAAAGAAAATGTTTATTTTAATTGTTTACTCTTTGATCATTGAGATTTTATATACGTGTATATATTGTGGTTTTACATAATATAATTCACTTTCAGTTGACAAATGCTACTTCATACATCCCAAACTGTAACAAAAATTGTTATAACGCGTAGAAGGATATTTAATTGATAATTGTTCGAAATTAAACGTATCGCTGATGTATGTGTACAGTGTTAGTGTAATTAAAGCTCCTGTTTATACTAAAGTGTTTTATGTAATTTGTGATTTCAGTCGATAAATGGCATTACATACAACTTAAATGAAGATGGATATCTTCGCTGAGTCATCGAAGTGTATCAAAGTCGGCACTACCCATTTCGTTGCTCTCACGGTTTTTTCCCCGTGAAGCTTTTTATTTATCATTTTTTTCATCATTTTTTTCACAATCTACACAATATAATTTACTTCGTTACATTTAATAATAATTATTTAAAAAGCATTTGCAAAAGATACACACGCGGAGCGCAATAGCGAGAAGTCCGTGGTTGCTTGTTTCACATAAATTTTTTATGGTTTTCTTTTTTAAATTTCAAGATAAATTCAACGTGAAAAATACGTGAATAATATATATATATTTTAATATAAATATATTAAATAAATTTATATTTTTACAAAGTTATTTATTTTCAAGCTTTTCTACTTATGCCCCGCGTATGTATCTCTCTCTTGTTATTCCATTGCATACAAGTAGCGGCGTGAATATCTTCCATGCACATTTTAACTGAATGGATTATAATCTCATTAGGTTGTGATAGTTTATACAATTGCTTTGAGCAGTTTTGTAGGTGAAGGACATTTGATTTTCTCTCCAGTATTTGTGAAAATGAACAAAAATAAACGAAAGTATATTACATTGTCAAATATGTATGTGTCATTCCCGCGAAATTCGTTCGTGTCTTCATATCGGCGTATTTCCACGTATTTTGTGTGTTTTTATTTATTAACATTTGTTTTTTTCGTTAGGTGCTACTCGAGCCTGTTTAATTGCGACGTTTTTTTCAAGTTTCTTCGCGAATGTACGGCGGTAAACGGCGGGAACGTTCGACCGCGAGAGAGCAGCTCGCCCAATTCGTATATATCGGTTTCTCCCCCCACCGCGCGGCCAATCGGAGCGCGTTGTTCGTCGCGAGCCGGCCAATGAGAGCGTGCGCGCGCGCGCCTGTGGCGACGCAACGTATCGGCGGCGTCGCCTCGCCTCGCGCACAGTCATCACAACTTGTTCGGCCATCGAGTTGTGCGTTTCCGTAACGTTTGTTTCCGAGTGTCGCGTTTCGAGTTTTGCGTGCGCGTAAACGTACCCTACTAGCGCGTCGTCGTCCGCAATCCCTCGGCGCTCGGTTTTTTTCCCCTCCCCTCATCCCCCGTTCGTCGCGGCGGTGTACTCGCGCGTGCTGATCTCTCGCATTTTTCCCGTCATCGAATTCCGGGAGCAAACAGGGACAGAGAAACAACGACAGGAGCTATGCGACTCTCGTGGGTGTTCGCAGCCGCGGTGCTGCTGGTCCTGGCCACGGGGGTGAGATGCAAGAGAAAATTCGACGGCGATTTCGAGTTCGCCGAAGAGGTCAGTACCAGACACATATCTCGATTACATCTAATTGTTTCATCCCTTTGCTTTTCTGGCATACTCGCTTCCTCCCCCTCCCCGTTTCTGTCTCTCTCTCTCTGGTTTCGGTTGTCTCGTTTTTGTTTTGCGTCGGATGACAGATCGCGACGCGAGTTTTGACACACCGGTCTTTTTTCGCCCCCTCCCCCGAACCGTGAGAGATACGCGCGATGACAGGTGCCCGGTTTAGCTTCTTGATTTCGGAAAAAAACCCGTCAGTTTTATCCGTCCGTTTGCTCGACGGAGGAATGGCGCGTTTGCGGAATATACAACATATATACATCAAAATAGCGGTATATCGTATAAAAAAGAAAACGCAACGCGCAACAATGACGTTTCCGCAGAAATGGCGCTTCGCCGTATGCGCAAATTGTTGCGAAATGTCCGTCTTCGTTTATTTTTCACGGTTTGCTCCGAAATCCTCTCGGAAAACGTCTCGAATTGTCGAAACGTAACTTCTTTTCTTTTTTTTCTTTTGTTTTTTAGAACATCGCGCGATTTCTCGCGTTGTTTCGGTAGATTGCAAAGGTTTATATTTTCTTAAGTCATTTTTGATATTACATTTCAAATGCGAGAGTAAAACACACACGTTCGGTCGACAAACGCGCTTCTTTGGCGATCGTGTTACCAACAACGTTGCAATTACAGTCGGCGATCGTTAAAACGGAGAGAAAGAAAGAGAGAGAGAGAGAGAAACGAATATCCCATGTAACTCTTACTTTCACGTAACTGGATCTTAGTTGAAATACAAGTTAGCGATGCAATTTTTCTCGTTGTTTTTCCGTGTGTTTATTTGTTCGGCCGGTTTTTGCACGCGGATCAAGTCAGAGTTCGCATTCCCTGCGTTGCTGTTACCGAAAACGTAAACATTCAAATTTCTTTTTTTTTCGGAAACCTCTTCCGATTTTACTCCATAAAATCGGAGTGACGTGTAATTTCTATGGCTTTTGAACGCCGGAACAGCTAGAGTTGAACGCGCCCTTACACACATCCGTCGATTTGACGGTATTTGCAGGAAATATTTTATTGTTTCTAAATTTCCTTAATGTTTAAATAATTAACAGAAATAAATTTTTAATAATTAACAGAAATAGATTTTTAATATTCCACTTGTTTTTTAATTGATGAAAAAAAACTATTTGGAACATTTTTTGCAAATAGATTGCATTTCTGCAATCCGTCATTTCAACGAGTTCGGTTGTTCTGATATTGACGCACTATATCCGGTAACAAAGCGACCGACTAAAAAAAAAAAAAAAAAAAAAACCTCGGTAACTTGCACACTCTCTCTCTCAAAAGATAAAAGCATTTTTAATGTCAACCGGTACAAAGAGTTGCTTCTACGTTAATTTATCCTTTGACCCCCCGTCCAGTAGTTTGAGTTTCGAGCTCGTCAGGAAACGTAAGTGTATTTTCTTAGCAGTTTCTCGTTGCGCCGAGAGAGCTACGAAACAGTAGTACTTTCAAGTTTGATGTATACGAAACAACGCGATCAATTTAAAATCAAGCTGGAAATTAGTTTGAAGAAAAACACAACGCGTAACTACGTGGACGACGAGAAAGATCTGACGCGGAAAATACACGCGGGAAGGAAAGGAAAGAAAAAGAGAGAAAGAGAGCAGATAAATGAGAGACTTTTCTCGAATTAATTAATATTCATTCGATCCATTAATGCAACAACCGAGTTAAACCGCAAAAAGTAAAAAGGTTGAAAAAAAAAAGCAATTAGACGAACTATTAACCGCCGCACTTTACGGCGGTTGAAGCTCCTTTCCGATTCTGTTTTCTTGAGAAGAACGAGAGTAATGTGAAGTCCATTTATGGTTCTAATGTCACCCCAGCGCGAGGTTTTTTTTTACACGCTAGTGAGAATTAATTAATTTCAACCTCGTCAATTTAGTTCCCGGACGGATTACGAGCGTGTGCGCTGATATCAGAATGAGAATCTTAAGCGCGTATTTACGTCTCGAATCTTTGGTCTCGTAGGTATCTCCTTTTCACATTTCGCATCGCGAATTTCGTCGAGTTTAATCTAATATAATTCGGGTAATAATTGACAAACGCGGACAAAAGAACAGCTGCTCTTCTCGGAATATTACGCGATATTTCTTCTCACGCGAAATGGAAATATCGCGAACTCGCGAAAGACACAGTTGTTGATCCCCTCATGCTTCTCTCTCTCTCTCTCTCTCTCTCTCACTCTGTAATTTTGCATAAGTATCTCGAGTCTCTTAGCGACTTGTCGCTATTTACCGGCGAGTCTGAATGCGCCATTGCCAAGAGAGGAGACACCGTGTAAAACTTGGAGTTCTTCTTCTTTTGTGTGCCGGGAGAAACGGAAGAGACGCAGTAAACGCTCGAGGAAAACGATAAGAATTGTCGGAGGAGTCTCTGAGTGCGAATAATACATCGCTTCTCTCTTTCTCTCTCTTTCTCTCTCTCTCTCGCTCTCTTTCTCCTCTCTTCGGAATTATTGCCGCTGTCATTATGCATCCCGCGATTTGTAGTTTCAATAATCGACTCCCGGCCCGTTATCGTACGCCGGTAGCAGACCCGGATCTTTACAGCTCAGGTAGCATAGCGTCGTAGTACGAATCGATTACCCGCGCACGTAATGCGAAAGAATTCGCCGTCTATCGATCCCCGGCGAACATTGTGTGTGACCCAGTGACTTCGAAGGTAAACGCCGAGATACGTATATATATATGTATATAATATATATACATATATATATAGGTGACTGTATACATGTATAGTTAACTATACAGTTGTCGCGTGTTGCTTCCTTATTGTTTACCGCGCATCCCTCCCGCCGCGATTTCATTACTCTCAATTCGCTTCAGACCGCGCGATCCGTCGCGATTTCGCAGTTCCGATTTGCACAGCATGAAAATTCCTCTTTTTTTTTTTTTTTGTTTTCTCTTCTCAGCGTAAATCACACACAGCTCCGGTGTGTTTAGCTCGCATGAATACGCGCGCGGCGAAAATACGGTCATTAGACGCGACGGCGGCGCGCATCGCGTTTAATTCACGCCGTTGCGCTTCTCACATCTCGTGTGTTCGTTTTGTTTTTTTTTGTTTTCCTTTTAATTCGCAAACCAGATGATAAAGGAAATTTCGCGTTTTTTCACACACTTTGTAATTCTCGCTTTTATGATTTTGACGTCTTTTCGTCGGCGCGCGCGCGTGTGTATTATTTGCACTTGATGATATAACGACGAATATAATTGTTGCATTCTTAATTCGACGTGCGTGCGATCTCTCTTTCCCTCTCTCTCTCTCTCTCTCTCTCTCTCTCTCTCTTTCGGATCGATAAGCGCTGGCTGGCTGCTGCTGAAACGTCGGATTAAATTAAATTTACATGGAAAGATATGACATCGCGATCTTTCATACCGCTCACGAACTGTGTTTGCGCGAGGAATTATATTTTAGAATACGGAATGTACATCGTATAAATCGTACAATCGCATAAATCACAGAGAAGGGAGAGGGAGAGGTGGTGTACATTGCCGTAGGTCTCGCACACCGAGAGCGCGTGTATACACGAGATCGATCGCGCGGCGCGTATCGATAGCACGACCGCATCCTCGGGATGACGGGTCGTGTTTGCGAGACAAAAGAATTTATTTTAACGAGAGGGAAGAGCGGGAGAGACACACTGTGTGTCGGAGATTTAAATGTTTTTTTTTTGTTTTTTCGTTTGTTTTATTTTTACATCATGGTGTCGATTTGTACATGGTACAAATGCGGTTGTTTGTAGCTTGCACTTTTCGCCGTTGCGTCGACAGTTTCTCTCCGCGATTAAACGCTGCGCCGGGACGACAAACGTTTGACGGGTGAGTTGTGATTTTGCGATTCTTCTCTCTTTTTCGAGTAACTTTTCTCTCTCTCTCTCTCTCTCTCTCTCTATTTCCCTCGTTTATTTTCGCGTCTCCGAAGAAACGAACATCGTGTAGACAGAAAGAAAGAACGCGAGCACATAGAATCCGATTTCTTTCGTCTCGCAAAGACGCTGCCGACAGTTAACGCCGCGATTGAAAATACCGATCGGCAGAAAATTCTTTTCGTTTTAACGCTGGAACCGACCGAACTCGTCAGAACGACGGAAATATTTTTGCAAGAAATAATCTGAGTATACTTTTGTTTAAAAAAAAAAATGAACGTGAAATCCTCCTATATTAAAAAAGGCCTGTGTACCAAGAAGTGCGTTTGGAGTCGATTATATCGCACCTATTGTTACCTCTTTTCCGCGTTGCCGATTGGTTGGATCGAGTCGAATCGAATCGGTAGGATCGAGAGAGTAAACAATGAAAAGCGATTTTGAGACAGTTCGTCGTATATGTAGAGAAAATTAAAAACGTAACTAAAGTCACATGACAGGATAGAGTAGAAAAACAACACGTGAAAATAACGTGACCGTAATTTATATTATATATAACGTTAAATAATACATATTATACATATAATTTATTATATATTTATAATAGTATACTTTATATTGTATTATATGTATTATATACATACTACAGTAATGTCACTGATCTCCGTCGCGCGACTTTGGCGGGGTCACTGACCTCGGCCGCGCGGCCTTGGCGGGTCACTGACCTCGGCCGCGCGGCCTTGGCGGGTCACTGACCTCGGCCGCGCGGCCTTGGTGGGGGGAGGTCACTGACCCGGTCGCGCGACCTTGGCGGGGTTACTGACCTCGGTCGCGCGACTTTGGCGGGGTCACTGACTTTGGTCACGTGATTACGGTGTGTGTGTGCGCGCGCGCGTGTGTGTGTGTGTATTATATATAGATATAGAATATTATATATGACATATATAATATTCTCGTTTTTACTCTTTTCCTTGTTACGTGACTTTAGTCATATGGTGTTTCTCTACTTCTCCTTGTTACGTGTTGTTTTTCCACTCTTCCCTTTTTTTAATTTTTGAGTTTGATTTTCATGTGTTAT